GTTTTTTAATAAGCTTAATGAGGAATGCCCAGAATCTATTCCTACTAATATTTCATTTTTTTTCTCATTGAAAGTATATATTAGCTTAAACTTACCAAATAAGTCCATCTTTTTATCTTTTCGTGTACCTACTGTGAATTCGTCACACTCTACTTTAAGATTCTTGTTATTTGATAGCTCCTTGAATATTTTAGTCAAGCTTTCTTCTATATCAAGCTTATCATTAATCTTCTTATTAGAAAGAAGTTCTTCTATATGCTCAATTTCTTTAACTACTTCTTCTTTACTTCCAGTTATATTCGATAAAACATAGAGAATATTCAACAAACTGCTGTCCAGCTCATTCGTCTTCTCCTTTAAGTAAAGAATCTTGTCATTCTTCAAGTCTGCCACTACTCTACACCAATCTTCGTGCATTTCATAGTCAGTGGCTTCTCTTGGCTCAGAATACTTTTTAAAGAATTCTTTCAGTGGCTTAGTTTCTTCATTGTCGGGTAGATGGTCTGTATTGTACTTCTTTTTATTTGGATCATATACTAAACAGCACACTAGTCCTAGCAGAGCAGTTTCTACACAATTGGAGTACTTTCTGCTTTCATCGTTTATGAATTCGTTCTTTTCCCGGTCATATGCTTTAACCCTATCATAGGACGGAAGCTGTGATGAATCCATGAATGGAAATATTCTATACTTGTCTATTGTATCCTTAAGATCGCAAATAATCTTAGTGTGGTCGATTTTACTTTTCCGTGCACTTTCTTGTATAAAGCACTTGTTAAATACTCTTTTGTATGACTTTTTTTTATTTTTTGAAATAGATTTATTGTCATTTACTATCTGGTCATTCAAGAGAGTATATACAGCATTTACAAACTCAATATACTTTTCTTTTGTGTCAATAAACTCGTATATGTACGACTGAATAAGGAACTGCACGGTACTTAAGAACTTTCCTTCCATGAACTGCTCATATGTAGTTGGCTCAGTGTAGCCTTCTTTTTGTATGTAAGTTATTGCATCTCCTGCATAGTGTTTCATAAAGTTAATAAGTTTAACTGTTTCTGTGTGGTAAGTTTTAATTTTTTCTTCTGAATTTTTCTTGTTTACATAAAGTACTAGGCTCTGGTCAATATATGCAGTTTCTCCGTTAACACTTTTCAGAACAAGTTTTTTCTCTTTTTTCTTTTCTTCTATAGCAATAGGAATATCCACCTGCTCAGACAGGAGGAAAAGGGCTGCCAGGATGTTCATACTCTGTGGCTGCACTTCATCTTTTAGCAGAAAAGAAGTGGGTGCATCCAGTCTTCCTGCTATGATGGAAAGTGCACCATCCGCGCATGGAAACATATTGATTAGATGTGTATGAAATCTAAGAAAATAATCATTCTTTGCTTTAAATTTTTGCGGGTCATATATATCATCATACGCTTTGTCATTGACTGGCTTTCTTTCGTATTCATAAAATAATCTGCCTTGTTTATATGTTTTTTTCAAATTATACATCGTGTTTATTTCGTATGCATATAATCGTTTGTTATGTATATATTCGCACTTGCGCATAATGTCTGCTCTGGATGGACTAAGTGATCCATCTGGATTTATTACCAAGTTGCCTTCTTTACTAATAATTTTGGTTTCTTCTATTATCTTTATATCACTCAACTCAACTCTTGCACATATCGTGTACATCATCACTAGTAGCTTTATAATCATACTATTGTTCATCCTGGAAATAAATTTAAAAATATATATATTTTGTTTTTAATAACTCCGTGCTATCTTTACTATTGATTGGTCAATGCATAATAAACACTTATGGGCGTGCCTGATTGCATATATAACCCGAATATAACCCGAATGGTTACTTATTGCAATTCATACCATCTCCTATTTAAATGCTCATCTAATTTATTCCAGTTATACTACAATAAGTATTGTAAATAAAATAAAACCACAAAATAAAAATTATTTTAATTCTTATAGTGTATATACTCTCTAGCAGTAGAATATGTAAAGGATAGATTATTTTAAATTTATTTATAGGGCATTCTATTACAAAAATAACATAATAAACCATATAAACAGTAATGTAACACAGTATACATCAAATAACAAATGGCATCTTATTCGGGTTATTCAGATCATAGTAATATATGTGTATGCATCATTCATGGCATAACCCGAATTACCGAGATAATAAATGATTGATCAAATCAACTTCGCCTAATTAATTAGTCACTATTTGAATGGTCATTATTTGATTGGTATGTTTCATAGTATAGCAGTATTTACTGATTTACTCACGAAATATACCACCATTGCTGCTCTGCTACATAGCCAAGATAGAAAAGAGAGTGGAGGGGAAGAGCTCGGATTAGATAGTCACAAATTGATATACTGATTCAGTGATCACAAGCTTTTGTTTTGACGGAATCACCGCACGAGCTGGCGCACAGAAGGATCGCTCTCGTAGGCCCATGCCTGAGTAATGGTGCCGCCATGTAAAATATAGTCTAAATTAGAATTTTGAATTTTTGGGTAGTATTAAGTATTTATTTAATGGTATGAATGCAGGCCGGAAATTAAACAAACATAAAAATAGCATAATGACACTTTCTAAGAAATCAACTTGCGGCATTTGAAGTACTTGGCTGTAAATTGTTGTTTGATGGCGTATCCGTAGAAACATCCTGTTCTACCCAAGGATACCAATTTTTATACTCGCCATCATAAATACCACTGGATTGAAATTTTTCCTTTAATATGTATTCGTTAATTGGAACACTTCCTATAAGGTTTCTTGTAAACTGCACCATAGGATTGTTTTTACCTATTATGTTTCTATAAGATTCAGTATAACTTCGGTGTTTTTCCAAAAATATTTTAGTTATTTCATACTTGTAATGCAGGGTCTCTAGATTACCACACAGTAGTAGGCCGTTTGGATTAGTGTGCTCACTGTTTAAAATATACTGTATCCTTTTAATGAATCTATATTTACCTTTAATTGCATACGAGATTTTGTCCAGATATAGATTCGCGTATTGTCTCATAATGCATCCAATGTAATTCTTTGATTTCATGTATATCTTTTTTATATCATATAATGTTTTTTCGGCAGCACCAGCACCATTTCTTAGCATATTTCCGGAAACCTTATATTTTATATAGCCATTATGATTTTGATCATAACTACTACTACACTCATCCATCTTTATTTCAATAGAATCTGGGTCTTTCTCCTTCTTTTTATATATAATCTGAAAAGGCGATTTCGGATCGATACCTATATCCGTTATTTTATTTTCTAATTGTTTTGTAAAAATGTTATTACACCATATTTTAATTTCCTTGTTTTTTGAGAGAGAGATCCATATTTTTTTTACACCCATTAAAAGCTTATTTTTATCTGGATCGGAATCTTTATTCCAGTTATTTATAATAATTTTTATAGATTCAATATTTTCATTAATTTTAGTGTCATTCTCAGCTGCTATTTCTCTCATGATATATATCATGTTTAGTATACCAAATTGAATTTTATTTCTGCTGTCAGATGAATATAAACGGTAGGAAATATCTTTATTAGGCAGGTCCTCTACAACCCTGTGCCATTCTCTGTGCATAGTATAGTCCATGATCTGTAATGGGTCGCTATACTTAGCAAAGAATCTCTTTAGTTCTTTCGATGGATTAGGCATGTGGCTTATATCGTACCTCCCAGTCCTAGAATCAAATGCAAATAAAAAGAACAGGCATAGAAGAGCAGGCTCAACAACAATATCATTCTCGTACACTTTATCATTAACAAACTCGTCTGTTTTTCGATTATATGGTGGCATATATTCCTGTAAAAAGACATCATGGCTGTCTGAAGAATCATCATTAAAAATAGGTAATTTTTCACTCTCAACATATGGTATCGGCTGTAGTTCATCATTCAATTTATGTTCAACCAATCTAAAATGCTTAATATATTTCACTTTGCTATGCAGCTCGGCTGAGTCCTGTTTAATGAATAGACTGTCAAACACCTCCTGTGCTTTCTTTCCTGTCTTCATGCTTATATTCTCACTCTTCTTCTCATCTTTGTTTAGTATTCGTTCAGTAATTAATTCATACACCGCTCTTACAAACTCTTCATACATCTCCACACTGTCTATATACTCAAAGAAGTACGACTGTACGAGGAACTTCGGATTGCACAGAAAATTCCCCTTTAAGAACTCTTCATATGCAGTAGGCATTGAGAACTCTTCTGGCACTTTTAAGCAGTAAGATGAATTGGTGGTGGCAATACTCTTGAAGAAGCTCACTATCTCTTCTGTTTTCTTTTGAGGCGTTCTCTCTACAGTCTTCCCTTCTTTGTTTTTTTTCTTTATATTCATATGCAAGTTGATGTGAAATCCTTCTCTTCTGCTTATTTTTCTCTTCTCTAACTCATCATATTCAGAACTAATATTCCTATCCTCTTCTTCTTTTGGTCTCTTTACTTTTTTCTTCTTTAGAATAAGTATTTTATTTTTATTCACTTTACTCTCCACTATTCTAATAGGAATATTTATCCCTTCCGAGAGAAGAAATAAAGAAGCAAGAATATATAAACTATCTGACTTGTTTTCATGCCTTCTTAAGAACCGAGTGAATGAGTCTGGGCTCTCTGACTCAATAGATAAATATCTATCTTCTGATGGAAACATATTAATCAGCTGCTGTGTGAATGCCTGCATGTATTCACTAGACTCCTTGAGTATAGTAGACCCATACCCTCCAACTTGGTCTCCACTCCCATCTATGGCATGTAGATATCCCCGTAAGTTCTTTATATACCCACATCTCTCCATGATGCACTGATAGAATGGAGAAAGCCCGCCTTGTGGGTGTATTGCTACTAAGCTGTCTTTATCGCCTAGTTCCATTTTCTGTATAGTACTAGCGTCTCTTGTTTCTATCTTTGCATATATACTGTGTGTCATCAGTAATAGTATTATAAGTATATTATTCTTATTTAATATGTTTCTTATTATACGTATATTATTCTTCTTTAATATATTGTCTCTCTCTTTCATATTTAAATTCGGGTTAAAATTATTTTTCTTTTATACTGTTGCCAACAAATTAAAACCAAGATAATATTTTATTAAACTAATTATTAATATATAGCCCCTTGGCAACATATACTTTAAAATAGAATTAACTTGATAATAATCCTGTTCTACTATTTTAATTCTTTGTAAAAAAACAACTAATTTACTCTCTTAAATTATCCCTGCAGTATATATATTCTGCATAAAATAAAATTTACATGAATTAAATTACTCTTATTATTAGCATAGAACATCAAATCTTTAAATATAATTATATTCTGACTGCAAATAAGTGCTTTGTCATATCACACCTTCTTTTCTTATTCTGTGTCTTATTATGTGTGTTTCCTTGCCTTTACTTGTGATATTCTACATTTATATACTCCATTATCCTTTTTTCTTCTTTTCTTCTTTTCTTCTTCTATTTTATTTTTAAATATAAACTGCTTCTAAATAAATCCATTCATGTTATTATTAGCAGTACTATACACTTTATTTTAAAAGTAAAATATTTATTTACAGAACATAAAGAACAAACAATTTATACTTAAATACACTAAAATACCATACAGAACAACAGAAGAAATCAACATAAACAGTATAAAGCATAGAACATAAACTGATTATTAAAGACATGTCAAATTAAATTTAGAATATATGATACTTTCAACCCATTAGAATTTAGAGAAATACTGCTGTGTTATATGAACTAGTTATGATTTATTAAAAATGAATATTATTTTGTCTTGTCTTGCATTAAATTAAAATTATTTATCACTCTAGGAAGTACTCTGCCCGAATGAAATTTGCATTTATTTATTTATAGAATAAGCTATGCCAGCCAATATTAATATATACAGAAAGAGAGAAAATAGATAGAAGAAAAATATATTAGTATATTTTAATCAGATGACTTATCAGTAAATGCATGGCTTCTAGAAGCAGGAATATCATCAGTGAATTCAAGCCTATTTTCTTTTCTTATAAGTTTGTAGTTAAATCTGATTGGGTGCATGTTTTTAATCTGGGAAGTATAGAACTGTAAATTAATTGCATCTTCTCTGCTTTTTGGCACAGTGCTGTTGTTTTCAGTGAAAATAATATTATTTAGGATCATCTCTGAAAGACGCGGCATGTTCTTATTAAGCATAGCAATCCTATAAATATTCATTGGGATTAGAGTGTCTGGGGATAGTATGTACAGTCTGTCAACCGGATTATAGCTTGCATACTCAGCTATTTGTTCAGAAAATACATCGATTGTTTTGTTCTCTCCCATGCCTTTAAACTGGCTCACATACTCTATTTCGTTAATGGTTTTAAGATGTAAAAATGGGAAAACAGTCTGCTTGATGCATAAAGCTGCAGAGCTGTCATCAGAAGTGGCAGACTTGACATTGATGCTAAGACAGCGCTGCTGTGCATCAAGAAGGAATAAAACCGTAATTGAATTTGCAAAGGGTTCTAACAGCACGCAGTTTAATTCAATGCACAGAGTGTATATACACTCCTTCCATGGTTCTATTTTGCACAGTCCTAGGGCTGTATACAGCGTGCTGTCTACATGAATGCTGATAGGAGAAATGTACTCTCCAATAGTTCTGTTTTGTTCCTCCAGGGTTTTCAGGCCGTTTAGTGAATTCGCACTTAAACGGGAATGCCCGCCTGCGTTAGCATCTGGATTAAAACATATAGGATTTTGTTTAACTTCATCTGAGTCTTCTTCATCTGAAGCCTCTTCTGAGTAAGAATAGAAAACCCGGCACATATCCAGCTCTTGAAGCATGTGCGCACGCTTGAGGAACGCAAAGTCTGGTGGCCTATTGAAAACTATGTCATTAAGATAGAATGTGTGCATATTTTCAAGGCTTTTTATGTTGTTTAGTTCATCCGTGTTCATATATTTAATCTTTCCTATATCTATTTCTCTAAAGTTGTGGCAATGGGCTGCTCCCCTCAGTATACAATTTACATACTCAGCTTTAATAGAATGTATTTTAAATTTTTCTATGGTGTATGGCAGAGTCAGATTAGTATCTGGATCACCTTCAAACTTAACACGGTCAAAGCAGAGCTCTCTCATGTTTGTGCAGTCTCTTAATAGGTTGAGTGTGCTGATGTGAATTTCTGTCTTAACCAGCAAAAGCTTTTCTATGGAAAAGAATAGTGTATAGTCATCAAATACATTCTTGTTTAGTAAAAATTCAAACTCAACAAGCACCAAACGGTCTATATGCGCCTTGCACGCATTGAAATATGACAGCAGTGCATATCTGACTATTTCGCTGTCGTGGGATGGGCACGTAATAGTAACAGTATCAATAGTGCTGGAATCGTTTGTATCCTCGTTTATGCCGATTCCTTCACTGCACGCTTGCAGTACTTCCCATAGTGTTTTTTCCTCTGTTTTTCCAGAGACTCTAGTGCTTCTAATTACAACTTCATCCTTTTCACGAAACATGTGCATGACTACACTGGGGTTAAAGAAAGTATCACAGGTATTCAGTTTCGGGACAATTGATCGGATAATGTCCATTAGGCGGAATACTTTATCAATGTATGCATAACCTTCTGGTTCAATGCCGGGTTCTGGGGTTTTTATTCTGTCTCTGGTAAACGAGAAAAGAGTCAGATTGTCAAAGCAGTCATATATTTCCTTCCCATTCTGTTTTGAGAAAGCATCCTTTTCTTGCGCAATGGCTATATCGGGCTCTTCTTGCAGCTGGCCAAACCCTTCTACACAATAGAATGCATCTGACTCAGCAGCCATGCGATTGAATAACGTATTTTTTTTGAGAGCCGATAGATAGTCTATTGTTTTAATCCGGGGTGTGGTAGACGTGTGTGCATTATCTGTGTCCGAGCACATAGAATCTCTTTCGGGTGCAGGAGAAGGTGTGCTGTTTGAACTCTCTTCATCTGATTCTGCGCGTACATACACACCTCTAGATATCCAGGTATATTCTTTTTTACTTTGACTGCACGATATATGCGCCCATATGGCAATTAGTATAGTGAGTGCTTCTATATAGCTAGGTAACAGCAGTGCTCTTGTGTTTTTCTTTTTCATTAAAAATTTAAATACCTTAGATATTTTTATAGCTCTAATAAAACTACTAGTCCTTAAAGCATTGTAATTGCTTTGTATACACGTGTGTAAACCACTAAAATATCCGAAGCAGCATAAACAGCCCGAGTTGGCATTATTGAAGCATACCCAAAGCAATAAATTAGATCATAATCTTGTGGCTAAGAGATTAAATGCCTTTCAGAGTGAGTTATATAGATTAATTATTGAGTTTATCAGATTTGATTCCACAACCAATAAATACCCGGCCCGAGCAGTCTGTTTATATTTAAAGCACTTAGTGTTTGTTAAGTCTGTTTAAGCAAAGCTCAAATGCATTGATAAATGTGCATAGGCTGCCTTAAGCCGTTAAGCCAGAATATTCATTACTTGTCTACCAAGAGTGTGTACGAAGAATAAAAATAATAATTTTATGCTTATAAATCCTTGCACGAATTGCCTCTTAATATATAGATCTGTTTATTTTTCGATTGTCCCATCCAAATGGTCAGAAGACAAATTATTGCGTGCAGAAGAACTTAATAACCCCTCTACAGCGCTCAAAACCATCTTATATTTGGCTTCTCTGGATTCTAGGACACATACATGCTTATCATCCTCCGCAGTTAACAGCGCCTCTTTGTTTTTCGCCATAAAATGCACGGTTTTATTCAAAGCCGAATCAATGAAATCAGAGATAAAAAACAATTTAATACTTTCCGTCAGATCTTCTGGCAGTATGCAATCATATATAACTTTGGTAAATGCCAGAGGAATTTCGTTATACCAGCAACTTATGCGAATAAGCCAGGATAAACAAATTATGCTTACGTTGAACTTGCGTAGATTGCACATTTGCATTTGGCTTATAATAGCTTTTGTATTTTGGATTGTTTCAGTCTCTTTTCCACTTATAGACAATTCATTAATTATAATTGCAAATATATAAAATGACCCGAAAAACAAGTATTTGTTGTTGCACGTATACAGCCGATTGTATAGTGCCACAAGCTGGCTAGTGGCTAAGGAGTCGCCAGATGAACACATTGAGTCGAACTGCTCTTTTACAATAGAAAAATAATTGGCATAAGCACAGTCCTTCTCTATGTAACCCGAATTTCTGGGATAGCACTTTTCATAGTTCTCATTGTATATGTATAGCCGCATAAAAGGAGAATTTTCAGAATCTACAGTAGAGGAAGCCCCAATGGCAAGACTTCTAGTGAATTTTATCATGTTATTATCGTAAACTACGTTATTTCTTTCATTGGAGTGCATTAAAACCAGCTCAACAATTTTCGACTTAAGGGCCTTATTATCCAAACTTCCATAGAGCATTAGACTATTTGGAGAGCACGGCTTGCCATTTAATACTCTACTTATTACATCCTCATAGCTAGCCTTTTTGCCCTTTGAGTATGCAAGTTTGTTTTGTTTAATGTATAAATATTGGCTTACTATCCAATCAATGTAGCGCGTAGAAGAACTAGTCATTGTTTTCATCCTCTGCAGGTCTTGCTCAACAGGAGCAGCATCTGCATACTGCTTGTCATTTTTTTTGTAATCTATCTTAAACTCGCGGTAGTTGTCTATGCTTAGATTAAACATGATATAATTATCAGGCGCATTTAGAAAGTCCAAGAAATATGTAATACTAAGCTCAGTTTCCAAGAATGGAACTAGGTCATATGTATTTTGATATATAAAGCTGGGCTGATACTTATCACCGGATACGCGTATGCGGTTTTTAGTTTTAAATGATTGAAGTATCTCTTCTATGTACATTTTTAAATCAAGGAATATTGATTCTATCGCACTGTAATTTAGGGCATTTTTTATTAAATACTCCACTGCGTCCTCTAGATAGCAAATTCTGCTTTTAAAATTGCTGGGTGTCCCAATCAATGCTTCTATGCCATACAGTAGGTTTATTATACCAAGCTTGGCATTTGGATTGAATTTTGTGAGGGTTTCGTCAGCTTTTTTTGTAGTGTGTAAATTGCTTATAACCTTGCACCAGTCTAGATACGCACTGTCGTCTATAAGATCTGTTGGGCGCCGGTACTTTCTTAAAAAATCTTTTAGATCAGTGCTTGGGCTAGGTAGGTTTTTTGTGGTATATTCTTTTGTGATTGGGTCAAAAGAAAAACAGCATATTATCCCGAGAAGCATATTCACGGTGTGGTTCTTGTATTTTATTCTACTAATAGAATCGATCTGGCTCTTACTTTTTTCTGACCCATCTCTATTTAAATTATTAAAATAGAAATTTTCTATTAAAGGCATGTTTTCCTGGTTAGTATTCCATTTAGACTCAAATTTATATAATTCATTAAATATTTTCATTTTTTTAGATAATTCACATGATGTCCCACTAATGAATAGACTGTCAAACACCTCCTGTGCTTTCTTTCCTGTCTCCATACATACACTCTCACTCTTCTTCTCATCTTTGTTTGATATTTGTTCAGTAATTAATTCATACACCACTCTTACAAACTCTCTATACATCTCCACACTGTCTATATACTCAAAGAAGTACGACTGTATAAGGAACTTCGGATTGCACAGAAAATTCCCCTTTAAGAACTCTTCATATGTAGTAGGCATTGAGAACTCTTCTGGCACTTTTAAGCAGTAAGATGAATTGGTGGTGGCAATACTCTTGAAGAAGCTCACTATCTCTTCTGTTTTCTTCTGATATACTAGATCGGCAGCATTGCCCCTTTCTTCTTCTTTGCCCTTTATATTCATGCTTAGGTTGATGTGGAATCCTTCTTTTAGTTTTTTTCTTTTTTCTTCTGACTCAGCAGTACTATCCTTTTCTGGGCTCTCTGTTTCTTTCTTTTTTAAAACAAGCATTTTATTTTTGTTCTCTTTATCCTCTACTATTTCAATAGGAATACCTATCCCTTCAGAAAGAAGAAGTAAAGAAGCAAGAACATATAAACTACATGACGCGTCCTTGTACTCTCTCAGAAATCGAGTGAATGAGTCACTCTTCTCTGACTCAATAGATAAATGCATGCCTTCTGATGGAAACATATTAATTAATTGTTGTGTGAATGCTTGCATGTAGTCATTGTCAATATCATCGTATATAGTAGACCCAAACGTTTCATCTTTAATATTATAATTATCTACTGTAAATAAGTACCTACGTAAGTTCTGTATAAACATATTCTTGCGCATTGCATCCTGAAGCAGTGGGGAAAGCCCTCCTTCTGGATGCATTGCCATGCCATTTTCTAAATGTTTTTGCATTGAATACGCTGCATCTAATTCTATCACTGCACGTACACCGCAGATTGTCATTGTCATTAACAGCACCATAATGTTTTTATGCTTCAATATACTTCTTGCCATAAGCACGTTCTCTCTGAACGTTCTGTGTCTTTCTTCCATATCTAAGAATTATAGTAAAATTATTTTTCTTTTATATTTTGCATAGTAATACTTCGATCTACAAAAGAATGCTTATTGCGATTCTGTATTTCACATAGAGTTATTTTATTCAAACTAGCTATGTACAATAACGCTATTATACTGCTTGTGTTCATTGAGAGTAATTTTTACCGTATATAAGCCAATAAAGCATAACTTGTAATGCTCAAATGCCAAAGAATATCAATGTATATAGAGCTCTTAATAGAAAACAGCTTGTTGATAAGAGCTCTTATCAAATTTTCGATTTCATATTTTTTTGATTTTGAATGGCACAGTCAATATATAACAAGAACCAGGTTTATAAGAAACAGCTTAATATATAACCCGAATATACAGCCATTCTTAAAATCAAAAGAAAGAAATACAGAATCAATGTGTTTCTATTTAAATACAGCGCGCACGGATAGATCATTAGAGAGACCAGTCGAAATATCCCTAAATCCGACTGTGTTGATCGATTAGCACGCGTATCCAATACAAAATACTCAAATTTGTATAAGCAAGTACATAATTTATTTAATGGAAAGTTTACTTTTTTAGTTTCAGTAGACTGCATTCTGGCTTTTTACATCAAATAAATACTAGCAATTATCCCTCGAATTTCTTTAGATAGGGAAGACATTTTATAATGGCCATTTCATCTGTGCTCTTTAAGTATGAAGGCACAATAGACGCAGGCCGACTATCTGGCCTTTCCTCTGCACCTTGCTCTGAAGACGGGTTTGTTTGGTTCTCTTGTGCATATAGCCCGAAATCTGTCTCTTCTGTTCCTATGTAAAAATGCGGTCTGGCCGCAGACCCGGCGCTTGGCTGGGCACCTGTGCCTTCCTCTGCACTTCTGTTCTGGGCATCTTCTTCTTTGCTATGGCATGCAGCAGTCTTCTCCCTCTCTTCATTTAGAGCACCTGGGCAGGCCGGGCCTGGCACCTGGTCTGAATTACTTAGGGGTGTTTTTATATTTTCTTTTATTTCCTCAGTATTCTCTGCCTGTGCTGTTTCTTGAATGGCTGCTTCTGATTCGTTGTGTGGCGCCACATCTGCTCTCTCCTGCAAATTGCCTGTTGATTTGGATCTTTTTAATTCGTCTGTACTGTGTTCTGTGTGCTTAATATCTGCAGCCTGTCTTTTTGAATTATCTGCAATTTTATTTTTATCTACTTTATTTTTATCTACTTTATTTTTATCTACTGGGCTCTGTGGATTCTTTATTAAAAATGCAGGTTCATGCAAACACGTCGGCCTGTCTGCCAGTAAAGTTCTCTCTGCATCTGCCGCAGTGCATTCTTGCGATGTATTTAATTCTGTTTCCTCTGCATTCCGCATATCACTAAAGTTCATATCTTCTGTGCTGCCATCGCCTATGCTCTCTGGGCTGTAATACATGGAGAGAGCAACTGTTGAAAACAGAATAAAAACAACGCCGTATATAAACTTCATCATTTTAGGGTATAGCTTGGGCCTTTTATCGAAAATCCACAACATACTTTTGGAAAAGTAAAAATTTATAAATATATACTTTAGAATAATTTAAATCTGATTTAGATTGTTTCTAGATATTCTAAATCTTAATAATAAAAAAGAAAATTCATGTTGACTAATATCTGGCTATGTTCTAGCACCTGCTGCAAACAACACAGCAATGATTTTTTCAAATTATAAATATATGCTTGGAATAGCCATGGATAGCCATGATTCATCTTATAGTATTAAATATTTCGGGTTATTGGTCTGAGTATTCTATGAAACATACTACTTGATTTTCGAATATTAGACATTAGTAAACTTTAATGTTTATTGAAAATGCAACTCTAGTTATAGACGAGTTCCTTACTTTGTTTGCTATTGAACGTACACCTTGTCACCACACAAACAATGTTTTATTTGTCGATTTATTGCCGCGTTGACCACTTATCAATGTAACTCATGTATGCCATCGGCCTATGCTAGTCTTAGCATACAACATCCCGGGGCAAACCTTTTAGTTGGCTAAAATGTCTTACTAAAGTTGAGTTGGGTTGATCCTCTAATCGGATCGTGTATGAATCAGTTGTTTCGTTACCGGTAATTGTTCCCGCGCGTTCGAAGTGTTTATCATCCTTACTCACACGGACGTCGTTCTTAATGAGGACTTTATCTCCTGCTTGAAATTTCGGAAGTTCTTTTTCTTTAAATTCTTTCTTATATTCGGGTACGATGTGTTCTCTTATGAGCATCCAATTCTCAGGAATGAGGGCTTCATTAGGCGGCATATTGATCGCTCTTTGTACTTGTTCGTATGTACATGTTTGTTTTCTCGTTCCAGACATGTTCTACATTTCTCTAATATCTTCTTCAGCTTTGGTTGGTCATCTTGATACTGTTGGCCATAAGTTCTTTACGGATAGTTTTACGGTGATCCCACTCTTTATGTTTCTGTAGTACCTGGGTTTCAATCGCAGTTAAGGATGTAGATGCTATCCGGTAGATATGTTCTAGTCCTGGGTGTGTCATGTCTTAGGAAACACGCAATGATCGAGAAAGCGCGTCAGCTTGGATCATCTCCTCCCCTCGGCGATACTTTGGCACGAATGAGTATTCGTCCAACGTCTCATACCATCGTCTTATGCGTGCGTTTCCAAATTCAGGCTTGGTGTGGTAGTAGGTTATCGCTTGATGATCTGTTATCAGGTCAAATTCTACTCCCTGTAAATAGTATTTACATTTCTCCATGCCCCATATGACTGCATATAACTCCTTTTCTGTGATAGCGTAGCGCTGTTGTGTGTCTGTCAGTGTTGCGGAATAATACGCGATTACTCCTGCTTCCTGTTTTAACACGGCTCCTATCCCTGTATCTGACGCATCCGTCTCAAGAGTAAATCTCTTTGTGTAATCCGGAATTACCAGTTCGGTAGCTGATATTAGTTTGGCTTTTGCTTCTTCAAAAGCTCTCTGATGTATTTCTTCCCATTTCCATGCTTCATCCTTCTTTGTCAGGTTGTGCAATGGCTTCAAGATTTCAGATATGTTCACCAGAAATCGGCGATCATATCCTAGCAATCCTATAAATCTTCTTAATTGTTTCTTGTTTGTGGGTGCGGGATAATCTTGTATTCCTTGTACCCTAGATTCTAGTGGTCTGATTGTGTTGTAGCCTATTTTGTACCCTAGAAAATCCATTTCTTCTGTGGCAAAAACTGTCTTCTTCCAATTTATCTCCATTCCGTATTCTTTGAGTTTCTTCATTACAGCTGTAAGGTGTGCTTTGTGACTAGTCATGTCTTTCGAATATATAAGTATATCATCGATATATACTACGCAGCATTTTCCTAATAGTTCCCGAAGGATATTCTCCATAACCCGAATTTGGAAAATATTTGGTGCATTCCTATAACCCATAGGTAAGACTACAAATTTATAACATTGTGTTCCGATTTTGAAGGTGGTCTTGTATTGACTGCGCTCATCCAAAGGCACTCTGAAAAATCCATCCTTTATATCTAACTTAGTAAAGAATCTCATGTCTCTTAGATCATCTGTAATAGTCTGTATCTTTGGGAGCGGGTAGTTGTCTTGTGTCGTCAGTAAGTTAAGTTTTCTCAAGTCGAGGCAAAATCGCCATCGTCCGTCTGGTTTCTTAACTAAGTGGATTGGGATTAACCAGCTTCCACCTTCTGTTTCGACGACAAATCCGTCGTGCATAAGTTCTTGTACTTTTTCATAAGCAGACTCAATTTTCTCTCTGCTCATGTATCGGTGTTCACATGCTTTTTCTCCAGGCGTGGTTTCCATTACCACGGGAGTCACGTTGCCTGTCTGTGATACTTTAGCAACATTTTCCAGAATCAAATCGAGTTCGTTCTGGGAAAGGTGAGAGTCTTTATTTCGGTTTTCATATAAAGGGATTTCTTTTTCTTGTGTGGCAATGACTTTTTCCGAGGCGTCTTTAGTTATATTTTGGGTAACCGACTGTCCTTCGGTTTAATGTTATGTCCTTTGATATCTTTACCTGTTGTTCCCGTGGGTTCGGTTCCAGGAATACGCGCTGTTACGTATCTTATTTCTTTGCGCTCTTTTACTTCCATTTTCTTTTTATGTGCTGTTCTGATTTGTGAAAAGTCTATGCCGACTAGGCTCTGTGCAACCAATAACCACACTAATTTTGATCCTATTGAAATCTCACAGTTTTTTGTTTGACAATACTGTTATCGCATGAGTCCCTAAATCTTCCCCTTTACATGTAATGTTTACCATAATTTCCTTGTACGGTTTTTCCGTATGCCGGCTCATTGCTCCTCTTAGAACTTGATCGGAGTTCTTCTCACTGATGATGCACTTGGCTTTAACCAATGAGTTGTATAAGATTCTGTTTATAACAGTTATATACGTATCACTGCCCAGATAGCCAGTGGTGTCTTGGGCTCCAATCCGGATTAAAGCTCTATTTGGGTCGAATACGGATGTTTCCCCTCTTCGGATCGACTTATCTGTTGCTGGTTTTTCATAGCAATTCTTAGCCACATGTCCTGTTTTCTTACACTTAGTGTAAGTCTTATCTGCAGATTTCTTTTTAGACTTGTGCTTTGATTTCGGATTAACATCTTGGGTTAAGGTTTGTCCAGTTAACATGTTTCTTGTTGGACACCTATTTTTCATTTGATAATAGATTTCGGATGAGCTTAAATCCCAGTTGATACTCTTCCAACCTTCTGGATACTTGTTAGTTCCACCTGTTTCAATCTCACTGGCTAGTCTTTCAATAGAATATCCTCCAATGTGTATGGCAGCATAGATATGGTCTAACCATACTGTCCAGTCATTGTATGCCTGCTTGATAGTAGGTACTACAAATGCCTTCCGCTGTGCATATTTAGTTACTAGTTTCACCCATTCCTTTTCTACTTCACCCCATGGTGTTGTCTTCCCTAATGATTCCTCTTGTCCCAAGCGCTCTGCCAATTCCTCAGTTTTCTCACGTAATGCATACAAATTTGGATTCGCCTGACTTGTTATTCCCATACTTATGAGAGTCAGTCTAAATCCATTCGACATTTGTTTCAATGGATCGAATATCGTCCAAGTAACTCGAAGTTGCAACATTACGTCAAACGGAACCTGTGTAAATACTACTGTCTTACTGATCTGACTCAGTATATCTGCAATGAGTTTCGGTGAAATGTCATTACTAGCAGTAGTAGTACTAGATAGGTTAGATTCCACCTCTGAATAATCTGTCTGGTCTTCCTCTTCCGAAAGATCTCTAATTGGCTGTCTCTGGTGCTCAGGCAGACGTAAAGTCTCCTGAAGCTCTTGCTCTGCTGTAAACTCCTTCTTGTCTATACTACTTGATTTTCGAATATTAGACATTAGTAAACTTTAATCTTTATTGAAAATGCAACTCTAGTTATAGACGAGTTCCTTACTTTGTTTGCTATTGAACGTACACCTTGTCACCACACAAACAATGTTTTATTTGTCAATTTGTTGCCGCGTTGACCACTTATCAATGTAACTCATGCATGCCATAGGCCTATGCTAGTCTTAGCATACAACAATAATACTTCAAATTATTGATAACAAATTTACAATATTAAATGCGCAGTAAACTCCTGCTTTGTATACCCAGAAAACGATCGGTGGGACTCGCTTGACGGAATAATAAAATGCTGTATGATCTCTCCTCTAACTGTTTCTTCTGTGCCATTTCGGGTTATTTCATCCTCTGCTAACACTATACCTTCTACCTGTTCTTCACTGCTCAGAACCTTTATTCCTAATGCACACTTTTCATCGTATATAAATACATTATTAATATTTGCTACTCCATTAGAGGGATTAAATCTACCCGGCACTTTGCTGATGATGAAATAATAAAGGCTCGCTTGCACAGAGAAAATAAAACTGCTCTGGGGTGCGCATCATCTGATACATCTTGAAAGACAGTAATGCTTTGTCTAATCACCCCAGCCATTGGCCAAGTATCTACTGAATTTATTTTCTGCATTATTCTTCCAGCAAAACCCACACTGAATCCATCTGCTTCATCTGGAGTTGGCCACTTCATCTGCGCTATTATACACTCCATTACCCACCCTGGCACTTTTGTCTTTTCTACGCGTAATTTCTTCTGCGCCTCTGTCCAAACAAGTATTTTGCATATCATACCGGTGTGCGTCCTGTCTGCCCACTCGTTTATACTATACACGCCCCCTTCATTCTTTTTCAAGCATGCGCCCAGCTTCTCAGAAATAGTGCACAGCCTGAAATTCCCTAGCTTTTTAATGAGCTCTTTCGATGCGCACACTCTTCCTAGTTTTGTTGCCATTACTGTGTCTCTCTTAATGAAATGGCATACTTTTTTTTCTATTTGCAATATTTGTTGGCGTATAGCATTCTTGGTATTAATACTATATTTCTTTTTATTTCCTATCCCTATAAAAAAGCCTGTATAATTTAGACTATAGGATAGAGTGAAGCAGAGTGGATTTGGCATGCCACAAGAAGAAATAAAAATATAGCCTAAATCAGATGCATTAATTATCTGCATGCGCCTCTTGGATTCTTCAGAATGTAACTGATTCGGCTCCGGCGTTCTAACGCATAAACTGCCTGCTGCTTCTTCAGGCGCGCTAAATACCACCTTCCATACAAGCATGCAAGTTAAAAACAGCCCGCCCGAAATAAATAGAGTCTCTGCGCATTTCTTGGTTTCTAGTTCAAAATCTAATCCCATAGCTCATATTAGAAAATATGGGTTTAAACAATGCAAGGAAGGAATCAAATGATGAAATAGTTATGTATTGCTTTGATCTAGGCCTCAATGAGTACTTTATTTGCACAAAGCAGATGGTCTTAAAAATAATATAATTGCTCTCTATACACATGCAAAACTACATGAATTAAATAATGTCATATTGGTATATATTCATCTAGCAAATATATTTTATACAGTCTGGAAAACAAGAGAATAAAGAAATGTTCTGTCTTTTATAGGATTATCTTAGAATAGTTCACATGGCACAATATTTCAGACTCGGGACTATAACACGACATATATAGAGTAGACTGTTAGTATAAAAAATACAATTCACGTATGCGCTTATACAATTTTTAAAAAAGCGTTTTAATACTCTGCCAATTTGGACACAGCAAATTATTGTCTTTATTAGGCAGTCTGCAGAAAATGTACTTGTTGCCTGAAATAGTACAAAATATACTCCAAAAATTTGACTGGCATAGTACATAGCACGTTAAACTATTTTTATTTGAAATATAACCCAAATGCAACTTGTTTCTTGCCTAAGCTTTTTTAAAATATGGAGGTTTGAACTACTTCACACATATAATGCTTAACCCGAATTTCTTCTAATATTAATTCTGTTTCTAGCTCTTTTATCTCATTAACACCTGTCGTTTTATCTGGGATTGTTTTAATACGCAGCTGGAAGTCCATTTCATTACGTATTTTACTAGCTATATCTATTACTTTTATAGCCATTTCCTCTATTTCTGGTATAATCGATTTTTCTTTTTTATATGTATTTGCTGTAATTATTTGTATGTATGGACACATAGCACATTCTATTCTATAGATTGCATTACGTAGATACTCCAATACTTTAAAAATATCATTTAGCTTTTTGAGATTATCCATCTTAAACAATTGGACAAAAACATCTTCCTCTAGTTTATATTCTCTTTGTTTCTTCTTTATATTAACTAGATTGGTGTAAAGACTATTAATTTTTGGCAATTTTCTAATGCACTATCTACTCCTAGATCTATTAGTGCTTTAAAAAAGTCGCATATTTTTTTTTCATTGTCAATAAAAATAGTAGAAATAACATCTTCTATATCCCAACTCTTATTATGGATTCTCATAAACTGATTTCGTATCTCATTATACTGAGCTTTAATTGTTTCATTCTTATTTATGTATGGACCACATGCAATAAGCGCACCCATCATCTGGTACTTGCAATAGAATTCTTCTATATTGTTTAGAATGTAAATAGTATCATTAGCCTTGTTTTCTATTTCTTCCATTGACTTCAACTTTTCACCTTCATTAGTATTCCTATTATAAATAGAGTGCATTGTTTTGATGTTCTGGTCGCCTTTAGTCTGAATTGGATCAGAAATGCTTCTTTGGGAAATATCAATCGATTGAATGGCGTTTAGTAGAAAGCTGAAAGTGTTTTGATCCGTATTTGGTGTAGATATCTCTTTAATTGAACTTTGTATAGTTATCATGTAAGACTCATTAGAAATATTTTTAAAGTCCAACCCGTTCTGAGCGGCTATATTATGCAATAACAATATAAACTCGTTCATGTCATTTACAATATTTTCCCTACTTTTTTTGTCTTCTATTTTCTGCACACTCATAAAAGCATAATGTATATATTCTGTGGTAGTGAAATTCCAGGTTAAGCACAGCAATAGATTTTTTGCTTCAGTTTGACTTAGATGCCATAGTATTAGATTGGTAACTGTAAACAGATTAAATTTTCTTTTTACTACCATATATGACTTTATAAAGCGAATAATAGCATGCGGTGCATTCTTGTGTATCAAATATATAAGAATGAAAGAAACATAGTTCATAATATACACGTTTAAATAATGGCACATCGGATAAATACTATTTTCTAGAAATATCTTTGGGTTACTTTCCCTAGACTGTTCATAAATACTTGCAATAATGGCAAAAATAAGTAAATTTGTGTTTGTGCTGCATATATTCATGTATCTCCCTATTGTGTTTGCGGCTAATTGTACTGTTTTGTGGTTTTTGTCCAAGTTGTTATAAATGGCTTTTGCGAACAGAGCTGCCACTATAGTTTCATAATTACATTTTACTTCTAAATTTTCCCAAAAAGCATCAAATTCTAGATTTTTCTGCTCTGTAATTTTTATAAAATCCTCTACCTGTATGTTATTACTTGCATTTACAGTGGCATCTGACATTTTAATTTTATCTGCTAAAATAAATAAACAGTCACTCAATATATACTGTATGAAAGTTCTATTAAATAACACCGCAAAGCTATTTTTAATTCTCTCAGTTTCTTCATACTCATGATCTCTTAGTGATCTATTGATTAAACTTTCATATATGATGTTTATTGGGCCAAGTTTTTGAATCTTATTCCATATATATTCGCTTAATTCCTCCAATGGAATTCCTTCCCATGTGGAGTTCTTATTATATGAACTTATGAAGCATCTGTCAAATATTATTTTTGCAGTATTTTCTGTGCTTGTCATTTCCTGGGTTTCCTTACCTGGCAGATACTCACATAATAAATCATGCACAGTTTTAATAAATTCTTTTATTTCTTCAATACTATTTAAATAATAGTGCACATATTTCTGAATAAGAAATCCTGGTGAGTTAATAAAATTTCGGGTTTTGTACTCTTCATACGTCTTTGGTTCTACATACCCTAGTTCTTCTATTACAGAATTTGATGAGTGCTTAATAAAGAAGTTCACTATATTGTATGCGCACATTTCGTGTGCTTCATCTGTTTTAAAATACACTGCATTTTCTTCGATAATACTTGCATCAGCCTCTATTACTTCGGCAATGCTTGTACCAACCTCCTTTCTGCAGAAATTAAAGTGGAAATCGTTGGATTGGTTCTTCTGCAATGCCAGATGCATATGCTGGTTGTTTTTTAAAAACTTCAGCGGAATATCCAGTCCTTCTGCCAGAAGAAGCAAAGAAGCCAGAATAGTGTGATCAGCTTTATTCTGTGCTGTATTAATACTACTGAGAAACCTACAAAATATATTAGTTTTGTTTTTAAATTCAGACCTATATTCCTCTCCTCCATGGAACATTAAAAATAATATACTATAATACTCCTGCATATACTCTAACTGTTTACTCGTATATAGTGGATTTGGTATCACTGCATAATGCTTACATTTTAATTGTTTCATAATAGTATCCCCAGCCCACCCGGGATTATTAAATATTTCATTATGCTCCCGCTTAACTTCTGCAGAAAGGTACATCTTGTATAATAAAATGCCCATGCGCTCATATATATGTGTTCTTGCTGGATTTAGCGGTCCTCCTACGTGTATGTGTACTTCCCCCAGCGCAGGGTTGTTAATTGTATAGTATTTAAGAGGTGTAAGCTCCTCTACTCTATGCATTATAGCATATAATTGTTCTAAAAGAATTGTTAGATACATAAAGTACAGCGCCCGAGATGAAATGGGCTTTATCTTTCTTGCACACCATTTTGTGCATCTATCCTGTGGGATTTCATATGCCCTAGTGCCTATTTTTCTCTTTTTCAACCACATATTTCTATCTAAAAATAAAATTATTTGTGAACTATGCATGATTTATAAAGAATTTTAGGATTCCTATATTTAAGGAAATATTTTAACTCCTGCACAATGCATTCAATAAAGACTTACCTAAATTAGACTTACCTTCGGAAAGAATAAAAATTATAATTTTAAACACATTATGCCCATGTTTCATTCTTTAAACTAAACGAAAAGTACTCTGTACTGGTTCAGCAATAATATCAGATTTTAGTAAATATAAGTATCTGTAGTGAGATGGTATGTTATAGGATTTCTTATAAAATAACCCAAAATTATTTCGAATTTCAGATTATTTAGAGGAATTCCTTTCCACTTGCAACAAACAATTAAGAAAATGTAAAAACTGCATATTTATACGCTAAGACTCTTCATGTAGAAATAATAGTGTATAGTTGGTTCTTACAAGAAATAGTTGTAAAATTCCTTTAGAAAGAACTCTTTTGTTATTCCTGGCGTGTGCGTCTCTCAAAAATAACCTAACATTTATTGCTTCTGTTTTATAAATAGACAATGTGCATAGGATGAAATAAATTATGTAAGGCATAAATAATATTTTTATTTTAATAAATCATGCATAGTTCACAAATTATAATTTCTATTTATATGCTTGCTCTCTATTAAATTAGGCATACACACTCTTATTGTTCTCTGCCGTACTCTTCTTTTATACTACAGCCGGTGGCCTTATTGTTTCTTTAATGTTAAATGGCTCAAACTTACTTGCACTACTATTGGTTTCATTTAATGCTAGCGCGCTCTTATTATAATAATGCATAGTACTACTCTGCGATTACTGCTTTCTTAAGAGTGGCAAAGAACAAAAAGTGCAGCACTCTGTGTTCCCACGCGGTCTCCCATTGCAGTACTATCAAAGCTGTCACGCGCTTAACTTCAGAGATCGAACGGGTTCTGGTGTGTACGCAGGCATATGGCCGCACATGCATATTCTATGCCCATGGGGTTTCTTTCTGTGCATATTCTATTCTGCAATAATAAATTATTTTATTATTATTGTAGGCAAAGGATATGGACTAGTTATGCTTTATTAAAAATAAATCTGTACACTAATTTTATTTTTGAATAAAATAAACAATTTTAATTCTGTACTAATATTAAACTAAAAATAAAATCTATTTAATTTCTTAATAACCTAAGTCCTATAGCAATAAAAATTAAAACACTCTTATTTATTGCGCATTACACTGCAACACTAATAATTATTATAATCATCAGCACAGACTTTGAACAAACTTTAGAATGCAGAAATACTTGTTTTTTCTGGTGGATATATCGTCACTTCCGGTCAGCAGCTCTTCTTTGTTATCCTCCAGAAGAGAGCATGTGCTCTTTGCAGCGGACTCAAAGCACGTGGGCGATATTAATATTTTGACACGTTCTGTCAGACTGCTTGCATCTATGCAATCATAAATAGCCTTGGCAATCACTAGAGGAGTCTGTTCGCACCGCAGCACAATGTGCATAATCCAGCCCAGAAATATGTTGGCTGCGCAGTAATCATCAGACACCGGTGCACACCTTTTTACTGTGCACAGAAAAGATGTTATTTCGTTTACCATATCTTCCTCTGTTGCTATCTTGGACACTCGCTTAATCATATTCTCGCATAGATGGGCACCCCCGAAAAACGCATACCGCTCAACTGAGCAGTGCATTAGAGAACAGAGGGATGCACACGAGTGTGCAATAGATGAAACAGATGAGTCAAATAAAAACAGAGGACGGATCAGCGCTCTTATACCCGCAGCACTTTTGTACGCCTCTAGTAAATCCTCTGCATCATATTCTAGGTTGTTGTAGTAGTACAGATAGTTCTCGTTGTAAATGCATCCGTTCATGATTGCCTGCCTTACTCTTTTGTCATCTAACTTAACACTAGATATAAGCCTGGAAGTGAACTGCACCATGTGGTCTGTGATAGCAAATGTTTTTCCGCTCGTGTGGATTAAAAATACTTCAATGATTTTAGACGTATATTGAATGTCCCGCAGACTGCCATACACCAGAAGACCTTTCATAGCTTCGTAACTACCGTTTAATAAAATCGAGTGTATTCTGCGGATGTGCACACACTCTGTGCCCAATATGCGCGCAAGCCTGTCCATCTCATTTTCTATGTACTGACTAATAATGTACTCGTTGTAGTTTTCTGGCGCTGAATAGGCCTTCTGAATTTTCTCTAGCTCTTGCTTATTCTGCATAACATGGAAGTTTTTGTCTCTGTTGGCACTTGAAGCAGAAGTAATAAAGGGCATTTCGATCTCAAGCTCCCTATAGCTATGGAAGGGATACTCACTATATGTGATTACAATAGGGGTGCTGCACTCAGTGAATATGTCTGCTCTGCCACTCTCAGTCTTTTCTATCTTAAGATGGCTGCACTCCACTTTAATGTTCTTGTTCTCTGAGAGGGACTTAAATGCATTTTGTAAAACATTCTGTATTACTGCCTGATCTGGCTCTTCTACCTGTCCCTTCTTAATTATGCTACTTAACCAGGTAATTGCATCACTCAGTTCTTTATTAGTGCCTGCTAGGCCTTCTATGGCATAGAGCATGTTTAGCAGGCCAAACTCAATTTGTTTTTTGTCCTCTGTATAGGAAATATTTGCGCTTGCAGAATTATTTGCAGCGCGTACAACCATGCACCAGTCATTATGTAGTGCGCCGGTGGTGGTGTACACTGGATGCCAGTACTCAGTAAGAAACGCCTTTAGCTCGCTTAATGGGCTGGGCAGATGGGATGGATTGTGCCCGTTTATATAGTGGTTAAAAGTAAAACAGAAGAGTAGATCAAGAAGGGTGTGCTCGATATAGCTGTCCTCAGTCATGTCTACATACCCACTGCTTCGGAGATATGAGGGAATGAACGAACACGGCGCCTGCACATCTTTCACTAGGAAAGGAGCGAAGGTTGATCTGTCACTCCATATCGGGCGAATGCTGTGTATCTTATCAATATACTCCGTTGCTGCATTTAACAGTATATGGCTCTTCTCAATGAACAAAGAATAAAACACCCGAGACGCCTGTGACTCTACATCTGTTGCGATTTTAGTATTGTTCTGATCGGGCAAGTAATCATTGAGTATTTCATGCACAATGCGCACAAACTCTTCATACATCTCTACACTGTCTATATACTCAAAGAAGTATGACTGGATGAGAAACCTCGGATTAAATAAAAAGTTGCCAGTCAAGAAGTCCTCATGCGCTGTGGGAAGTAGAAATTTCTTTGGCACCTTTAAAGAAGAGCCTGGCGCAGTGGCCTTGAAGAAACACACAATCTCTTCTGTCACCTTCTGATAGACAAAAATTTTCTGGCTTTCATTTCCATCCTTCAAAGACATATATAGGTTGATATGGAAGCCGTTATCTTTTTTTTTCTTTAACACCAGACTTTTCCCCATCTTTGGATCGTTCTCTACATTAATTGGAAGGTTCACACCATCAGAGAGAAGAAAAAGAGCCGCCAGAATACGGAGATCGATCTGACTGTCCTTGTACATTTGCAGAACCCGAATGAATGAGTCGGGGGTAGAAGGCTTTATTAATATGTGGCTATTTTTAGAACAAAACATATTCATCAGCTGCCTTGTGAAGTACTGCAGATATGCAAGATTTTCCCCGCCCAGCCGCACACATGAATGCTTTTTGTGTGAGAATAGGCTAAAACCATTTTCTTCATCTTCATCCCTGTCATGTTGCTTTGTCTCTTCTGCATATAAGGTGTACATCCATAGATTTTGTAGATAGCCACACTTCCAGGCTATGTACATGTTCACAGGGGAAAGCCCTCCATTTGGATGTATTCCTACCAAGCTGTGTTTATCCCCCACTTCCATATTCTGCACCTTTATTGCGTCTTCTATTCCTATCACAGCACACACGCGGTGCATCATTGCCAATAGTAGTAATACTATAATACCATTCTTTTTCAATGTGTTTTTTATTATAAGCTGTTTTCTGCTCTTAAGTAGATTGCATTTCTCTTTCATATCTGGATTGAATTAAAATTAAATTTCTTTTATATCATATATATCTGTGATGGCACCACCACTCAAGCGCGCGGGCCCGAGACCTATCCTCCAATGCGCCTACGCGCGCGGTGATCCCGCCTCGGTGAAAGACCGGGATCTAAGAATCCCAGATCAACTTTGGACTACATAAGTAGCACGCGTCCAAACAAATGATGGGACAACCAAGAAACATATTTACTAAAAGGCTTAGCGCCAGTAGAGCGCTACATGGACTCCGCGTCCGCGCACCTCCCGATATTCTAATAATCATAATAAAGAGCATCCATCAATACTATCTCTATCTATCTTGGACGATGTTATCCGGGCAGCGACGGGTCCTCCTCGTGAGCATCTCATAAAGTATATAAATTTGTGTTTAATTTATGATCAAATAGTAATATATAAGAACTTTAATGTGAATAAAGCAAAGATTAATATGTTATATTCTATACCACAGCAAATTAAAGTAACAGAATATGCTATGCTTATAATAGGAATAATCTGCATAAATATTAGACTAGTACAGACGTCTATGGAGCTGGTAAATACATCTACACTAGCTTCTGCACACGCCCCTCAAGACCATATACATAAAGGGATAATTAGCACTATACACGGCATGGATTCAACTGTAGGTGAAAGAGAAGATTCTATTAGATATGCAAATAATATGTTAGAAGCATCAATACAAAAATATGGTAAAAATACAGCAACTAATAGTAGTACTGAACAACCAAAAAGAAATTTGAAAAAAATCCGGCAAACACGAAACGCCAAATCTGAGCATAGATACATTATATACAAGTTTAATTCAAATTTTAAAGCCATTACAGGAATGCAATTAAATGATTATTTGCAATACCATTGGCTAGAAACTAATAATTACTATTCGATTAGTAGCTATCAAACTATAGTAGATTCAAATTACTTTGAAGAATTGGTACAAGACTTTGTTGTTGTGTATTACATGGGAAATAACCCGAATATGCACACTGAATCTGTTAATATAACCCGAAATAATGACAAAATTATAAATGTACCTATTCTTAGCGCAAGAGTGCGTGATTACTATCCATTTGTAAAAGAAGACTTCAAAAACATGATCAAAACACACTTTAAATTAAAATTCGCAAGTCAAAAAATAGATTTGTTTCAAAAGTATGATATAAGTGAAGAGCAAGTGGCTGCCATGTTTTTAGATATGAATAAACCCCCAGCAATGTACAAAAAGCAAGACTTTGGGGATATTGCAAGATTTAACAGCTCTAAAGACTTCATAAATAAAATAGTTGACTACTCTACACCAAAAACAACTAAAGAAACGCTGAGTCGTCTTAAGAACATAATAGACACATCCCAAGTAAAATTAACTATGTTTATTGGAGGAATGTTTAATGAAATAGAAAAATTTGGTATGGCTTTGCCTAAATTCAATGTAAACAAAGAATATCTAGATATTGTTTCTGCAGACATGCCCCTTTTACTCGATTTGAAAAATAGCAGTGAAATTACTACCAAATTAACAATAAGCCACCTTAAAAATATATGGAAGTTTACAAATAAGTGCTTTATATATCAACTGTTTGGCGTCTTTAAATTTATTGAACATCTTTCAAATATAGAAACACCGTATGGTTTAAAATATTTAAAGGGTTATTTGCATAGCTATAAAGATGAGCATATAAATGAGGGAAAAGAGTATTTTAACAAAATATACACTATAATTGAAAATGCAAAAAGTAGAGTTTCCAATGTTGACGTATCCAATGATAATACATATGAGATCAATGATGAATTTGAAGAAATATGGTATTTAGTAAAAAGCGCAATGAATTTACTAAATTTTGCTACAATGAGCTTTAAAGACAAGCTAGGGGACTTACGTGGGTACGCTGTGCTAACTAATAATATAGGTCTATCTAATCCGTTGCAGAATGCGAACAATGACTTCTACAATGCAGCAGATAGCGATATAGAAAGCTATGTAGAATATATATGGAAAATAACCAAGTATGCAGTTGAACATATAGGACTAACAGATGAAGAAAGGGGATTAGATGAAATGTCATACTACATGGCTTTGATAAAAGAGCTGGCTCTCTCTTCTCCAATGCATCACATGCCTTCTACCACTACAGATTATATATTACCTACCACCACAGAAAAGATACCACTTCCTCCTACCACTACTATAAAAAAAGCAACACTTACTCCTACTTACATCAGCAAAGCAGGCCAAATCACATTTAACATGCTTCTAGCTGTCTCTGCCGCGGGCGCCTATGCCCTTCAAAAGATCTTCTTTCTTAGATAGTTAACTTTCTACACTGAGAAATACCCTCTTTACCAGAATAAAACTATTAATTAAAAACCTATTAGACCTAGTATCTTAATTACTCTATTTAAATAAATTAATTTATTCTAATGTCCTCCCTCTTAATCATCCTAGCATAATATAACCCAAAATAAAACTCACATGAATTGAATCTCTTTGCTATCATATAACCTGAAATAATCATATTCTGGGCACAAGTAGATACTTTACTATGGCCTCTTCTCATGTTTAATTTATCTTATTAAGCGAGGTTTCATGTCTTTACTTGTGCTGTTCAACAGAAATATGCCCTATTTATCTTTAATACTTCTTTTTTTCCTTTTGGATTATTTTATTTTTAAATATAAACATCATACAAATAAACTATTCATATAGTATTAGTAACACCGTATACGCTATTGCTAATAAAAAATAGAGAATTATATGGCAGTATAATTACCCATTAGTTTATGCCTTTAATAATGTAAAATAGAAGCTGGCATGATTACTAGAAAGAGCGGCTCATAGAGGTGAATGTCCGGCCATCAGTAGAAGAATCCATTATTATAAGAATATCGCCGCTTTTCATAAGCTTGCAGTTAAACATAAGAGGAGGGGCCGCATGTATCAGCGTAGAATATGCCGTTAGCGCCTTTTTTTGATTTTCGTTCCTGGGACTTGTGCTTGTAGGTATAAAAAGAACATTAAACAGACATAGCTCTTTAAGATCAGGCATTCTATCATTAAACATAACAATTCTATATATATCCATTGTTAACTGTGTTAGCGGGGCAGATATATACAGAGTTTTTATTTTGTTGTTCTGTGTATAATTTAATATACGGTCAGATAGAACCGATATTATGCTATTTTGACTTAGCTCTTTAAGGAAGTTCATTAGATATATGTGTTGAATGCTTTGCATGTATAAAAATGGAGGCTCTATCTGCTGGATCTGCCTAAGTAGTGTTTGACTGGCGAAAGTGGCAGTTTTTGCACTAATGTCAAGATAGCACAGTGTGCTGTCTATTGAAAATTCTAATTCAACTGGATCCATTAGGAAACAATAAACTTCCTTTACAAATACAATACAGACAGTATACACTTGGTTCATCGTAGGTAGCATTCTATTAAGCCCCAAATCTATATACAACTTAGCATCTACACGAATGGTAGTGGGAGAAATGTGCATTCCAATTGTTCTATTCTCTTTTACTATATTATTCCCTTCCAAAACATATGAGTCCACTAGAGCCGCCTCTGTGCTTAGATACCTCAGAGTCTCCTTAATCTCATATATGTCTTTTAGCTTAAACTCATTTGTGTATGAGTAGAAAATCTTATTCATATTTAACTCTTGAAGTGCACTCATTCTTTTTAGGAATGAAAAGTCAGGGCACACACTAAACACTATATCTCTGAGAGTGAATGATCTGACATTATTTATATGCTTTAAACCATTTAGCCGGTCGGTGTCCATGAAGTCAATACTAGATATGGATATTTCTCTGAGAAGTTGGCACATGGCTGCGCTACAAAGTATTAAGTTTGCATAGTGCCTGCTAATGCAGCCCAGATTTAGTTCTTCTAGATGCAACGGTAGTGATAGATTAATATTTGCGTTTGATTTTATAACTGATCCCATGTAAACAGAGAGGCTTTTTAATGAAATGCACTTGTTTAACATATTCAATACATCAAAGGATATTAGTGTTCTGCGCAGCAGAAGCTTTTCTATCGAAAAAAATATTGTATAGACGCTAAATGCATTTTCATTTAACTGGAGGTCAAACCCACAAATAACCAAGCAGCCCACACGCGCCTGGTATGAATTGTAGTGTGCTAATATCGCATGGATAATTATTGGCACAGGCTTAAGGCGCTTTGGATATGAAGCAATAGAAGTGGCAATATTCCTTCTGTCATTTTTATCGGTTCTTGTGTCCGCAATGCACTCCTTTAGTACATCCCAGAGAGTTTTGGTTTCTATATCTCCAGATATGCTGGTATTTTCAATTACAACTGTTGTTTTATGTTCAATAACTGTATTAATAGATATTTCGTTAATGAAACTTTGGTTTAATCCATGGCCCTCTAGACTCTTTTTAATAACTTTGCCCAGTACTTCTATTACTTCCTTTTTTTCTGATGCATATTTATATTCACACAATACTTGGGGCTCTTCACTTGTTTTTTCTACACTGCTGTCCTTTGATCTAAAGGTTTTTTTTATTTCTTTGGATTTTCTCTTTATCGTTTGATTCGGGTTATTGTTCTCTCTATTTATAAATTCATTGCTATTCGAGGTTTCTGGGGTCTTCATTGTGGTTGTATTACTTGCTATAAATACTGGCTCCTTTCTGTCGGTTTCTCTTATCATTTGATAGTCTTTTTCGAGTTTCTCTGAAAGTACTTGAGCTATTTTTTGAGTAATATTATTATTTTCCTTTTCCTTCTTACCACAATGCTTGGGAGTGTCAATAGATTTTTTGAATATGGGGTTTTTATCAGATGATGCTGAAATGTATATACAGCTCGGTGCATACATATATTTTCTTTTACTTAGATTAATTAAAGGCAGCTTTTTTATACTAATTAAGGCATTTAACACAGCCAAACATATAAGCAATAGCAGTTTTATTAGTGTGTTTTTTTCCATTAAAAATATAAACCTATAAGAGATATTCTGTTTGAAATAAGTTGCTTTCTTGAAATTGCTCATTCGCAAACTTTAACTATTATTTAAGTTTCAGTGCATATTTATATTTCATAAATATCAATTTAATTTATTATTCCTGGCATAACCCGAAAACTCTGAATTAAAAAGTGTATTGTAGAATCTCTTTATTATGATGGTCTGTACCCACTATTGAGCAGACATTTGTTTTATGTACACCTATCGTGTACACGCCTCTTCTGCTATTTCTGGATGTTCTATATTGTATACTTAAAATAAAACACTACCTCATAGAATTTTGGCCCCAGAGGTACTTAAAATAACCAGAAATAATAGTAGTAATACATCTAACAAACATTGTATTCCCAAACATCCTATGGATAGCTTGGCACATTCGATTCATTTGAACCCGTGTAAAAACATACACAGACAATTTTCATGGCCTTTTTCTAGTATATTTCAATTCGCGGATAGTACCTACTGAATTCTTCACTATAATGGTGGCCAATTAAAACATCCTCTCTTATCACCGGATTGTCCAGAGGAACACTGCCTATTATGTTGCTGGTAAACCGAACCAGCGGACTATTTTCTGACAAAGCGTACTCTTTTCTATAGAGAGGTAAAAAATATGTGATGATTCGAACCACATAATCGCTACAATCAATCTTTCCTAAAATAAACAGACTGTACACACTGTTTGAGTTATCTTTGATGCACGCTTGAATTTTCTCATTAAGAAGGTACCTTGATTGTATATACCAGATATCTGTCTTACCCAATTCTATGCCGATGTACTGTCCAATCAAACACTCTATATAGTTTTCTGGGTCACTGTACGCACTCTGTATTTCAGTAAGCGTGCGTTCTACGGTTTTGTCGTTCTCACTAGATAATAAATCTTCTATCGGGACAAATCTGGCCAGGCGTAGGCGTATATCCATAAATATTCCGTGTTTTATACCATTGGCTGTGTACATTAGCTTTATTCCACCAAAAACATCGTGCTTTGTATCTTCTCGCATGTTTAATATAAGCTTATTAGACTCTACTATAAGATTCTTATTCTTTGATAGTGACCTGAGCATATTAGTTAGATACTCTTCTATGTCATTCGGGTTAGATATCTTCCCTGCACAGCACATCTTCTCTATGTAATTAAGTGTTCTGCAAGCTTCTTGGCTCTCTCCAGCCACTTCTGCTAGAACATATAAAATGTTTAACAGGCCACCGCCTAGCAAATTGCCTCCCTCAAGCCTATACAGAATCTTATCACTCTTCAAGTCTGCCACTACTCTGCACCAGTCCTGCTGCATCTCATATCCTGTAGTTTCAACCGGCTTGCTGTATTTTCTGAAAAAGTCTTTCAATGGCTTTGAAGCCTTGGGCAAATGTTCCGTTGTGTATGCTCTCATTTCTGGGTCATAAACCAGACAGCATAATAAGCCTAGCAGAACAGTCTCTGAACAGTTGAAATACATTCTTTTGTCATCCAGTATAAAAGTATCTGTGTCTCTGCTATATGTACTCATTAGTTTGTAGTGTGGCAGCTGTAGTGGTGTAATGAAAGGGAAAGCATCATAGCTGTCTAGCATCTTGCTGTATTCATAAATGGAGGTTATGTGGTCTTTTGCGCTAGAAAGATCTTCTTTTTCTATAAAGCACTTTTCAAACACATAGCTATCCCTCTGGCTTACACTATTTATTGCATTAAATACACCAGAGTCATTGTAATCTATTTGCTCAGTTAAAAGAGTATGCACCGCATTTACAAACTCAATATATCGGCCTGCTATGCCAACAAATTCGTATATGTATGACTGAATAAGGAACTGTGGAGTACTCAAAAATTCCCCTGACATAAACTGCTTATATGAAATTGGCTCAGTGAGCCCATGCATATGGGGATTGTCTATATACCTGCGCAGAAAAGCAATAATGTCCACAGTCTCTGTGTGATAGTTCTTCTCTCCTTTTTTTAGCCGTGTCATGTCTTCATATAAAACAAGGCTCTGGGTAACATATGTAGTTTTTTCATCTTTACTTTTTAGAACAAGCTTTTCTTTTCCTTCTTCTAACTCTGCTACAATAGGAATGTTTACCTTCTCAGACAAGAGGAAAAGAGCAGCCAGAATGTACATGCTCTGTGGCTGCACTTCATCCCTTTTTAAGAATGAATACAGTGCATCTTCTCTGTCTGCTACAATAGAAAGCGACCCTTCTGCAAAGGAAAACATCCGAATTAGCTGTGTATGAAACTGCTTAAGATACTCGTTCTTCTCCAGATCCTCACAAATATCTGTATATGGCCTGTCCTTGGCGGGGTCTCTTATATACTTGTAAATTGGGCCTCCATTATCTGCTACTTCATTAGTTGGCTTCAGACTATATTCGGTGTCTATTTCGGGTGCATAGAGTCTCTTGTTATACATATACCCAGTTTTGTGCATAATATACCCACGGAATGGACTGAGTGGGCCATCTGGGTGGATTGCTACTAAACAACCTTCTCTCCCGAACAGAGTCTCATGCATGTCCTTTATTTCCTTTGGCATACTTCTTGCGCATACAGTGTATGCTACTAGTAGCAGCTTTGTTATTATACTAAAAATCATTTCAGGGAATAAAATATTTTAATTTATCTTGTTTCTTTTTAATACCATATACCCAAATAGTGCTTATAGCGGATTGTTAGAGAAAACTCGAATTATCTATCTGCTGCCATGCTTAATCCCATGCGTAGCATATTTTACTCTTTTCATTTATCATACCCATGCATTTCCTGTTATTTACTGCCATTTCGAAGCGTTTAGTTATTGAATTTACAGTATAACATTTATTCCTTATAACTAAACATGCCCTGATTTATATGTAGACTATATTGGGCTGTTTATTTCTCTACATGCTGCTGATTTTTCTCTTTTTTTGTATACTGCAAATTTATTCCCTCTTCGTTTTTTATACAAATAAAAGAAAAAATGAAATACATACACTATTATTACTCTTTATGTACAATTTATTTAAATTATAAAAGTATTATGTTATTCATTCAATATACATTGGTTAGTAGATTGCAGAGAAAGCTCTCGAAACCAAATTAAATGCATGGGCATAGTCCATAGATGGACATCTCATATGGCTTGTTATGAATACCCAGAAAATACAAGATTGTTTTCTCTTTTAGTAAATGCAAAGGACTTATAATTCAGATTTTTTGGCATATGTTCTTTATAAATCTGCAGAGTATTTTTTTCATCGATGCTTTCTGGCTCTGTAGTGTCTGGTGCAAAGGTAATATTTGATAGCTCTAGGTTTTCAAGATCTGGCATAGAATTATTAAACATAATAATTTTATACATATCTATTGTTACTGATGGCACTAAAGCTACTAGTTTTAAGCTTTTTATCTTGCTGTTCTTTGCATAGTTAATTATTTTATCTGAAAGCATGTCTATTATTAAATTTTCTTTTGGTTTAATACTAAGAGAATTCTCTACATGTATTGTTCTAATGGTTTCTATTTGTAAGAACGAGAATCTAATTCTCTGTAGGCTATCAAGTAATAAAGAGGCAGGGTCTACTGCTGTTTCCGGATCAATTCTAATATCAAGCCAGCAATGTGTATCATTTAGTGTAAATTCTAACCCAACTGAATATACCCCGAAATAGTCTATGTTATTTATAATTTCAATTCGGATAGCACACCTTTCATTCTTCCTAGGAGCTGTTTTATGCATCCCTAGGTCATTGTATAGCTTGCTATCTACAATAATATTGATAGAAGAAATGCTTTTTCCAACTTCTTTGTTTTTCTTCACTACGTCTGCATATTCATCGAGTATTTTCTTTTCTGCACTGTCTGGAACTAAGTATAGTAGATTATTTTTAATTTTATTCAATTCTTCTACTTTAAACTTTTCAGTGTAAGAATAGAAAATATTCCACATAGTTAGTCTTCTGAGTATATTCATCTGTTTAAGGAAGGAGAAGTCTGGGCAGCCAGAAAACACTACGTTTCTGAGTCTGAATGAAGTTAATTTGCTAAGAGTTGTTAGTTGATTCAGAGCGCAAGTATCCATAGAGTCAATTTCTGAGATTTCTACGTCTTCTAGATTCGGGCATAGGTCTACTCCAACAAGAATCCAGTTTAGAATTTTTTTATCAATATCAGATATAATTAATCTTTTCAGTGACTTTGGTAAAGAGGGAGCTGTGGCAGTGTCGCCGCTGTTTAACACTATTACTTTTGAAATTCTAAGCTTCTTCAAATTGTTAAAGCCTTTTAGTGTATTAAGGGTGCTAGTCCAAATAAATGTTCTGCACAGCATAAGACTCTTTACTTCTCTAAATATCTGAAATTCGTTGAAAATGTTTATATTTAGCTTAAAGTTAAACTGCAATAGGGACAAAGAAACAAAAGACATATTCTTTGAGCTGTAATACGTAAACAATGCATGTGCAATAAGTGGAATATAAAACAGGTCCTTAGGATAGCGAATAACAACTTGAATACTAGAATATAAGTGGCTGGCATCTATGTCTATGGACCTTCCTTCTTTGCATGCCAGCAAAGCCTCCCATAGTGTTATTTCTTCTATTGCCTTTATGCTTGAAATTACAAGGTTTTCAATTACAGGTATATTTCTGTTCACAAGAAGTGTATTGATAATATAAGTGTCATTGTAATCGCGAGGATCTAGAGCTAGGCTTGGGTTCTTTTTAGAAAGACATTCTAGCAGCTCTATTAACTCCTCTTTTTCTTGTAAGCCACATGCAGGAACTGATGCTAATTCTTGAGAGGCGTTTATGTTTTGATTTTTCGTATATTTTACATCTTTTATCTGGATGTTTTCTTGTTTTTCAGCTTGCTTATTTGAGACATTGCATTCCATAAACACTGATTTTGTGCTAGAATTATTTTCCATAAAAGTCCCATCCACTGGACTAAAGTGTGTATTTGGCACATATCCCAATTCCTTTGCATTTCTCTCTGCACTTAATGGAGTAGTTTTTCTTAGCGTAGGTTCGCTTTCCGCCGAGTTCAGGCGAGTATTTCTATTTAGATTATTTATCTCTTGTTTTTTTTCACAGGGATTTTCTAAAACCATATTAGTAGTTCTCTTATCTACCCGTTTGAATTTACGCCAGGCTGTGCAAATTACTATGCCTAGTGGCAATAGACACATAAGCATGAATATTAATAGTAGTGTTTTTGCATTATTCTTCATTAAAAACTAAAAAAATCTTAGATAAGATAAAATTTTAGAATTCTATATTTAAGGAAATGTTTAAACCCCTGTCTAATGCATATAATAAAGAGTATGCACCTAATCCGAAATTTAAAATAAATTGTATAATAATATTTTTATTGGTGTATGTGTTACATATTGAATTATTATACCTTCTATATAAATAGAATAATAAAAAGAAAAAGAGAAGAGAAGGAAGGAAGGAAGGAAAGAGAAGAGAAAGGAGGAATGGGTAGAGAAGGAGACTAAACAGAAAGAGAACAAATAAGAAGATAGAAGGCAAAGTGTGTATTAAAGAGTGTGGCAGTATATTTAATCCAGACAACCAATCTTATTGTAGTATAACTGGAATAAATTAGATGAGCATTTAAATAGGAGATGGTATGAATTGCAATAAGTAACCAATCAAAGAATAGTTCGGGTTATATATGCAATCAGGCACGCCCATAAGTGTTTATTATGCATTAACCAATCAACAGTAAAGATAGCACGGAGTTATTAAAAACAAAATAACATATATCTTTAAATTTATTTCTAGGATGAACAATAGTAAGCTGTTTTTTCCTTAAAGACTTAGGTATGTGAAACCTTGCTATTTATTGAACTTCAAACACTCCCATATAGTTTTCACCACATCATTTATGATCATAATGTGTTTACCCCCATCACAAATGATGAATGCACATATATTAATATCATATTTAACCATTGTTATTCTGGATCTCACTATCCAAACCAACATAGTATGATTATAAAGCTACTAGTGATGATGTACACGATATGTGCAAGACTTGAGTTGAGTGATATAAATATAATAGAAAAAACCAAAGTTGTTATTGAAGAAGGTAACTTGTTAATACATCCAGATGGATCACTTAGTCCATCCAGAGGATATATTATGCACAAGAGCGGATATATGTACAACAAACGATTATATGCGCCAGAAATAGACACAATGTATAAAGTGATAAAAATCGGTGAAGATGGCAGATCAATTTATGAATACGAAAGAAAGCCAGTAAATGACCAGGCATATGATGATATATATGACCCGAAAAAATTTAAAGCAAAGAATGATTATTTTCTTAGATTTCATACACATCTAATCAATATGTTTCCATGCACGGATGGTGCACTTTCCATCATAGCAGGAAGACTGGATGCACCCACTTCTTTTCTGCTAAAAGATGAAGTGCAGCCACAGAGTATGAACATCCTGGCAGCTCTTTTCCTCCTGTCTGAGCAGGTGGATATTCCTATTGCTATAGAAGAAAAGAAAAAAGAGAAAAAACTTGTTCTGAAAAGTGTTAACGGAGAAACTGCATATATTGACCAGAGCCTAGTACTTTATGTAAACAAGAAAAATTCAGAAGAAAAAATTAAAACTTACCACACAGAAACAGTTAAACTTATTAACTTTATGAAACACTATGCAGGAGATGCAATAACTTACATACAAAAAGAAGGCTACACTGAGCCAACTACATATGAGCAGTTCATGGAAGGAAAGTTCTTAAGTACCGTGCAGTTCCTTATTCAGTCGTACATATACGAGTTTATTGACACAAAAGAAAAGTATATTGAGTTTGTAAATGCTGTATATACTATCTTGAACGACCAGATAAATAACAATAAATCTATTTCAAAGAATAAAAAAAAGTCATACAAAAGAGTACTGAACAAGTGCTTTATACAAGAAGGTGCACAGCCAAGTAAAATCGACCACACTACAACTATTTACGATATTAAGGATATAATAGAAGACTTTGGAGCATGCCCATTTATTAATTCATCACAGCTTCCGTCCTATATTCGGGTTAAAGCATATGATCGGGAAAATGACGAATTCATAAACAATGAAGCTCAAAAATATTCTAACTGTGTAGAAGCAGCTCTGCTAGGGCTAGTGTGCTGTTTAGTATATGATCCAAATAAAAAGAAGTACAATACAGACCATCTGCCCGACAATGAAGAAACTAAGCCACTGAAAGACTTCTTTAAAAAGTACACTGAGCCAACTGAAGTCACCGATTATACAATGCACGAAGATTGGTGTAGAGTGATAGCAGACTTGAAGAATGACAAGATTCTTTACTTAACGGAGAAGACGAATGAGCTGGACAGCAGTTTGTTGAATATTCTTTATGTTGCATCATATATAACCCGAAGCAAAGAAGAAGTAGTTAAAGAAATTAAGTACTTAGAAAAGCTTCTTTCTAATAAGAATATTAATGATGGGCTTTATATAGAAGAAAGCTTGACTACAATATTCAAGGAGCTATCAAATAACAAGAATCTTGATGTAGAGTGTGACAAATTTACAGTGGGTACACGAGAAGATAATAAGCTGGACTTATTTGGTGTGTTTAAGCTAGTATATACTTTTAATGAGAAAAAAAATGGAATATTAGTAGGAATAACTTCAGGGCATTCCTCAATAAGCTTATTAAAAAACTTATTGTCTATTAAAGAGAAAAATACTATTAAAAAAAAGTTGACTGAAATACAAAATACTTATAGTAATATAGAGAGTTACACAGCATACATAATTAGACAGTATATAAACATAGAACTTGCTAAGAAGGAAAAGAAGTATGCATTGGGCCGAATTCAAGAAAGTATTAGAAATAACCATGATAATATAAATGATATTTTCCTTCACGGGATGATTCTATCTGTTGACCAAAAAGTAAACATTGTTAAATACTTCTTGGTCATGCACGTAAAGAATACTCTACCAAAAAACAATTCACTAGTTCGGTTTACCAATAATCTCATAGGAAGCACTCCATTGAATGATCTAGCAACAAGAGACAATATGCTGCTTTATTGCATGCTTAATAAAGACAGCAAGAACTACTATCCAAGAATTGAGAGCTGCTGGGAAGAGGTTGCTACAATCACTATATATAATTTTTATACAATAATTATTGAAATTTTAAAGAAGTCAAACTATCCCCCAGATGTTATATTAAAGTGCTTTAAAAACTTGATGATGGTTGTGGCAGATAGTGATGAAAAGTATGGTTTTATTTCAGGATTCATATTAATTAACAATATAGTGAATTTTTCTATAAAGACTAATGAGCCAACTAAAACACTTTTAGAGTTCATAAAAATAATAGATGAAACAGTTATGCAGCCAGATGGATCAAATATATTTGTTATTTACTTAACATGGATTGCCAATGTAGAAATAAATAATTATTGCAGTTTAGATAAAAGGAAAGAGATTATAAAGACTCTAATGAACAAAATAGATTTTAATTATAATTTTAATCTAGATAACAAATGGGATTGTTGGGTTCTTGACCATTTCTATATATTGAAAAAATTGAAAATGAGTAAGGATATATTTTGTGATAAAGAAATCCCAAAAAGTGTTGAAAAATACGACCGTCTTGTGAAAACAATAAACAAAATTATTGAATTGGGCGAAAAAAGACGTTCTAGCGCCTCTTGAATCGTTTTACACGTAGAAATGCATATGTGAATATTGAATCTGGTGTACTCATGAGAAATAACGCTATTGCTTCCCTGCTACGTAGCCAACATAGAGAAGATAGTGAAAGGAGAGAGTGGAGAGAGCTATTCACTGTGTTTAGGAAGCGGTCTAAGTCTGCACGGACTCGTAGTCCGAAGGGCACAGCGGTGCTAGGCCTGGTGCTGTAGTAAGCTATCTCTACTCCTTTGAGCCTCTCTCTAAATTAGAATAGATGTCTGGGTTAAATAGTTGCAAGCTGTTCTACTGTGCTGTATGCTAAGACTAGCACTAGTATAGCACTACATGAGTTATCTGAATATTTACATAAACATGGCAGTATAAATTCAATTGATGTTACGGTCTATAGATACATATTCAATAAATTTCGGAATTCTATATTTAAGGAAATGTTTAAACCACTGTCTAATGCATATAATAAAGAGTATACCCAATTCAGACTTACCTTCAGATAAATTGTATAATAATAAATTTTCTTAATGTGTTCTATAAGAATCTAGTACTAATAAGCATAAATAACACATCAAAGCAACATATATTGGAATAAAAATATTATTGGCTCATCCTGATATATACTGCAAGATTTCTGTCTTATTATATAATTTGCACTCTACTGCCCTAGCACAGCGGGTCTAAATTTACAATATACCCCGAAATGATAAGTACATGCCCAAAACTTGAGTATTTATTGTTCTCATACATGTTTTTATTTAAATTCTAAAATTATTATAGTTATTTATTCGTATAATATAGGTTGGATAATAGACCATAAATAAGACTTTTTAGTCTTGGCTAAAAACATGAACCGTAGTATTTATCTGCTTTAATTGGTTTTAATATAGAAATTAAGCAAATTTAAGAATATTTTCTTCTTTGATAAATGAATAAAACTTGCTATTTGGATTTTTTTGTATATACTTTTTATAGTATTCCATATTACTTGTTTCATTGCTGTTTTTATATTCTATACTGCCTGGATCAAAACCAACATTGAAGAGGCTCAGATTTACAAGATCTGGCATATTGCTGTTAAACAAAGCAATCTTATACAGATCTATTGTTACTGAGGGCACTAGGGACACCATAATTAAGGTTTTTATCCTGCTATTTCTTGCATACTTCATAATTTGGTCTGAAAGAATGTTCATTATCGCGCTTTCTTTGAAGACATTATTAAGAGAGTTCTTTAAACCTATTGTGTCAATGGTTTTTATCTCCAAGAATGGAAATTTAATGCTCTGTAGGCTCTCAAGTAATAGGGCTTGTGTAACCACTGTGGTTTGCGGCATAGTATTAACATCAAGCCTGCATTGTAAATCATTTAGAATGAATTCTATTCCAATTGAATCTAACCCGAAGCAATCTAGGTTATTTACAAATTCAATTCGAATAGTATGCTGTTCACACTCTCTAGGTTCTATTCTATACAGCTCTAGGTCACTGTATAGCTTACTGTCTATATCAATATTGGTAAAAAAAATACGGCTACCAACTTCTTTGTTCCTATTTACTACATCTGCATATTTATCCAACACACTATTTTCTGTGTTTTCTGGGATTAAGTACATAATGCTTTGTTTAATTCTATTCAAGTCTTTTACTTTAAGCTCTTCTGTGTATGAGTAGAAAATATTCCGCATAGTTAATTTTTTAACCATACTCATTTTTTCGAGGAAAGAGAAGTTTGGGCAGCCAGTGAAAACTATGTTTCTGAGTGTAAATAAAGCTATACTTCCAAAATCTTTTAGATTGTTCAGAGCATATGTATCCATGAAATCAATGTTTGAAATATCCATTTCATATAGATTATGGCAGGAGCTTAATCCAGAAAGTGCCCAGTTTACAATATCATTATCAATGCCGAATAAAAGTAGTCTTTCCAGATTCTTTGGCAGTGACGCGGTGACGTCAGAGTTTAAAATTGTTCCTCTGGAAAGAGAAAGCTCTTTCAAGTTACTAAAATCTTTTAATATGTTAAGCGTGTTTGTGTGAATGACCGTTCTAGAGATTATAAGCTTCCTTACTATTTTGAATATTTGAAATTCATTGAATATATTTTTGCTAAATTGAAAGTCAAACTGTAATAGATGCAAACAAATATTAGACATATTGTTCGGGTTATAATAAGTGAACATTGCATATATAACTGCTGGAATATCCATCAGGTTTTGTGGATAGAAAAAAGTAACTCGATTAATAGGGTCTGAACTGCTGATATCTATGTCTATGGACTTTCCTTCTTTGCAAGCCTGCAGCACCTCCCATAGTGTTATTTTTTCTACTACATTTATACTGGATAATCTAAAATTTTCAAATACAACTGTGTTTCTGTTTATGAGAAGTGCATTAATAGTATAAATGTCATTATAAATTTTTTGAGTTTTTGGAGCTAGGCTTGGGTTTCTTTTAACTATGCACTCTAACATTTCTATCAACTCCTCTTTAGGATTGCGCACTGGCACTGGTGCCAAGTCATGCGGATATTTTATTATCGGATTCTGTTCTATCTTATTATGCTCTATATCGGGTGTTTCTTTTATTTCTTTATTTTCTTGTTCTACATCTATATCAGGAGCATTATATTCTATAGATATTGGCTTTATGTTTGATTCCTTTTCGATTGAAATTTCTGGCTCTATAGCACAGCCGGTAGTAGAGGATATATCTTCTGCTTTGGATTGTCTATCTTGCGTATTTACTTTGGCCTCTTTGTCTGAGCTACTAGATAATATATCTTCTTCTGGCTGTGTGTTTTTTTCTGCATCCAACATAGTGTTTATACTTAAATTAGAATTTTGGGCCATGTCTTCTATATCCAAACCTTCTTTTTTCACACCCAATGGAGTATTTATATCTGATTCATCTAGAGGCTTTGTTGACTGTAAAGACTCAATGTCTTCTAGATTTTCTGTTTCATTCTTTGTTGTATGCTCTGTCTCTAGCATTGAATGCATACTACTTGTTTCTGCACTGCTCTTGTTTGTTGCTTCTGGTTTATACCGAGGAATGACAGCTATTACACTCGCTACTAATAGAAGGCTAAGCCCACAAGACAATAATGCATTTATTAATTTCTTCTTTTCCATTAAAACTTTGCAAAGGATAAATTATTTTAATACTCCTATGCTATCTTTACTAAAATTAAAAATCTTATATATTTTTAATCTTTTGTATTTCAGATAACATGTAAGACATAAATAATATTTTATTTTTAATAAATCATGCATAGTTCACTTAATATAAGAAATGTAAAGAATAAATTATTTTATTTTTAATAAGCCAATGGCTACCTCACAAGAAACACCTTTAATATTTAAAAGCCTAGAAGCATTAAACATGAATCCTATTCACAAAGCACACACTATGCAGAAATGCACATTATTGGCTACAGTTTAGAGTATATTCTTTACTTTCAAAAATTCAATCCAAACCATACAATTGTTAAGAATATATTAAATTTTATCTACTATTTAATAATTGCTCGCCCCGAAACTATCAGCAGAGTCATGGGCCCTCTTAACTGTCCCATCTTCATGTACACTTGCTTTGTGTACTTCTTCTTTTTTAGTATGCAACTTGCTCTAGTATTTTTTCTTTATTTTCATATTTCGGGTTGTTTCGTGTTATATTTTCTTTTAGACAGCACATATAATATCGGCTGTGTGCCACTGTATATTATTATGTAGGAGAATTTTTGGGCTTTGCCTCACAATTTTCTTTGGCTCTTTTAAAGAAATTTCGAGTCTTTTTTTTCCAAGTCTTTCCCCCTTCCTCTCCTTCTTCTTGTAGGCTTGCACCACTCAAGCCTGAGTATATACTCCATCTGTCTCCGTCTATAAATTTACTAACACGATCTGCACCAAAATTACTGGAAGACACTTGAAATCCTTCGTGCTTATTTGAACTGTTTTCCGATAGTTGGTTTTCTTTATTTTTTCTGATGTAGTCGCGAATCTCTTCCATATAGCCCGAAAGCGGCGTGAGGGCTGTGCTTATTTTTTCGTCAAACTGTTGTATCTTCTTTATAAAAACTTCAAAGTTAAAAATTGTCTGCTCAACTTCTCTAACCGTGTTCTCACTGATTTCTAGCCTTTTTTTTAGTTTTATGATTTCATGAAATAAAATTTCAACTATTTCTGTGTTACTTGTTATATGCTCTTTTATTAGTTTCATTTCGGGTGAGTCATCTTTTTCTTTATACCCCGAATTGCCTTCTATGCAGCCCTTTTTCTGCTCGTATGATATAGCTATTTTCTTGGATGTTTCTTCTATCTTCTTATTGTTTGTTTTCATTCGTTTCTGTACATTGGAAATAGTGCTTTTTATATTCGCTATGCTCTCTGTGTCTTTTGGCATTGCTGTATTCTCTTCTTCTTTTATTTTGGATTTATTTCCATCTTCTGGTATACTTTCTCTAGTCTCTACTGTTTCTGGGCAGGGTTTTATATTCTTATTTTTATACTGATCCTGCCCACTGCTTCCATTGTCTATCTCAGTAGATATGATATGCTCATCGATGCTACTACATGCAACTGTCGGGCACTCTGTTTCTGCAGAAGTTGCATTTTTTAGACCGCTCTGCTCTAAATATAAAGTGCATGCAACTGCAGTAAGAAATTCTAAAATAATGAATGGAACTATGGGGATATAATAGGGACGTCTCTTTTTGTGTGTATACTCTTGCCGCATTTTTGTGTTTTAGAAGCTTCATCTTAAATAGAAATACTCCTAAATCATTTGATTATTTAAGTTATATACGCGCTTTTTTTATTTGCATAAGTTGTACTTGATATAACCCGACATTATTCTGACTATTTTATGTATTCTCCCTATATGAACCGGCTTAATCTAGCCAATCAACAAGACATTTCAAATATATACTTGAAGCGTATATATGCGAGCTGTGTTCTCCTTGCTTTATATTTAATTATGTGCGAGTATCGCTACTGTGTATATTGAGCCTTGTTCCATTTTATTTGTTTTTTCTTTAATATATTTTAGTACTATTATGTTTTATTTATTCTATTTTAAAATATAGAAATCCTAAAATTCAATATTGTTCTATTTTTTTTCTTTAGTGTACACTTTAAAATACTCTTATAAATATTTATTGTAAGATATAAATAATATTTTATTTTAATAGATATCTGAATATCTCATAGCCAATAAACCACTTAACATTACAATACATCCAGAAAACCATTAACAGCCGCTTTTCATTAAAAATATCCCAGAAACAGTGTATAGAAAGAGTTCAAATATTATTACACACTCTATAAGTATACATTTGTTTAAACTCTAAAATTAATATAGCAGTTTATTTATTCATACAATAGGATTAGTCATTGCGGCATGTAGAGAAAATTTTCTTACTTGTATTAAATGCGAAAACTGCTGTGTGATTGAAATTCAAGTGTTTGCTATGAGCTTCCAATAATTTTTAAAGCATTGGTTTTCTTTTTAGAAAAAAAGCGGCTTTTAATATTTGATTTTGGGTTGTCTTCTTCTTTAATAAATAAGTAGGCCTTAAGATTTGGATTTTTTTCCATAAACTTTTTATATGATTTCATAGCCAATTTTTCATCTTTATCTTCAGGTATAGTGCTATCTGCTGCAAAAGAAATATTTGTTAGTTTTAGATTCAGAAGGTCTGGCATAGTATTGTTAAACATAATAATCTTGTACATATCTATTGTTACTGAGGGTAATAGGGAGATTAGACCTATACCTTTTATTTTGTTATTCCTTTCATACTCCATAATTTTGTCTGAAAGCATGTCCATTACTTCATTTTCTTTCTGGGTGATAAATGTATTCTCTAGATATATTGTGCCAATTGTTTTGATTTCTAAGAACGGGAATTCAATTCTTTGTAGAGTTTTGAAAAATAATTCTTGTGTGATTGGGTTGCGCGGAAGCCCAACTTTAATATCGAGCATCTGGTGTGCTTGGTTTAAAGAAAAACATACTGTAGTAGTTTCTAACAAGAGATAGCATGGGGTTATATCAAACACAATGCTTATATTATACTTAATTTCCTCACTAGGCTCTATTCTATGCAGTCCTAGGTCATAGTACAGATTGCTTCCTATATTGATATCTGTAGGAGAAATACAGCTGCCAACTTCTTTGTTCCTATTTACTACATCTGCATATTTATCCAACACACTATTTTCTGTGTTTTCTGGGATTAAGTACATAATGCTTTGTTTAATTATATTCAAGTCTTTTACTTTAAGCTCTTCTGTGTATGAGTAGAAAATATTATACATGGATAGTTTTTTGAGCGCCTTCATTTTCTTGAGGAACGAAAAGTCTGGACAGTCAAAGAAAACCACATCTTTTAGAGAAAATTCATTTAGTGCATTAAGAACTGTTAGTTGGTTTAGTGCATGAGTATCCATGCAATCAATCCCGGAAATATCTATTTCATATATATTATCGCAGGAATTTAACCCATTAATTATCCAGTTTGCATGTGCATTGTCAATACCAAACATAATTAGTATTTCTAGATTCTTTGGTAGGGAGGCAGCCAAGCTGATGGAATCAGAGCTTAAAATCTCTCCTGTATAAAAAGAAAGCACTTTTAAGTTGCTGAACTCCCCTAGTGAATTAATAGTGCAGGTGTGAATAATTGTTCTAGATATTGTAAGCCTATATATCTTTTTAAATATTTGAAATTCATTGAATATGTTCTTACTATACTGGAAGTCAAACTGTAATAGAGACAAAAAAACATTAGATAGGGTGTTTGGATTGTAATAAGTAAGCATTGCATGCACAACAAATGGATTATACATCATGTCAGGAGGATATAAAAGACTTATCAAAATAGTAGATTCACTGCATGCAGAATTTCTGGGAAGGCCTTTTTTGCATGTCTTCAGCACCTTCCATAGTGTTATTTCTTCTACTGTCATTAGGTTAGAAAAAGCAATTTGTCTAATTACAATCGCATTTCTGTTCTTAAGAAGTGCATTAATAGTATGCTCGTCATTATACTTTTCCAGCTGTGTAGACAGGCTTGGATTCTGTCTAGCAATGCATTCTAGCATCTCTATTAGTTCCTCTTGCGGGCTATATACAAAAACTGATGCTATTTCTTGAGGACGTTCTATTTTGGAATTCTGTTTATCCATATCTCCTATATCTGGCATCTCTACAACCTCTTGTGTTATGTCCATCTCTGATAGACTGCATTCTTTACATATGAAATTTTTATCAGATTCCATTTCTAGGGGTATTTCTGACTCTGCAGAGGATCTGTTTTCTTCTTCTATTGTTGCTAATAACTTTTTTATATATAATGGATTCTTGTTAGTTGGATGTATGCGCAGCCTGTCTTCTTTCTTAAATGAATTCGCCGCGGCACTTAGATTACTAAAGAATTCATCTTTTGTATCTAATGGGTTATCTGTATTTAAACTAGTAAGCACCATGCAGTCTGAAGTTATTATCTGCATTTCTATATTCGGAGAATCCTGCGCATATAAAGTAGTAGATAGCATTATATCTTCTGGTATTTCAAATGACTTTCTTTTTGTATCCAATTGATTGCCTGTATCCATTAAATTCGTATTCAATCCGCCTTCTACATCTAATGTCTTTGTTTCTGGGTCTAAAGCAGCATCTACGCCTGAGCTAACGTTTATTAGATTGTTTTCTGCATTGGACACTTTTTCTTCCTCTTTTTTTATATTTAATGCAGCCTCTGTGTTTAAACTACTAGATATTATCTTTTCTTCTGTTATTTCTTGTAACTTCTTGTCTACATCTAATGAATTATCTGTATTTAAACTAGTGTCATTTGCCATTGGTGCTATTTCTTCTTTATCTAAAGCAGTGGCCTTGGTCTTATCTAAAATATTTTCAAAGCTTATCTCATGCTTTACCTTACAGTCTTCTTCTATCGCCGGTTTCGCACTAAGGCTTTCTTTGCTGCTCTTATTCTTTACTTCTCTTATATTTTGAGATGTAACCATTAATACTCCTATTCCTACTAGACAGCTAAGCATGCACAGCACTATCAATACTCTCACATTTTTCTTCTTCATTAAAAATTAAAAATCTTAGATATTTATAGCTGCGTATTTAAGATAAGATAAAAAAGCTTCTCCGTTTTTATATAGAAATATAGTGATAGCAAACATAACTAACATCACAAAATAACACAAACCATACAGAAGTGAACTTTATTTAAATACCATAAGGTATAATTTCAACTTAAAATTCAATTCATTATATGTAATTAGTACACAGATGTTAAATTGGATCTGATATTTAATAATTATTCAATTTCTCGCCAAAAAGGGGTACATATATTTTGTGTATCTTGTGTATGTATAATCTTGCTTTAGATATCGATCGGCAAGGCATTCCTATTACTTTAGGCAGAGTTTTATTGTGTTCACCCATTTCCTTTTCATATTTTCTTTTTCTATTATTTTTACCATGAATTGCTATATGGCAGTAGATGAATTCTACTTTACACATTGTTTTTACTGAAGTTCTGAGCTTTTCTTCTCTTATGTTACCTTCACATCTTCAATCCCTTATCGAGAGTGCTAAATATAGTTACCGCATATGCAGTCTAATATTTTATCTATTTCTGTATGTCTGAAGTTTAATGGCTTGCTCTTTTCTAGATAGAAAATGCATACCCATGCAATAAAACGGCCCGGATATAACGAGCAGTACAGCGACTGAATGGACACACTTGAGGCATCTCTTTCTGCATGTACACTCTTCTTGCATTTTTTCTTTAAAAGTCTTATTTAAATCGAAAAACTACAAAAATCATTCAATATCTTGAGCTATGTATGCTCAGAGATTACAAATATATTACATCTGAGATGCTTTTCTCCAATTTAAATTTCGGGTTATATCATGTTTATTTCTTATACATACTAATTTAATCCAACAAATCAACAAGATTGAAATTCGGGTTATATACTTGAAAAGCATCAATAAGATATGTTTGTTGTGGGGCGGTTCATTTTTTATTCTTTTTAAGTTTTTATTTTCTTGGCATGCTGTCTGCTATACATGTGTATCATAGAGAATAACCAGTTTTTATAGTATTTTATACTATTCGAGTTATATGCTCTAAATAAGAGCAGCTCCTAAGACAGCAGGTCTAAATTTACAACATAGCTCAAAATAACAATTATATAACCGAGGCTTGAGTATTTATTACCATTCACATACATTTTATTTAAATTCCAAAATTATTATAGTTATTTATTCGTATAGTGGTAGATTCATTGCTAGGATTCAATTATTTTGTTATAAATTCCCAACAAGCGTAAGATTATTTTGTTTTTTGGAAAATAAGTAAGACCCAATTGCGTTATTCGGGTTATTTTTAATATATTTTTTACAGGTCTTCAGAATATTTTTTTCATCCATATTTTTGGGGATTATGTATTTTGTTGTAAAGGTGATATTTGATAGCTTTAGGATTTCAAGACTCGGCACAATTCTGTTAAATAAATCAAGCTTGCGTATATCTATTCTTGCTGCTGGCACTAGGGATACCAGTTTTATGTTTTTTATCTTGTTGTTCTTTGCATACTTCATAATTTGATGTGAAAGAATGTCCATTATTGCACTTTTTTCTGATTTGTTGTTAAGGGAGCTCTCTAGATGTATTGTTTCAATGGTTTTAATTTGTAAGAATGGAAATTTAATATTTTTTAGATTCTCAAGCAATAAGGATTTAGGATTTACTGCTGCTTTCGGCTCAACTTTAATATCAAGGCAGGAATGTGTATCATTTAGAGTGAATTGTAATCCAACTGAATTAGCCAATAAATGATCCATACTATTCACAAACTCAATTCGAATATTATATGGTTTCCCTGCTTTGCATTCTATTCTACGCAGCCTTAGGTCAGCATACAGCTTGCTATCAACAATAATATTCATAGGAGAGATGTAATCGCCAACCATTCTGTTTTCCTTTGCTAGATACGCATACCCGACCATCACTTTTTTTTCTATAATGTCTGGGAATAAGTACGCTAGATTACTTTTAATTTTATCTAACTTGTTTAGTTCAAATTTTTCTGTGTAGGAATAGAAAATATTGCACATGAACAACTGATTTAGTTCACTCATTTGTTTAAGGAAGGAAAAGTTTGGGGCACCAGCAAACACTATGTCTTTGAGTCTGAATGAAGTTATTTTGCTAAGCGTTTTTAATTTGTTCAGAACAAAGGTATCCATGAAGTTAACTCCCGAAATATCTATTTCTTTTATATTATCCCAGGAGTCTAATTCACTAAGCATCCAGTTTACATTGTATTTATCAATATCAGATATTTGTAGTCTTTCTAGGGTTGTTGGCAAGGTTGGAATAATGCATGCATCGCCTATATTTAATATTAGTCCTTTTGAAATATAAAGTACCTTCAAATTGCTAAAGTCTTTTAATATATTTAGTGTGTTGGAATAAATATGTGACTTTGCTATTGTAATGCTCTTTACTTCTTTAAATATTTGAAATTCATTCAAAACATTTATGTTAAACTCGAAGTTAAACTTTAATATAGATATAGTGATATTAGATATATTTTTCGGAGTATAGTAAGTGAATATCGCATGTACAATAAGTGGAATATACAAAAGGTCGTTAGGATAATAAAAAATGATCCACATAATAGGGTCTGAACTGCTGACATCTATGTCTATGGACTTTCCTTCTTTGCAAGCCTGCAGCACCTCCCATAGTGTTATTTTTTCTACTACATTTATACTGGATAATCTCAAATTTTCAAGTACAACTGTGTTTCTGTTTATGAGAAGTGCATTAATAGTATAAATGTCATTATAAATTTTTTGAGTTTTTGGATCTAGGCTTGGGTTTCTTTTAACTATGCACTCTAACATTTCTATCAACTCCTCTTTGGGATTGCATGTAGAAACTGATGCCAATTCCTGTGAATTATTTTCCAATGGATTTGGACTTGTTTTATTTTCTATACCCGAAATCACACTTTCTTTTTTTATAAGCTCATTTAAATCATTATATTTTGTAAATACTGGCTCTGTGCTAGGTGCATTTTCTGTAGAAATCTCTGCTTCTTTATTAACAAAATTAAATGGTATGTTTTCTCTTACTGTCTGTTCTTGCTCCTTTATATTTAATAAAGTCCCTGTGTTTAAACTTGTATGTGGCGCTATCTCTTCTGTATTCAACGCACTTTTATTTAAAATATTCTGTGCGCTTGTACTTGGTCTTTCTGGGGGTTTTTCAATGCTTGGAGAGTTTTCTTCCTCTATATCTTTTATCTCTAGACACGTTTCATATTTTGTCTCTAGCACTGAATGATTAACATCCCCACTCCCGAATTCTAGACTATTTTCCTTTGTTGCAAATATTATTCCCATCCCTGCCAGACAAACAAGTATGCACAACATTAAAAAGATTTTCACGCTCTTCTTCTCCATGAAAAATTAAAAAATCTTAGATATATATCTATATTTTTGCATCTGATATAAGATAAAATAGAATATGGTTTTTTCTAATTATTTTTCTATATGAATATAAAATTTTTAAACATAAATAGTATAATTTGGGGGTATACTAGGAGCGCACTGTGTTACATGCCTTTTGGTATACACTATACATCTCAAAAATTCAATTCAATCTGTGCAATTACTGAATACACATTAAATGTGATCGGCTGCTTACTAATTACTTATCCTAAATCTACAAATAAAGGTCTATGGGCCTGTAATTTGTCAGTCATAATTTTCTAGCTATTTCATGTCTTTTTCGTTATACTGCTTCATACTTCTATATACTATGAGGGCTCCTTTTCTTTTTATATAGCTTGTAGTATATTTTTCTTTATTCCGTATTCCTTGGATATACTCCCCAGTAAATCTAGTATAACTTTACAATATAACCCGAATAATAAGTATACGCCCAAAACTTGAGTATTTATTATTCTCATACATGTTTTTATTTAAATTCTAAAATTATTATAGTTATTTATTCATACAATAGTGTGCTTGCCACTGGGAACGAAAGAGCGTCTTAGTTGTATTCTTAATTAAGTACATGAAATTAAACTATAGACGTATACCCCAAGTATTTTGTTATGGATGCCCTGTAATTTTAAAAGCACTTCCATTTTTGACAAATGTGCATAGTTTAAAATAAAACGAGCTAGTGTTAGCTTGGATATATTCTTTGTAGTATTTCATAACACTTTCTTCATCCTGACTTGTAGGTTTGGTATTAGTTAATACAAATTCAATGTTTATTAAATCTACCCCATAGAGATCTGGCATACTATTATTAAACATAATAATCTTATACAGGTCTATTGCTGTTGAAGGCACTAAAGACATTAGTTTTAAACGTTTTATCTTGTTGTTCTTTGCATACTTCATAATTTGATCTGAAAGAATGCCCATTATTGCATTTTTCTTGAATATATTAAGAGAGTTTAGTAGATGTATTTTTTCAATAGTTTTAGCCTGTAAAAATGGGAAAGCAATATTGCGAATGTATTCTAGCAGCATTGCCATAGGAATTTTAGTGCACGGCTTGGTGTTAATATCAAGTTGGTAGTGCGTGCTGCTTAGACTGAATTCTAATAAAATTGAATCTACCCAGCCACATTCTATGTTATTTGCAAATGCAATACATATATTGTGTCTGTGGCCCTTTACTGGCTCTATTTTATCCAGCCCTAGATCTTTGTACAGCTTATTGTCTATACAAAGATCTGTAAGAGAGATGCCCTTTCCAACTTCACGGTTTCTTGTTATTATATTTTCATAGTCTTCAGGTATTTTGCTGCCCGAATATCCTAAGTCTAAGTTTATATAGTTATAATTCTGCTTAATTACACTTAAATCTTCTATTTTAAATTTTTCTGTGTATGAGTAGAAAATACTTCTCATAGTTAATCTTTTGAGAGCCTGCATTCTTTTAAGAAAAAAAAAGTCCGGGCAGCCGTCGAACACTATGTTCTTTAAAGTGAGCGAAGCTATGCTCATATGATTCGATATAAAATTTAGGCCCATTGTATCCATAAAATCAATGCCTATTATATCTAAACTTTTAAGATTATTGCATGAGTTTAATCCAGTAAGTATCAAATTTGCATAGTATTTGTTAATGCAATGTATTTTGAGGCTTTCTAAATTAGGCAAATGCATGCGCAGGATAGTATTATTAGAGTATAAGACTGTGTCTGTTTCAAAGGACAGTTCTTTTAAATTAGTAAACCCACACAATGTGTTTAATGCACTGGTGCAAATTGTCACATTAGATATTGTGAGTTTCTGTATTGTTTTAAACACTTGAAAGTCGTTGAATATATTCTTATTGGGCAAAAAGTCAAATTGAGATAGTGTTAAACAAGTATCGGAAATCTTGGTTGGGTCATAGAGTGTAAGCAATGCATGCACAATAAGTGGAATGTATATTAAATTAGAGGGATACAAAAGAGTGACTCGAAGAATATGATCGGTGCAGTTGTTATTTATGTCTATATAATCTCCTTCTTCACATGCCCGCAGCACCTCCCATAGTGTTTTGTTTTCTATTTTACCTGAAACTCTGAATATTTTAGCTACATTTCTATCTTTGTTTGTAAAAATTGAATGAATAATTTTGAAATCATTAGAATGGACTAGTTTAGGCAGATGCGTATGTTTTATAACAATACTCTCAAGCATTTTCATCAGCTGTATTTTTTCTAAATTAGAGGAATATTCTGATGCTAATTCTTGTGAATCGCTTATTGCTGAATATAAATTCGTCATTTCGCTATCTTTTTGTTCTATACATTTCTCTGAGAAAGTGTATTTTGTAGACACTGGGTGTGTGTTAGGCGCATTTTTGATATGTAGCTCTGGCTCTGTTTTATAGGTAGTTGAGAGAATATCTTCTGTGTCCAATGGAGTATATATACTTAATAAGCTAGTAGATGCTAGATTCTCTGCTTGAAGTGTCTTTCTTCCTGTGTCTATAGTAGTATTTTCACTAGAGTAAATCTGGTTTGGCTTTGAAAAAGTAGCTAATTTTATATCTGCATTTTTATTTTCATTTTTAAATCTAGCGATGTTGGTGCTATCCTCCCCATCAATCTCGTCTGATGATTTAGAGCTGTTATGCATTCTTTCAAGGCTCTCTATGTTTTTACTTTCTTTTATACCAATATGTGTCTCTGGATTTGTTATAGGTAATATAGATTCTACTGATGGGAAAATAAGTATACCCAGCAGTAGTATTGTTCTTATTATGCTCTTTTTTTTCATTAAAAATTAAAATGTCTTAGCTATTTATATTTTTATAAAAACCCAAATTTAAGATGGCTTCTTGATATTTTCTGATTATTTGTTATAATCGCGCATGTACAAATAACTAAACTTCTTAAAGCATATAGATGTGTGGCCAGTACAATTCCGGCTATAGTATTCCATAACATTCTCTAGCTATTTAGGGTTGTTTTATAATAGACTTTATGATTGTTGAAATTATATCAAATTAGATATACTGCATAATAGTCACAGGATCCAAAAGATTAAAGAGTATGGCTTCAGATTATATAACCTGAAATTATACGTAATAAATGCATGAATTTATCTGGAATAGCACATACTTTAAAATACCCAGAAATTAAGTAATATGAATAGTTGTTATGCGGGTATATAAAGTATAAAGGTGAAATATTGCTAGACAATATGCCGCTGCATGGTTTAAAGATATGCATTTTTGTTACAGTAATATTTGTGTGCATGCTCTGTCTACACTCTTGCACTCCGCTTGTTTTTCTCTCTTTTTCTACTCTACTCCATCCTTCTATTTCTAATTTGTTTTATTATTATAAAAGAGAAACAAATATAACTTGTATACTATTATTATTTTATTTTTATTCTTACATATACTTTATTTTAAATACATTTATATTCTATTTATTCATTTATAGAAAACACCATGCAACATGCAGCAAATAATAGCAAATGATATAACACAAAACACACATTTCAAATAGTTTTAGAAACAGATTGCACATTAGCAATATAAAAATACTTAAAAGGATTCTTTATTTATTTTATATATACCCTAGCGTTTTATATGTAGTTAATCGGCCTAAGGTTTTATTTATACTTAAAGAAATGCACGGAGCATGCTTTTCAAATAATTCTTTTAGAGCGTTGTATTTTATCTGACTTTCCGGGTCATTACTGCCAATTAATATGCATTCTATTCTTTTTAGAGAGCTTAAAGCATTAGAGAGCTGGTCCTTGGAAAAAATTGAAGGGATAATAGTCTCCACTCTATTAGATATGGAAGTATGGTCTATAGAAGTATATATAGGCATAACAAGATAAATTGCCAATTTGTACTTGCTGCATAGATAGACAAACCAGCACACATACACATCACTAATAGTATAATCACATGAAAAAACCACATATTTGTTCAGTGCATAAAAAACAGTCCCTAATGTATTAGCCATATTATTTTCAATTGGGGCTTTAAGTTCATTTGGATCAAGATACTCAATTGCTAAAAAATCTTTATGTAGCTTATCTATTATATTTAAAAAGACCCAATCCTCAGTAAGGCTATAAAATATATTTCTATCTCTTCCATACACCCGCAGCAAAGATATAAAAGACTTAATAACCATGCTTTCTGGCAGATTGAGTTCAGTTATTGATTTAAACAACAGCTGTATATCATTAGAAAATAGCTCCCCTTTAGGAACAGTGTCTACATCATACTCAAGCCAGGGATAGTACTGCCGATACTTCTCATTATACAGGCAGCCCTTTAGAATCAACTTTCTTACATCGGGATCTTCCAGAGGAACACTTCTTATAAGATTAGAAGTGAATCTTACCATGGGATTTTGGCAGTCTAAAGTTTCTCCATTCGAGTAGATTAAAAACATTTCAACAATATAGGACTTTTTCTCTATATTTTCTAGGCTACCATATAGAAGTAAGCTAGTTGGATTATTATACCAGCTGCATATGTCAGATGGCATTTCGGTAGTGAAATCATAGTATTTACCCATTGCGCGCGATAGCTGTATTAGTTTAATGCTTGCATACTGAAGAACAAGACACTCCATATATGTGCTAGCATTGCTGCGTCTTTCTTTCATCTGTATTAATTTACTTTCTAATTCAGTAGTATAATAGTTCACGCTTACTGTAGTAAAAGCCTCTGGGTACATGCACCCTATTTCTAAAGTTATTTCTCCCTTCATATTGTTAAATGTATAAAGAAGCTCAATTGGGTCCTTTTTGGTCACAAATAACTCATTATACCCCAAGCTGCTTTGCATCACCTCAAACTCTCTAAGACTAACCTCTACATTCTTATTCTTTGATAGATACTCAAACGCTTTCTGCAGGAGGTTTTTTATCTTTGAACATTCAAAGTTACTTGACTCTTCGTCATTGCAAATTTTCTCTAGACAGGCAATTGCACTTTCTATGTCTGCATTACGCCCGGTAATTTCGGATATGACATATAACATGTTAGTTACTCCCGGCATAATTTCATTATTGTTTTTTCTTGAATACTTAATCCTTTTGCATGGCAGGTCAGAGACCACTCTAGACCAGTTTCTTTGCATAAGATAGTCGATTTCTATAGTTGGTGCATTGTATTTCCTAAAGAAGTCCTGGAGATCCTTGGATGCTCCTGGTATGTGATCTGTGGTATATTTTTTTGTTACTGGGTCAAATACAAAGCAGCAGAACAGACTGAGAAGAATTGTTTCCATAATATTTGGATAATAAAGGTCTCTGTCTGTTTCTAACGCGTCTTTACTTCGATAGTATGGAGGTATGTGTGTGTATCTAGATGGCCGCATGCCACTCATAAAAGGTATGCACATGCACATCTTTCCTGCTTCTTTAAGCTTAGAGATGTCTGCAATATAGTTTAGATTCGGTTGTAATAATGTTTCCTTAATGAATAGACTGTCAAATACTTGCTGTGCTTTGTTTTCTGTCTCTATGCTCGGATTCCCGCTCTCATCACTGTTTGACATCTTCTCCGTCAGCAATTCATGCACAGCTCTTACAAACTCTTCATACATCTTCACACTGTCTATATATTCAAAAAAGTATGCCTGTATGAGGAATTTTGGACTATTTAAAAAGTTACCTGTTAAAAACTCTTCGTAGGTATTAGGCATCAAGAACTCTTCTGGTACCTCTAGGAAGGAAAATAGTTCAGTATTAGTAAGGCTACTGAAGAAATTTACTAAATCTTCTGTTTTCTTCTGATACACTGTGCCCGCAATTGTCCCATCTTCTGTTTTATCCTTTATAGCCATGTTCAAGTTAACATGGAATCCACTCTCTGCACCTTTCTGCTTTAGAACAAGTATTTTATCTCCAGTATTTCCGCTTTCATTCACTATTTTAATTGGAATGTTCACCCCTTCTGCGAGAAGAAAAAGCGCGGCTAGGGCGTATAAACTATCTGGTCGGTCTCTGTGCTCTCTCAGAAATTGTGTGAATGAGTCAGGGCTGTCTGACTCAATGGATAAGTGCTCGCCTTCTGTAGGGAACATAGTAATCATCTGCTGAGTAAATTTCCATAAATATTCACTTTTCTTGTCATCTTCACTGGCGCATGCAATGCCATTTAATGGCTTCTTAATACACGCATCAATATAGTTATTATTAGTTGGCTGGTTGCTTCTTTTTGGATTGTACTTTATATCATCATCAGATAAATACATTCGCATGTTCTGCATGTATTTGCAGCGATCTAATAAATATCCCCGTAGAGGGTATAGTGATCCCTCTGAATGAATCGCAAGATGCCCATCCCCAAATCTCATTTCCTGTATCTTTTCTGCATTTTCTAGTTCTATTTGTGCATATAGACCCTTTATTATGCATAGAAGCGCCATAATATATCTTTTCTTTGAAAGAACCGATTCTTCTTTTTGGTTTCTCCTGAACAGGGTACTACACTCTTTCATTTTTTGTTTTGTTAAAATTATTTTTTATATCTTAGATATGAGATTATTGTATATATTAATAGCGTATTATTAAGCAGATTTAAACACCTCAGATTAAAAGAGATAGCAAAACTGTCACTTAGACCTTTTCTGTATAGAAATAAATATATTCACAGCCACATAAAAACATAGTATTATAACACAGAGCCAAACAAAAGCAGCTTAAAAGAAATATGATCACCAGATGCTATAAAAGAATCAAATAGTCTGGTAATAAAATGAATTCAGTATATTCGCAAAATATTTTGTCCTATTACAGCGCCAGCAGTAGAAAAGTCTAAGTGCACGGCCCTCATGCTCTACAGATTATTTAGTTTTGAATAGCACTGTTCAAATTTTAATAAAGCCAAAAATTAAAGTAAATTATTTATTTATTAGCTGGTTTGGCACCTCCTATCATTAGAATTTCGAGTTATTCTTTAGTATAGTTCTGGTATCTTTTAATGGTATTTTGTTGATCTGTACATTAATAGCATTCTACAGCGTAATGCTACCTTTCTTCTTTAATTTAATCCTTCTTAGCTATTTTCATTTCATTTCATTTCATTCCATTTTATTTTTATTTGCTACAGAGCCCTGCATGATTTAGTCTGTTTTAGAATTCTGCTGAGAAGACTCCAGAGTTTTGGCCGCTTCATCTATTTGCTTTAAGATTTTTTCATCCTCCTTATTCTTTTCAATTTGCGTCGCTTTATCTGCTGTATCCTCACCTCCTATAACAGGATAAACACCATCCTGTGGTGTATATAAATCATTTGGTATGGCAGCAGGCACAGTAGTATTTACAGTTAATGGATTTTCTTCTGGCAAAGCATCTGTGGGAGTGAAAAGGTTTGCTGAGTTCATGACTGCTTTTTTTAAATGATCTTTTGAAATTTCATAATGGTTCTTCGGTATTTTTTCTGTATCCACTACTTTTAGCTTCCTATCCTCCTGGGCAGAAGCTTCTTTTAAAGAATCTGCAGGTATAGAATCCAGGGTCTGTTGTGGAGCATGCGCATTACTAGAGTTATTATGGCTATTTTTCGATTGCTTCTGGTTATTTATGGATTTTATAGCTTTATCTTCAGATTTCTCATTGCTTGTGTTAAGCATTTTTGAATTTGCTACATTCTTTTTTTCTAGTGTTTCTTTGGATCTGTATAAAATAGCGACACCCCCGATTGCTGTACCAACTAGCAGAACCCCTCCAATAATAAGCACAATCTTTATATATTTCCTAGCCTTATTCTCAGAACTGAATGACATGGGTATAAAGATTCTCTTTGTTAAATATTATTTTTGAAGATCAACTGATAGTTTAATGAATATTGCCCATTTTAAAAAAGCCGAATGTGTATAAAACTTGCTGACAAACAGTTTTATAGTCTAGTAAGGGTTCAAATATCTGATTTGGCAACAATGCATGTGTAGAATAGAACGCTCTGTTTGCTTGAATACATGTATTTTATAACTAAGAGAAAATAAATATGCATAAAGGTATAATTTTCAGGCTATTTTTTAGGGCATACAGCGCTCTTTGTAGGATTAATAGACATGTATGCACACGCACAAAATAGTATATTTAGTACGGGCATGCTTTAATCCAAGAAGATACAACGTATATAACCCAAAATAACTGAAAAGGCATATTCCTAGTAACAATAAAGTATAAACAGTTTTATATTTGCAGCCATTATTAGATTAAATATAGAAACCAAAATAATTTATTCTATGTGAAATAGTCGTGCTTTACTAAAAATAAATATTATTTATGCCTTACATTATATTAATCATCAGATTTATTAAGCTAAACACTATTACTCAGCTAATTGCGGCCGGCACCCATAGACTCACTAGAACCATCAGAGTCATCAAAGTCTACCTCTTTATTAAATATTTCTATTATACTATTAAGCTTTTTTATAAAAGTATCTTCTTCTGAGCCCTGTTTGGTGGTAGTGCCTATAGTAGCATTATCTATCGTGGATGTGGCACTGGTGTAGTCATTTTTTATTTTATTAAGAACTGCAATTGTACGTTTTGCGCTGTATAAAGAAACACACTCATCATTATCTATGCCTACTATTTTTTTATTATCTGCTAGATTGATACATGCCTTTATTATGTTTATGTATTTCTTTTCACAGGCAAGGTTAATAAATATTAATAGCGTGGAAGCTTCTATATCACCCGACTTGCTGGTGTTAATTCTTCGTATATCACTGATAATTGAAGTAATATACTCATCTTTTTCCCCCTTTGCAGTCAAGCAATCTATCAGATTTAAATAATTTACCCCCATTAGATAAAAAAATGGATATAGGGTCTCTGTTTGATTAGTACCTTTTAGGCCCATGTTGGTAATCGATAGTTTTATAATATTATAAATAATGTGTGGGCAGTTCTCGTCCAGCGCAATTTTAATTATTTCGTGTGCTTGTTTAGAAAAGCAATAAGCAGGAACACATACATCTATGCTATTGAGTAGCCGTGTAATGTCTGGAAAATAGCCGCACATTTTGCTGAAGTATAAAAGAAGAGAAAGTTGGTCATACTGCAAGCTAGAATCAAATGCGGGCACACTTTCCAACAGATTCTTAGAAAAGCGCACTATATAATGATCCTTGTCCAGCTCTAAAGCACAGGCTTTAAACAGTAAAGTCCGGGTTATGCTTATAATGGATCGTGTTGGCGGACAGATGCTATTTCCAATGACAAACTTGTCCAGATTTATGTACCCATCGTTCTTTTCTATCTTAGAAATTGATTTAATAATTTCTTCTTCTATAGCATACTCTGATGAAATCTTGCATAGCGCAAAGTCTATGTATGCAAGAAGAGCATTTCTTACAGCAGACTCGTTTTCTTTGCGTACTTCATTTTTAAGATCTGTCAGTGCATTTTCGTTCTTATCTATTCCAAGAATTATAGACTGAATATAAATGCTAGTATTCGGATTTTTTGCTTCTAATACTCGCTTATTGTTATATAAATGTGAGGGATCGCGATTATCTTTAATGTCTGTATAGGAAGCGCTTGATACATTTTCTGTTTGTGTGGGCGGAAGGGCTTCTTTTACTATATTAAGATGTATGCACTTTTCAATATAATTATTATTTATGCATATTACTAAGTTTCCAAATATATCATACTTCTTCAAAGTTTGAGAAGCATTTAAATTTAGAAAAGAAGTTGCATCACAAATAGAAGCATTTTGATTACTATTTACCGAAAGTTTATCAATAAGATCTTTTATGCATGCCAAAAGCATAGGTTTAATTTTAAAATTCCATACATTATTTAAATTTGAAGAATTTTGTATACCATCTATTGATTCTTTGAGTTTTTCTATTTTAGCTTTATACTCCTCATAACAACCTGCTAGAATTGCAACAACAAAAAACACATTTATCACATCTGGGTGTATTTGAGTTTTGTTCTCTCTAAGATAGTGAACATCATCATAAGCAATGCCACTTACTATCTTCCTCCATTCCCTGTGGACAGTGGGAGAAACCGAGCCAAACAGATACTTATACTTACTGAAGAACCTCTTTAAATCATTTGATGGATTGGGCATGTGTTCTGTTGTGTGCATATTCTTATCGTGATCATATGTTAAAACACAAAAAAGCCCTAGAAGAGCAGTTTCTACATAGTCAGTGAACTCTTTCATACTAGCGTTCTCCTCTAAAGTAGCCACAGTGCACACACTTTCTTCAGTGCTAGAAGTTTTTGGGTTCTTTCCAGCAGCAATCTCATTGTTATAAATATCTGATGCTTTCATTGCATGAAATTGCATCTGTGGGCTATAAAATACATCACTCTTTTTGATTAGAATATTCTGCACATCGCTTGCTAGCTTCAAATATCGCATTCCCTCATCTCGGTAATTAGAGGAAACAAAATACTTGTTAAATATACTATTGGCCGAATCTTTTAAAGAAGAGTGCTCATCTGAATTTCTTTGTGTATACATATATAACATATCATGCACGGTTTGGGCAAAATCTTCCATTTCCTTAATGCTTTGTATATATTCATATATGTATAATTGTATAAGAACCAGCGGGGTCTTCATAATCTTGCCGCTTTTAAATTGCTCATATGTATTTAGCGCAGAAAACTCTTTTTTATATAAGTGATTGTTGCTTCTATTATTAATAAAGAAATCTATCACACTAAAAGCATCTAAATACTCAGTACTCACTGCACCATCTACTCCAGATGTATTTTTTGTAGGCTGGGTGTTATTTTGGCTTATGTTAATTGCAAAGCACTGTGGATCAATATATTTAGAGGTTAGAGACAGCTCTGTGTTATTTTTAACCATTAGAGGGATCTCCATCCCCTCTGCTAAAAGCAGAAGAGAGGCAAGAATCTTATATCTATACTCAAACACCAAGCTGTTATTAAGAAACATATAGAAAGATCCTGGCTTATTTGTTCTTATAGAAATACCACCATCTAACGAAGGGAACATTTTAAGAAAAACCTCACTATGGCTTTTGATATAGCTTGAGTCCAATACGCCTTCACCATGCACAACTGAATGGGTTGTGTCCTTCTCTGGAATCATTACGTTTAAATACATTCTATGCGGGGATTTGTCTTCTGTCAATTTTTTATACGATTCCAGATTAATTCCTGACCATATAAACCGCATATAGTAAAAGACATCAATTCTTTTTAGTATAGTAATGTACATTGGGTTAAATGTGCTCTGAGGATTAATTATTAGTTTATTCCCACCTGCGTCTTTTATTTCATTAGATGCCATAAATGCCGCTTGTTCTTCAAATGTAAGAGCGGCATAAGCATGCCCAATTAATATTATCTGCATTGCCCAGAATAGCTTGCATAGAATTCCATGCTTCTTTTCTGAAGGCTTTCTACTGTAGCATTTTTTCACTTTAAGCATGCTTATCCATGCTTTTATATTTGTTACTTTTGAGTTCATTTTGAATATAAAAATAAAAGCTATTTATAGATTTAAATATCCAATTAAGTTTTCTGCTTGTGATTGGCTAGGCCGCGATATTTTTTAAAACAGATGCAGTTTATTAATATTTCGATGTTCTTAGGAGAATGCGATATTGCCTCCTAGTTATTATAGCCAGAAATAGATAGAGTATTTCTGAAAAGTGCTATTTATTATGACTATTAGATTGTCTAGACGTGCGTGATCACAAAGTCTCGGCAGAGCGCTTGCTGTGCTTGTTATTTAGTTAAAGTGTCTTTTCAGTTCTTCTATGAGTCCTTTTCAGTTTGCCAAAAAGCGCGCTGCTTAAATATTTAAAGCCTAATTTGCTGCTCTACAACCCGGCCTTTGTTTTGAAGAATCTTCGCGCCAGTAGTAGTGTCATATCATCATATATGGTAAAGAGCGAGACATATTCTCTTTTCTTTTTTTGCACTCGCTACTTAGAAAATTAACCATCTCCTTCCAATCTTTATTTTTAACCCCGTTTTCTTGTATTTTAGATAGCGCGCATATTGTATCCTCTAAAAAATCCACACTAGAACTTTCGCTTTCTTTATTAATAGTCTCAGTTGATTTTAATATCGCACTTTTGGTATACATTTCAATAAGTTCTGGTATAATCCTTTCATGAATCTGGTTATTTAGGATAGCTATGTCCAAGAGAACTAGAAGAATCTCCTTTACATCCAGTGCCTGTAGACTAGCACCTGCAGTATTTTTTTCCTTCTGTGCAATATTTACAATATGTTTAATATATTGAAGAGTTCTGCCGTTTTGGGTTAAACAACATAGTAAACTCTGTCTCTCTTCTGCTGTTGTGTGTCGTGTTATTAAAGTGGAAAGAAGCAATATTTTTGTTTTTCTTCTTACATGCATGTAGGATATTATAAGGCGGGATAGGGCATGCAGTGCATTCGATTTTGCTAAATATACGAACATATCTGCTATTTTCCCTATGTGTATTCTTTCTTTTTTATTAGATCCAGAAATAACCTTGTCAACCCGCTTTATATCTGGAAAGTAGTCTGTAGCATGGTGGACAATATGCAATGCAACCAGTTCGACAGATAATGTTTTTTTGGGGGATATCATACCAACTTGAACTATATTGTTAATTATGCGCACCAGAGAGTGATTTTTGTCAACATTTAAGTGCATTGCGCGCACTAGTAGAGATATAATTAAATCACTACGACTGTTTAGTGCTCGAATCTGTTCATACCCAACAATGCCTATTATAGACTTGTACTCTTTGCTATTAACAGAAAATCTATCTTTAATTAGACTATCTGTAGGGGATTCGTCGCCTTTATCTAAAAGTATTTTAAAAACCCACGAAATAAAATCCTTAAGAAGTATATATATAAAAGAAGAGTCTTCTTTCAAAAAGAATGCACTTTTTTTTGCATAAATATTTTTCTTTTCTAACTCATCCACGGTTTCGCTACTTTTAATTAAGCGTATCCCTATTAATATTGAATACATATTTTCAATTTCATCCCATCTATTATCTGCAGCCAAACTTCGGGTTATACCGCTTTCCCCTTCTTCTGCTTTATCCAAACGCACAAAGAACTTGTTAAATACTTTTTGTGCGGTCTTTTCTGGGCTTGTCATTTCCTGATTTTCCTTATCTGGCAGATATTCACACAATAGATCGTGGACTGTTTTAATAAACTCTTTTTTTTTATCTAGCGTGCGTATATAGTTGTATAAATAGAATTGAATAAGAAATCCTGGTGAGTTCATAAATTCTCCTGTTATGTATTCATCATATGATGTTGGTTCTACAAACCCAAATTGTTCTATAACAGGATTCGCCCTGTGTTTGATAAAGAAGTTGATTATAGTAAACATCTGGGTTTGCTCCAATGAAATGTCCTTGGCGGGAGTTGTTTTTTTGTTTGTATCAGTCCCATCCAGGATATTTACTTTAATTTGAAAATGATTGTCCTTGGCGTTTTCTTTTACTTTTTTTAAAACAAGAAAAGCTCCATCTATATTATCTTTAAAAAATACTAAAGGAACATCAAGCCCCTCTGATAGGAGCAGCAGAGAACCAAGAATCTTAAGATCTGTGCCGTCGTGCATATTGTTTTTAAGAAGCATATAAATTGAATTGGTATTTTTAGTTTGTACTGATATGTATTCACTATCTAAATAAAATGCCTGGAGAAGCACGTTATTATAATCTTGCATATACTCTAACAAATCCCCAGTGTATGGTAAATTCGTACGCACAATATATCTTAGCTTTTTTCTTTTTTTTAAAATACTATACACTACCCTTTTCCATATATTCATACCATCGTTCGGGTCGGTTTCTAAAGCCAATTCAGTTGATAGTGTTCTTTTTCTTCCAAAGTGTATGCACATATTGTGTATATAGGACCTCACTGGGTTTAGCAGTCCATCTGGATTTATTTTCACCCTCCCGCCAGCATAGCTATCTATCTCATAGTCTCTAAAATCTTGAACTTCTTCTATCCAAGATTTCTCTTCACATAAAATATGTAGTAGAAACGTTATAAGAATTAGCATGCAGTGTACGGTGCAATTTGTGTATATTTTACTTCTTTCTGTCTTTCTATTTAATGTAATATTAAGGTGTTTTCTTTCTAGTATTCCACGCATTGCTTTTTTTTCAATTTCATGGTTTTTATCTAAAAATAAAAAGCACCAGCTATTTTATGTTTTTACACACCAATGATATTAAATAAAAAAGCATTCCTGACAGTAGCACAAATATATGCAATAAACTAAACTATCTGTATTTCGCCTGCTATAACAGCAAAAGTGCGCCAATATTTATTTTCAATCAGTATATTTTAGTTTTTACAATATTTTTTTAAATGAAAATCAGTTTATTGATATAAGGTTCAAGGGGCCTCAAACTTTTTACAATATATTAACTATTCATCATACAAATAAAGTTTAATTGTTAAGTGGTGCCAACAAATTAAACCACGATAAAATTTTATTAAGCTAATTGTTGGTTTTGGGCAGTGTGATCCAGAATAGCAATGATTAAATATGATATTAATATACGGGTATCCATCATTTGTGATAGGGATAAGCACATTGCGATCATAAATGATGCGGTGAAACTATATGCGAGTTTTTGAAGTTCAATAAATAGCAAGGTTTCACATACCTAAGTCTTCAAAGGAAATCCTGCTGTCACTGATATAGCATGCAAATTGAAATGTTTTATTTGTAATAAGCATGCACTAACATTAACCTCTATTATTATAATAATGCATAGTACTACTCTGCGATTACTGCTTTCTTAAGAGTGGCAAAGAACAAAAAGTGCAGCACTCTGTGTTCCCACGCGGTCTCCCATCGCAGTACTATCAAAGCTGTCACGCGCTTAACTTCAGAGATCGAACGGGTTCTGGTGTGTACGCAGGCATATGGCCGCACATGCATATTCCATGCCCATGGGTTTTCTTTCCGTGCATATTCTATTCTGCAATAATAAATTATTTTATTATTATTGTAAGCAAAGGATAAATTGTTTTATTATAATGCGTACACTTTATATAAATAAAAAGAAAATAATTAGAAGCCAATGTATGTTTTCATAATTACTTGATAAAAACCTACACAATTCTACTAGACCTGAAGTACACAGCAGCAAAAAACACTCCGAAAATATTCTTCTATGTACAAGAGCAAACACACAATAAACAGGTTTGATGGGCGAAGTGCAACGTACAGCAAGCTCTTCTAAATAATATATATCTCTTATATAGTATAAACTAGAGATATAACACGAAATACAATTTTAAATAGAGCACAGAGTCAGCACAAATACACGTTAGAATCCAAATAGAACTATACAAAAAGAAACTAAAAACGAAAAATAGCTTTATTATACTGCTGAAACGCCCACTAGACACACTAGAACTTCTCAGTATAAATAGCAAGTGCCTGAAATATACCCGAAATATATCTACTGTTTACTTCAAAGCATTTTTCAGTTTAATTATAAAATCTAGAATACTCCTGCCGCAGAATACCCCTAGAGCTATACATACTATTAACAAAAGAACAAGTATAACCACTTTAAACATTCTTCTTTTTTTCCTGCGCACAATGCTGGTCTCAATTTGCGTGTTAACCCCAATCGTAGTATTTCTATTATAAAAGCTTTTAGAAGCTGCCCCCTCTATATCAAACGAGGAACTGCTTATAATTTGATTTAGCTCAATAAATGTAGTATTTAGCTCATTAAGTGTGGACAAAATGTTTTGAATGCTCTTATCTGCCTTGACTCCTGCCTCAGCGTCATCTTCGTTAGCACTTTTCTCTCTCGCACCTCCTGCTCTATTTAACAGTGTTGGAGTATTTCTAGCCTCTGAAGAAGTTTCTTCATTAAAAGTATTGCTATGAGAAGCCCCTCTCTCATCTATTAGCTTTAAAAATGAAGACTTTGCGTCAAGAAACTTTTTAGATATATTCTTTAGATTTGTGTACAGAACCATAATATGCCTCTCCATATTAATATGGAATGATTCATTCTGAATGTACTTCTCTTTTATCTGCTCTATTCCGGTTTTTATTTCTTTGCACTTTGTGTGGAATGCTAGACTATTTTCTTTAAAAACATCAATAATGCTGTCTTGTGCTGCGCGGTCCATAACACACGCCAAGTACCGAGACTTTAGCATATGTATCATCTCCACATCAGCAGACAGCAAAGATATCTCCTTTCCTTTTTCTTTAACACACAAAAGAAACTCCATAAACTCTGTACTTGCCATTTAGTTAAAACTTTTGCAAATATTAGAAGGAATTACTACTATAGCATATAACCCGAAATCATATATAAAACATAAAATAGACACTAGGACTCTCCATAGGCGCGTTTTGGGCGATTAATATTCTTCTATTTCCCAGAGACCCTATTGTTCTTATTAAAAGATATATCTTTACTAAATGGAAAATAAATAAAACCTTTTAATGTCGCTTTCTTAAAAGAATTTCTTAGCTATTTAAATAGAGCAATTTTTGAATATTCTCTATGAAAATACAAACTAAATTTTATATAAGTGCATTTTGAAAGGAACAAAATAAGTGGCTATGGGCATAAAAGAGATTTTTGTGTTTAAATTAGAATAAACAGAGCACCCAGAAATCCCAAAGAAAATAAGCAGTTTACTTATAGTACTGCCGTGAACAAGAGGATACTTGGTATTAACAGTATATATTTTGATAGAAAGTAATTTCAGAGTACTTTATTGGCCCACCATGTTTATTACTATTCATATTCTAGCAACAGTGCTTTCACACACAATTTTCAGCGTATTGTTTTTATAAATTAATTTATGCTTCTTGTGTATACGGCCATAACTAAGTGTCAAATAAAGCATAAACCATAATTAAATCAAAAAACATATAAATTAAATAGAACTACCGATTGGCAATTTCTATGGGAAAATACTTTCTATGTGTAGGCATGTATCAGCGAAAAAAGAAGTTCAGTGGTGTTTTAGAAGGCTTCTTTTGTAATGGAGCACAGAAAATAACACATAGAGGTATATCTAACTATTGAATTGGCTTAGACCGAATACTATAACACAAGTACGCATAAACTGGTGCATTTCGAGTTATATTTATTTGGGAAAGAAATTACATAGACCTAAAAACAATAGTTTATTTATTGACATACAGTGTGAAATATATCTCTTCTAAGATCTGTTTATCCGTGTTTATTTAATAATTATTTTTATAGATTAAATTTCGGGCTTTGGGTTATGTATTTTCTACTTAGAGCCGGAGTGCTATTTTTTCAGATATTAACAGCAAAGGCTGTTTCTATTGAAGGTTTAGTGGGAGAAAAAATCATGGTGGCAGTGCAAATGGAAAGGATGGTAAAGGATGGAAAGATGTTGATAACCCGAAAAGAGTACAGCGCGTACTGCAATACAAACACGCTGTGCTTTATAAATAAAACCAGCACAAAAAAAGCAATATCCATCTCATCTAATTCAATAGAATACATGCTAACGTGCCTATTTGAGGAAAAAACTCAAATTAAACCACCACTAATACTGCACGAGGATTCTTCTGAGCAGGAAAATGGGATAAACCTTATAAACATAGCCAAAAAAGACAGTAAATACAACAGAGAACTAAAAAACTTTATGATTGATCTGAAAAACAACAGTTTGCTGTTGACAAGTTACGATTCTACTATAAAAGATGCTATATCGTTTCTAGAGGCAATTAAGTACAATGGGTTTCTTGTAGTTGTATGCACAACGACTTCGCAGATAAATTGTCTACTGAGCATGTGCAACAGCCTTATTAAAGGCCCGCGCGTAATTGGACTGCAAGCATCAGAAGATCTATTATATTTTAAAACAATATCAAACCCAATAATATCCCATATAATGGGGCAATTTGCGCCTACAATATATATTGAGATATCCCCAAAGCCGGGATTTCAAGACACAATAGCACCGTTTGCAGCACTTGTTTTAATAAGCATAATGACTGTTGCCATTGGGGGGCTATACCTGTTTATTAGTAGGCACATAGTGCGCAGACCTGCTCCCAAAACAGTGGCCTCTCAAGATCTGCAGATGATTCCCACAATGCTGTATATAAGCATACCACCCAGTGATCCGCCGGCGCCACAGGACTGTGTTATATGCTTTGAGCAGTTTTTACCAGCGTCTAACTGCCGGCTTCTTCCCTGTAATCACATATACCATGTAGAGTGCATTGACACATGGTTAAAGCAGTACTCAAACAGGTGTCCGTACTGCCAGAGTTTAGTTAAGAACGGCGACTACATGCACCCAGACTACCGCATACAATAGAATTATATTGTATTCACTGTGTATACTAGAAAAATAATAAAACTATATGAAGCCAATGAATAGATGTGTAATAGGACAATGCTTCTAATAAAAAAGTAATAGATCAATGCATGCATATATATACTACTAGATTCCGCCAATATACACAGATAGCACCCCGCCACTACATCTACTTTTTCTTGGTATATAGAAACCTGCCTCGCTTAAAGTTGATTTGTAGTGTATTTTCTCTTTTTACTAGTATATAACAACAATAGACATTTCTTGAACTTCAGGATGTATTTCTATATAAATGCATCGTGCACTAGAAAACAGTAGCAAACAGATTATCTATTTATCTATGCTTGATAGTTCTGTAAAATAAAACATTATATAAACCTTTAATTAATCTAGCTATATTTTACAACTCAGAAAATATCCTATAATATAAAAAGGCGAGTGCAAATATTTTGGGCTATATATAGAAAACAGTCCGCTAGAACAATTTTGTGTTTATTTAACTGATTATTTACCAAACTATGCAGCAGTGCAGCCTAAAAACAGAATGCAGTGTGATACTACTAAAACTAGGCAAACAGAAATTAAATTTTGGATTAATCAACCAATGTATCATAACATTTAAGGCAGCACTGCATATATACACTCTATTCACTGGGTGCAGATTAAGCCCCAAAATATAACTGGGGCCGCATGTGCACTCAAAAAAAGCTATAGTATGAAGAGGTATCTACAGGTTTCTGCGGCTCTGCCTGCAAACACTGTGTGCACAGAAGAGATGATGCCTCCGTATCAACAGGAGAGTCGCAAAAAATGCACAGGTTTTCAAGCACGCCAATGTTTACATTTCTATCCACGGAGGAAAGAGTTCGCACAGAAATCACAGTTTCAACTTTTTCAGGTGTACGCTCCATTGTTTGTATAAGATTGACGATTCGTAAGACACGCTCGCCGTCCTTGTTTGTATATGTAATCACTGTGTCTGCAGCGTCCTCCTTTTTCTTTGCCCCTGCATGAAGTATAGGATCGCGCTGTTCTTTGCATCCCCTTCTTTGCTCTTCTTCTCGTAAAGATTTCATTCCCTGTTTTAATAATTTCTAGATAAGAATTACATCTGCATTCCAATTAATTTTTTTCATATGCCCAAATAGAACAAAATAGAAGATCAATATCCAAAAGCCAGCAGCCTGCAATGGAAATATTTTTTGCATGACTGATGATGTGCAGTAAAAGTTACTTTAAGCGAACAGGAAAATAAGCCATTCTCTATTTAATTACACTTTTTATTTCGACAAAAATATCCATGGCTGCAGGAGAAAGAGAAATAGCAGACCTTCTAAAAGAGTCAATTGAGAGCAAAATAAACGCAAAGACAACATGGCACTCTACTCTTATCGAGGAATTCTCTAACATAGAAAAATTTAAGGAAAAGGAGACAAACAGCATGAACTTTCAGCACGCAAGCATAGTGCTTGATGGGTGCGTGAAGGTATACAGCACGCGCGTGGACAGTGTGGTGGATGAAGCAGACAAGCTAATGGATTCTGTGGGGCGGTCAAAGGAGCCAGAGAAACAGAAATCCCGAGTCAGAGTGCACCCAACAATAGAGCCAAACCCAGAGGCTATTCTTATTAAGCATAGAATAGCGTCGCTGGACGATGAAATACTTGAACACCTTTCGAGAGAATTTAAAGAAGGGGATACAAGAGGGCTTCTCATGCACCTCCTCAAGTGGAAAGATGGCGAGGGATTTCATGTTCTGCGGCTTCCTAGTAAGCAGGATACAGTAGAGGCAGAGAAGGCCAGTGAAACTGTTGAACCGCATTCCATGGAAAGCACACACTCTTTAAACTTTTCTGTGCATAGGCAGTCTCTATACCAGGGAGAGAATAAAAAGTACATAAGCCCTATGTTTGCAACATTTACTCCAGACAAATCAGTAGAAGAGCTGGTTCTTCCCACATACGCATACAACATAAGTTATGACACAGACCGCTTAGAATATGGATACAAGGAAAGCACAGCTGCATTTGCAGGGTATAGCTCATATATGGACAGCGCGGCGGCTGATGATTTCCCAGACGGCGCAAGTCCTAGCGCAGAAAACAGCGGCGAGGCAGAAGCATCGGGCCAAGTGGTAGAGCAGTTTCGCCCCAGCAAGGAAGATCTTCATCTGGTGTACACTCCATTTGGGTATGCCAAGGGATGGGCAGGGCCCTCTCACTGGAAAGTGCATTCTCGGAGAAAGCAAAAAGAAAAGACAGATTGCAGAGAAAGAAAGAAGGCAGTTATAGACTTTCTTACTGACACGCATCTTCCAATTTCCTCCTTGTTTGAGAAGGGCGAGAATATTGTAATGACCCCCCAGCAAATATCAGAAAGACGAAAGAACTGCAACACACTTCCTCCTGATCATAATGTAGGAATAGAAGATCTATATAAAATGTTTGTTTTCCCCGGAACGCTGCATGCAACCGAAAAAGCACATGAAGTATATGAAAAGGGGCGCACGGCACACAGCACTTCTCCATCTATGCTTGACATGCCAGATACTGTGTATGCAGACCAGGAAGACACAAACTTTGTTCCTCCTGCGCATGCAGATATGGAGCATGATGTTGCAGAAAATAATGCACCATTGAGCTATACACAGGAAGACGCAGGCACTGCGCCCACTACCCTTCTATCCCGTAGGCTTCTACAGAGTGCACTAAGAAAAGCACGCAGAAACGATATAGTAAAGATAAAAGAAAACATGTGGGATAAAATCCAGCAGGGAGAAAAGAAAGTAAATGAAATGTATAATACTATCCCGGAGCAGAAGGTGTCTGTACAGTTCTATCTTGTATCTCTTCTGCACCTGGCAAATGAGAAAAATCTGAGAATCACCTCTACAACCACTGAGCCACTTCCAAATATTTCTGCACTGTCTCTGGATACGCCTTTGGTATAGTTGTGTGTAATAAGAAAATCATACTTCTAATTAGGATAACAATTAATAAATAGGCATAATATACTCCTTTGACTTCTGAAATGAAATTAATTTTATAATATTTTGTTTTCTTACGCATAACTACACAACTGCTTCTCTAAAACATGCATTTTTGCACATTCAGTTATATCTGTTTTATTTTGGCATGTGCACCTTAAACAGAGAATACAACAAGGAAGATAAACATATAAAGTATTTTAAGATATTTCAGTTCTCGCCCTATTAGCAAATTTATATTTATTTTTTGGATATGCAATTTATTTTAGGGCATTATACTGCGCATAATTTCATGGCAGATTATTTATTCTAAATATCTACTACTCATTAGTTAGATGTACTGTCTAAAGTGCGCTTAGTGGTGATATGATCTTAAATAAAATTTCCCTTTATGCTGTAATATTTCAGAAATTATGAGATAGACAGGAGTATTGATGTATACCCCCTTTAAAATAATTGGTTGTTTATAGAAATCAAAAGGGTAAAAAGTTCTCATTGGCTAAATAAATCACCAACTTAAATATAAATACAGTGCGATTCTAGGCAAATATAATGAAGTTCACAAAAGTATTAGTATTAACAATTGCATTCTTAGCTGTTTTCAACATTCACCAAGTAAAAGCAGGATGCTGCTGTGGTAGCTGTTGTTGCAAAAACTCCGAAGACCCTGCAATTGGCAGATGCAATGAGGATTCTAGCCGAAAGTCCCGCTCTAAAGATTGCAACTGCTGTGAATAACTTGATATGCTTCTAGAATAAAGCAAAAGTATTCAATTTAGAGTCTAAATAATATTTATTGTTTTTTTATATAATTCAGACTGTTTAAAATCGGAATTGAGGTAACACAATGCATGCATCAACTTTTATATTCTCTATATTTACGATATCTATTAACTCATGGCGTGTTTTCTTTAATTACACATAAATATGCGACTAAATATATAACTAGGGATGAATTTTTACAGTATTTTATGCCAACTAGAATAATCTAAAAATACTTGAGAAAATTAAATTACGCCCCACCAAGTTAATTTTTTAGTTAGTGGAACTTTTTTGCCAAAACTAACAACATTTTCCTTAAATACAAAACACACTTTTAGCTTATAAAATTAAGCTATATTACTTAAACCCGTATAAAAGAAAATCTCCTTTTTATTTGGATATACGAGACAACATGCCCAATTATCTAAACTTTGGGCTGTATTAAAATATCCCGAAAATAAGTGCCTTCACGTGAGTTTCAAAGGAAATACTGGACATATTTTGCATTATATTAGCATTCACAGCTTTATATGCACTTTTTTAATGTAAGTCTGGCTGATTATAGACAATTTTTTCTAAAAACACGCGTATTTACATGCAAATATTTTTTTAACTCCTATGCGTACAATAAAGCGATGCATAGCGATTTACCCGCCGATGCTTGATATATTTGTGAACATAGAAGAAAGTTTTCTTTTGGAGAATGGAGTGGCTTTAGATGCAATAGTAAGCTATTCAGAAAAAGAGCACCATACGATACATGATTATGTTATGAAATCCATAAAAACCAAAAACAACTCGTTCACATTTAGAGCAGGGGGTGCCACGTTCAACACACAGAAAATTCTTTCTAACTGGCTGCAGTGCTACTTTTTCGGAATTATTGGGTGCGATGCATACGGTGAGATAATAGAAGAGAAAATGCAGAACACCAAAGTAAACATATATCTCGACAAAAGAGACAAATTTTCCACAAGCTGGGCATATGTGTTCATTAACAACGACAAACGGGCAAACATTGCACTGCAGGACAGCTCGGTATGCTATTCTGACAAGGCAAAGGCAGAAATAGAGCGGCTAGTAGACGGAAACACTGTATTTTACTTTGTTTCTTTTATGTTTGTTCTTCCTAACATAGTGAAAGACTACATGGCAGTGCACATTAACAAGGAAAAAATTGGATTCTGTGCAATTATTAACCTCTCTTCACAGGAGATGGTAAGTCTGTTCCGAAGCGAAATACTCGAAATGATACGCTTGTCCGACTTTATTATAGGAAACAAGTCAGAGTATTATGAGCTTTCTAAAACAGACAATGAAGAGTCTCTCATTGAGTGGCTAGACACACTCAATGTTGCATATGCAATTACCGATGGATCGGAGGATGTTATTGGAAAAATTCCTAACGGCCCTCTTAGACGAGTGTCACCCAAGCCGGTCTCACACAATGCCTTTACAAATGGCGCTGGAGACTCCTTTGCTGCAGGTTTTATTGGGGCACTAAAAAACAAGGAATACAAAGAGATAGTGGATATACTTCCTTTGCTGCAGAATGGTGTGGATGCATCTTACCAGCACATAACCAGCCGAGGAAGCGCATAGACAATGCTTTCCACCATCTGCAGTGGCTTCTGCTCTATTAAACGTATTACTTCTACACTAAAGTAAAAGAAATAAAAGCAGATTAAACTACAGCTGCTTCTATTTTTACATATATCAAATATGACTGTTTATACTTTATTCATAACTCCTGCCTAAAATTGCAAGGAAGTATTTATATTTAAACAAACTTAATAGTGCCCGATTTAGATCAAACAAGGATATATCTTTGTTTATTTAAAATTAATTTAGATCCCTCCTAAGTGCGCCCTACACACTGTTATATCTCTTTTATTTCCTTATGATTTTGGTATTTGCAGTTGTATTTTAATGTAAACCCTTCAGAGTTAAATATTTTCAATTAATTGTATACACTTATTGATTCTATAGTTTTACTGAAGTAAATAAAGAGGTGCATTGGGTTATATTCAGGGTGCATGTAAATAATTATATTCAGACTGTATTTCGGGTTATATACAATATACAGCGAATAACAGCTTTAGTAAATGTAAGGCATAAGCTCACATTAAATATCTTAATAGAACAATTAAACAATTTTATACATACTCATTTAAACTATTCATGGCGCTTGCACGAGCGGCTCATGCACAAAAATAATAGAAACCTGCTCTTCTTTGCCACGCACTGCAAAATTCTCAGATTCGCACATTAGCCCATGAAAATATATCTATATAGTTATGAATGCATTCTTTCTCTGCGATTTAATACTGTTTATGCCAGTATATTCTCTAGTAAATTTATTGTTTAAACTCGTCTTTATATTTTCTGCTACTCCTGAAATTTCATCTGTTCTAATTATGCAGCTTCAAAATATGATTTGTCTAATTTAAACACATTCCTATACACTGCTCTAGCAGCTTTCTTTATTAGCAAGCTGATTATACATTAAACATTTAAATTACATTTTTGCACTACTGCATAATATGAGAAAAGATTTACAATTTTTTAATGTCAGTGACCGAAGCCGTTGCACGCATAGAATTAGCTGAAGAGTTTGAGTTTGATCCCTCGGCACTTTCCGTGATCGAGAGTGCGAGTATAAGCAGCGAAACAGAGTTTAAGCAGGTGTGTCTAGCACTTTTTAGAAACTACTGGGGGCTTCCAAAAATACAAAAGCAAGAAAAGTGGGCAGACTTTGTTCTCACTGCAATTGAAAAAAGAGCAGATAGAAACGAGTTTTTTGCACGCCTAATGGAGTGCATCAAGCAGGAGTGGAGACAGATTGATATTCGGTTGAAGCCCAAGTTTGTCAATCTTGTTATAAAGCTTATAGAGATACAGATAAAACACACAGACGCACAAATAGATAAATTTATTACCAAGGGACCAGATGCAGAATTTGACTGGCCAATCATGAAGGCAGTTATCAGAAGCAAAGAATCTCTATCCACTGCGGAAACAGAGTACCTGCTAGACTATCTTACAAAAAATGCAAATACATACTTTATGAACTTTTTCATCAAGCACGTTCTTCCTATACTGAAAAGAGACGGAGTAACAAAGGAAATCGCAGACAGAGCATATACGGAAGGAAGTAGCAAAACAACATCTGCAAAGATGAAGGAGCTGTTCTATTCGATACACGCATGTGCCCCCTAATATATTTCCCTGTAAAAGGCCTATATCAGACGTTGAGTGCTCTTAATCAGAGAGAATCCTCTATTTCTTTGATTTTCTGCAAAATGCGCTTTCTGTGAAGGGAGTACTCTCGAATTTCCTCATGTATTTCAGAGGCAAGTGATATGCCCTGCATGCTCAATAAATAGACCAGAAATTCAATATTTACATTGTCCCATATGCTTCTTTGGACATGTGACTCTAGCTTTCGTATAAGGAACTCTGCAGACTGCTCTTTATTTATTTCCTCCTTAAGCTTTGGAATGCTTCTAGGAAAAAGAACCGATGCTGTTGGAAGGGAAGAGGATGAAATGTTGTAGGTCACAATATCCCGCACGTTATCGCACTTTTTCTCCCAGCTTTCTGCAGTTTCTGCAATTGTCTCTGTCTCCCGGGGAAGGTGCCGCGGTGCGCGCTCAATATAGTATAAAAGAGTTCTCACGGCATCTGTGTCTTTATTGAACAGAGACCATCTTGTCCCATTCTGCTCTATAATTGCAAACACTTTACTTCCTACTATCTGTGGGTAGGATATAAGATCTTCTGTAATCTCTAGGGTATATCCAAGTGATCCGTCTGTTCCTTTTTTGCACGCAAACAGAAAATGGCCGTATATACTTACAATGTACTTTTTGGCAAATACAGTGCTGCTGTTAAGATTTTTCAGCTGATAGAACTCATTTGAGAATGCTGATGGGAATTGGCGAGACATGCCAAATGGGTTGCTTGGCTGAAGATGCAGAACTGGCCCTACCTCTGCTGCCTTTTTATGCATTTCTACCTTCTGCAGAGACGTGCTGTTTTCTAACTTTAAATGCCGATACAGTGCAAATCCATCGAAGTATGGGAATATAGGAAAGTAGTTCTCAAGTGAGCTAAGCACAAGGGATACTGAAAGCTCGGAAGAGACTGGAAAAACAACTTTGTTTTTTTCTGTTTTAAGAAACATTCGCGCATATGCATTTATGTATATCTTAAGAGAATACTCTGGCTTAGTCAAAATGTACTTGCAATTACTTTCTGGCTCTAGCTCGGAGTTAAGATGCAAAATCTCCTCAGAGCTATACGACCCACCCTTCATTTCTATTTTTAAAATCACATGTGTAGATATTCCAATATTATTTCGGGTAAAAAACGAACAAACCCGCTCCTTTTTAAAGCTCAAATACTTCCCAGTTTCACTACACCACACCATTAAACAAACAATACACATGTACACTAGTGTCTTTTTGATCAAATGGCGCAATTTTAGTGTTTTTGTTTGTTTGCCTGTTGCCAGATCTACCTTGCCGTCTTAAGACAACTTCAAAATTATTTCTCTTTATATCGAAGCACTTCAAATTATTCGGGGTATATTATAAGTTTTTTATGGAAAAGAAGAATTAAGTAGAAAACGCGCATTAACAACACATTCTTAAATATCCTAAAAACAGTTTCCTTTATTAAATCAGCTTCTTCTTCTTTAAAAAGTCTTTGAAGGAAATCGTTTGATATGCTAATATTCCAGCAAACGCAATGAATATAAGCAAGTTTATACAAAGGATGGAAACAACAATCTCGTTAACACTGTCAGAGAAAGCTGCAGTCTCTCGTTGTCTATACGAGGTCTGGAGAGACAGTTCGTATAAAAGCTTCTCGAACTTTGTCATTTCTGTCAGCGCTGGGTCAATTACTTCATACTTTGCTATGTTTTTGTTGAATGTGTTATACTGCGATGTAAACTCATACTCTACTTTTACGCTTTTCTCTGGAACCTCCTCCATCTCCTCTAGTTTTATGATGTATGTCTGCCCTGTCGTGGTGTTGAATGAGAAGTGGACTTCTTCGTTGGGTTTGAGGTTGTCCTTTGTGAACACTCTTTTCATGTCTTCTGAGTAAATTGTTGCACTAATTGTTCCCTTAGTTGGCGTTATAAGCTTGAAAAGCCCCTTACATATCTGGTTGTCTATCACTCCCCTCTGGATTGAGAAAGGCACAGAAATGTCACGGATGTTTAGAAACATTCTAGAGTGAACAAGTCCTGCAAAGAGAAGCACAATGTTTATGAATTTCATTTTCAAACTAAAAAATCTAAAGAATATGAAAGCCAAAAGCTCAAAACAACATAACTCAGATGAGCCGATCATGGAAAAAAGCACTCAGTGGGATGCTCTGGTTAGTGTTCCCTGCGTGCGCCGGTACATTAAGTCTTTAAGCATTTGGAGCTTTCTGAACAACTACGAGATAAATCTTTCAAAAAAGAAGTATCTTGTTCTAGGCCTTGAGGGAGTTATTCTTTGCTCCTCAATCACACCACCAAAGAACAGGGTAGACCACATAGTGCAGTATAAAATAAACAATTCTGTGTGCTCACACTTTGTGGTGTTTCGGCCCATGCTGGAGAACTTTCTTCAGATGGTCTCTGAGTGGTACACAATTATTCTGTATACAACAAAGGAAAAGGAATTTGCTGATGGTGTGGCAGACTACTTAGAAAGAGGAGGGCCTATATTTGAGAAGAGATTGTATAGAAATGACTGCGACTATGCAGAGGGCCAACTATTGCTAGACCTGGACAAAGTGTCAACCGATCTTTCGTGTGTAGTTGTACTGGACTACAGATTTGGCCCCCATACAAACACGCTTCCAATTGAAAGATTCATCGGCGGCATGAAAGACCGAAATCTTCTGTCAAGTGCTCTTATTCTTGATAGCCTTCGATTCTGCTCTGACGTTCGAAGTATTTTAGAGCTGGCACACCTATAAATAGATCTTATTATGCGCACTCACAAACAATTTTATGGCCCATTATTAACAGATACATATTAAACAAACTTAAACCAGAGCTATTTTTCATAATAAAGTATAATATATACGTTTGTATATCCCAAATATCTTATTTTATGTCGTGTTTATTGTAACTGACCGTTTTCTGCCCACCATCTCATTTCTTTCTATTTCTACCAAACTGTTCTCTGCTTAATTGACTCTTTAGTATCCAAGGCTGCTTCTATGATCTATTAAATTTATAAATTATTTCATGCGGTTTAAAAATATAAACTGTTCACACATAGCATATTTAAAAAGGATTTGCATTTAATTAAATATTCATTTATGAAGACTTTATAAAATTAAAATAAATTCGGGTTATATAGAAGTACAAAAACACAAAGATCATAAGAAAGCACTAAAAACAAGAGAATAAAACACCCTACTCAATTAAGCACACACAACTCTACACCAGCAACCATATACCACGGAATTCACACAGATCATCCAAATATAGTGAATATATCTAGACAGTATGTAAGAAAGACTGTAAAGCATATACTAACATTAGCGCTATTTTCCGAAATTGCTATACCTTTTCATTTTTATTATATTTTAACTTCAAGTTATATTAGGCACTGTTTTATATTTTCGGGTTATATACCGAACAAACAGCATACTAAGCCAGACCTTCTGATATTTTCCTGGTTATACCAAGAAGCAGAATTAAACAAATAGAAAGGACAGTAGCATAGCCCAAAATTTAGATACAAGATATAATCGGCTCTTGGCAAGTGCACTTCATTCTGTATATAATTATATCATGATTTAAAAATTTTTAATGGTATTCTCAGTGCAGGAAGAAATAAACGACATACTGAAGCGAATTGGTTTTAAAGAAAAGACACCAATTCAGAAGAAGCTGCTGCCTTTCACAGAGAAAAAAGACATAATTGGCCTTTCAGAGACGGGAACGGGGAAAACTGCGTGCTTTGTTATACCCCTCATAGAGTCACTTGCAGAAGACCCATATGGCGTACACTCTCTTATACTAACACCAACTAGAGAGCTGGCTGTTCAGACAAAGGAGAAGGTAGATACCATGGGAAGCTATTTTGGAATAACATGCGAAATAATACACGGGGGAATGGATGTACACAAGCAGGCCGCAAGGCTTCAAAAGAAACCGCACATTGTTATAGCCACGCCAGGGCGGCTGGCTGCTATGTTCTGTAGTGAAGACAATGTGAGTGTGTTCAAGAGAATAAAGAAAATAGCATTGGACGAGGCAGATCTTCTTCTAAACAGCGACCAGTCACCGGCCATTTATACAATACTTAGTGAGCTTTTAAAGCGAACACCAAAAGCACAGCTGCTTCTATTCTCAGCAACTGACATAGTGCCAAAAATAGCAATTAAAGTGCACGAGCAAGGCAGGCAGTACCAGAAAGACTCGGAAAGCGCGTTTGCTGCAGATGAACAGCTATGCAGTGAGAAAGAAGGCCGGCAGGAGAAAGAAAACAATGTAAATACCGAGGGTGCAGTAGTTTTAGAGAAAGACTCACAAAAAGACGCATGTGTTAATGGAGAGAAGAAAGAAAAAGAAGCTCATCCTGGAGTATCCATGAGTGAAGACGAAATAGTTGAAAAAACTATATGTCCAGAATTATGGAAGCTTATTCTTGCACGGGACATCAGGACTGTTGACACGCGGCAGAGCCCAATACCTAAAACCATTACGCAGGAATATGCTCTTGTTCACCGGCAGTCTAAAGATGCGCATCTGGCAACTCTTCTACTTGAAGAGTACAAAGACTCAAAGGTCATTGTATTTATGAACCGAGCAGACAACTGTGCAATTCTTTCAGAGGTGCTGCAGGAGCTCGGAATAAATGCAGTGGGTCTGAGCAGGTGCACAGACAACAAAACACGGCACACCTCCTTTTTTAGATTTAGGTCAGGCCTAGCGCGAGTTCTCTTGACAACTGATGTGCTTTCAAGAGGGCTGGATGTAAAGGATGTTGGCTGTGTTATAAATTATGACCTACCAAATTACTACACAGACTACATCCACAGAATAGGAAGAACAGGAAGAATCCAGCAAAAGGGGCGCGCGCTTTCTTTTGTTACTGCAGCAGATATGGCAATTCTTAGAAACATACAGGCAAAGGCATCCACAGAAATAGCAGAGAAAGAGCTTAGGCCCTTCACGACTGCTCGACTAATGAACAAGATCACCACGCATAGAGAGTTTATTATGTCTAGAATAGAAAAGACCATTTTAAAATCTAAAAGATAGATAGAGGGCCTCTATATAGAAGCATTCTCTATCTACTGATAATATTAATTAAATACATATAAAGTAGTGCATTATTAAAAATCTGTTTGTATTTACCAGCACATTCAAATATTTATACATATTTGGAACATACAGGCAGAAAACCCTGCGTTCTAAATATAAAGTTAAAGAAGCATTAAATTTAAAGACATTTTTTTACTGGTGGAATGTATTCTTCTATGATAATTAAATGTGTAATAAGTTCTAAAATATGTGCATCTATAGGCAGTGGTACTTATTCCTAAAACTAAAATTCTTTTTATGAATATAAAAGTCAAAGAAAAGAGAGAAAAGCTTGAGCAAGTTGCAAAAAGAAGGTTTTTCTATACGCAAAGCTTTGAGTCATATGGTGGAGTCTCTGGGTTTTTTGATTTTGGGCCAAATATGTGTGCTTTACAAAACAACTTTTTATCTATTTGGAGAAACCATTTTGTTCTAACGGAAAACATGCTAGAGGTAGACACGGCAATCATTACACCATTTGAGGTTCTAAAGTCGAGTGGGCACGTTGAAAAGTTTACTGACCTGATGTGCGCTGACTCTGTGACAGGTGAAGTCTATCGAGCAGACCATTTAGTAAGAGACTATCTTCTAAGAGAGGCAGAGAATAAGGATGAGAGGGAGAAGCAGGAGTTTATAAGCAAGGCAAATATGATTGACTCATTTGGAAAGGAAGAGCTACAGGGCCTTATTGACAAGTATGGGATAAAGAGCGACAATAAGAATGCTCTGACAAAAATTGCCCCATTTAATCTGATGTTCAACACGATTGTTGGGCCATGTGGAAAGTCACAGAGCTTTTTGCGGCCAGAAACTGCCCAGGGCCAGTTCTTGAACTTTAAAAGACTGCTGGAAAACAATGGAGATAAGATGCCATTTGCAAGTGCAACGGTAGGAAAGGCGTTTAGAAATGAGATAAGCCCACGGACCGGGCTTTTTAGAGTGAGAGAGTTCTTAATGGCAGAGATTGAGCACTTTGTGCACCCAGAAGAAAAATCACATCCAAAGTTTGCTAAGTACTCTAGTATAGAGCTTCCTCTTCTTTTTAGAGAAAAAGACGCAGAGAGCGAAGACCAGGCAATACATACAATGTCTATGGATGCAGCTGTAAAAAAGGGAATAGTCAACAATGAGACTCTTGGGTATTTTATTATCAGAGTATATCAGTTCTTAGTTAAGATTGGCATACCAGAAAGTGCTATTAGGATTAGACAGCATCTGCCAACTGAAATGGCACACTATGCAACCGACTGCTGGGATGTGGAGATTGATACTGCGTTTGGGTGGATTGAATGTGTTGGCATTGCAGACAGGGCATGCTACGACCTTAGCGTGCACAGCAAGAAAACAGGAGACAAATTAGTTGCCCGAAGAAGGCTAACCACACCAACCACAGAAAAGAAAACAGTTGCAGTGGTTAACAAGAAAGAGCTAGGATCAAAGTTCAGATCGCAGGCACAAAAGGCGATACAAGCATTAGAAGCTCTGACTGAGGATGAAATAGAACAAAAGAAGATATCAGAGAATGAAATAGAGATTGAGCTGCTTGGGGAAAAGATAGTAACCCAGATAGAGAAATTAGAAATCGTTAAGCATATTGAAGAGTACACCCCTAGTGTGATAGAGCCGTCTTTTGGAATAGGAAGAATCCTTTATGCCCTTCTGTGGCACTCATTCTGGATACGTGAAGACGACGAGCAGAAGTCTCTTTTTAGCTTTACTCCGGGCATGGCCCCTATAAAGTGCATTATTCTACCACTGCAGGAGGACGAAAGATTTACTGAGATTATTACATCACTCAAGGACACTATAGTTGAATCAGGAATTAGTTGTAATCTAGATGAGAGCAAGGCATCCATTGGAAGAAGATATTCTCGGGCAGATGAGATTGGCATTCCCTTCTGTATAACAGTTGATTTTGATACGTTAGAAGACAAAATGGTCACTCTTAGAGAAAGAGATAGCACGTTACAGATCCGTATTGCTATTTCTGACATTCCATCCACACTTACCAAGCTCGTTAAAGAAGAGATTTCTTTTGACAGTTTACAAAAAGAGAAATAAAGAGCAATAAACTTTAATATCTTGGGTTATGTTTATTTATTTTAAATTTAGATTGGAATAGGCTATTTCAATGGTTATTCAAGCATTCAAGTATTTTTAGATCATACAGGTATATTATTTATTCGGGTTATCTTTCTATGCATTCTTATTATTGTTTAGAACTGTATTTTATATACCGTTATAGTAGTTGTGCTTCGAACTAGGACATCTATCACATAAATAATATTTCGTGTTGTGTAACATACAAATAGCTAGCGACTCTTCATTTTGCATATGTGCATTCTATGTATAGATGAAATAGCTAAAAGAATAGCACATTCTTATTTGGAATATCTTCTTTCAGATTTAAGCCCCATCCCAATCATAAAATACTTTGCCCCATCTACATAAATAATAAAGTTGTACATTGCCTTTGGAAACACCTTTACACTGCCGCCATACGCAATTGCCAGGGTATTCTTTGTTTCATTTACTAATACGCCCCTTTTAAGCGAACTTGCATCTAGTATGTTTTGTTTGTGCTTTATTGGCGATATGTGCACACCAATCAGCTCCATTTTGTAGAGGACGCTTATTATTGCCACGCTCTTATTTTCTGTCTTTAACTGTTTAATATACTCTGTAAAAAGCTGGTGCAGCTCTTCTGCCGACTCATCTGTTATGTGATCATATGGAAATTTTGGCTCTTTAGGTGTAGGGCATCTACTTTTATGTAGGTATGGTGTGTTTCCCAGCCATATGTGAAGAGATTCTCCGATTGTCTCATCTTTTTTCGATTTTTGCTTAGATAGAAAGTGCGTTTCGGCATTGAACATATGAGAAAATAAAAGTGTTTAGAAATTCATTTATTCAAATTTTACATACACAGTACACCATAGGCATATTCTAAAAAGCAGACTTGGCTGTTGTAGTCAAGACTGCAGACTGCCCATCTAAGAGAAGAGAACAGTGCTTTTAGACTCATATAGCAGTACTGGTTGTCATTGTAGCACTCGGCTGCCCCTCCTTGGTTCTGGCAGCGAAGTAACTGGAATGCGTATTTGCAGAGAAGAATCATCTTTCTTTTAAGGGCTCTGATGGCTGCCTTTTTAGATGGGCTCTTCTTTGCAATAAGGATCTTCTTCCACAGGGCAGCGAAGAAACTTGATATGTCTAGTTGGCTATTCATGTCTACACATGGGATGTTGCATGGATCTATGTTACACTGGTTGACTGGTGGGCACACGGGCCTGCATGGGTTTACTGGAGGACATACTTGTTCGCATGGATTTACAGGTGGGCACACTGGAAGACAATTTATGTTTGGGTATACATTCTGCCCAAAGCCTGGATCTATATAGAATGCGTTCATTGCAGATTCTGTGTCAGAAGAATTGTCTTCTTTGGTTGTGCTTGCGGCGCATAGCGCAAACACGCCCGCTATTGTGATGAATAGTTGTTTGTAGAATCTTTTAAATTGCATATTAATTACCTAATATTACAGGATATATATACCTACTGCATTGGGGCTAGAACAGGGCTATTGATTAAATTAAATGCAATTAATCCAAAAACTGCAAGAAAATTAAACCTTGCATAGAAAGAAAATATTTCAGGTTAGATTTGTTCTAAGATTTTCTACTTACTAGAATTTTCGGGTAGTCGGCGTATTCTAAGGAAGCTTCTTGCTTTTCGGGTCTTTTCGGGCGCATTGGGTTGAATAAAGCATAAACAAATAATTTAGCACCTAGAAAAATCCTGATAGAACAATGAAGAACCATGCATTACTTAGTCAAATAACGTGTACTATTTGTTTAATGCAAATGGCAAGCTCTATGTACTCCCAGATTATTTAAAGCTGTTTTGTAGTAGAATTTTTAACAATTTGTATATTTCTTCTCAAATATGAAATTCACCTAAAATACGCTAAAAATAAAAGAAATGAATAATTCTTTTTAGTTTGCATAGTCATAAAATGCAACAGAGACAAGCAAGTCTTAATTAAATCTAAAGGCAAACTAGATAGGTATTTATTTATTAATGTTTGTACGTGGAAACTACTTCAGCACATGCCATGAATTCCGATTATATTTCAGGATATGGAAATTCAATCAGTTAATTAAGCAATTAAAAATACTATAAAGAGTGAATAATACAGTTTCCTTGTCTGCCCATCTAAAACATATGTATTTTTCACAGTAAATCGTTTTTTTCTCCCTACACAGTTTCTAATGCTTTCTTTATGGTTAGCAGTAAAATATTTAAAAGAATGCACCACACAGAAGTTCGTATAAATTCAATACTTAAAAGTATTCCCATAGTTTTGACTCTGCGAGAATTATATGTTCTCTCCTGAATGCTTTCCATCACAGGATTTCTTGTTTTTATTTTTAAGATCACTTTGTAGCACATAAAAAACAGAGCAGTTGAGATACAAATTGCAATCTTATATATAGAAATAAGAAAGATGTATTTTTTAATTACTTGCATAGCGGTTCTTTTATAATAACTATTTGAAAGAGCGCGCATGTGTGCTTCTTTCTCTTTTTTTGCCGCCATTGAATTTGGGCTGTTTACATGTTTTGCTAGGCTATGCAGAGTAAATTTTGATGTGTTTTTAATAATTGCCCAAAAATAGTAGCTTATATAAATAAAAATGGCATAATTTACAGAAAAACCAACAATGCTTTGGTATATAAGCATGCGCCGGCGAGACACGTATCCAAACACCGAGTTTATAATCAAGATTCCAGCTACATCATAAGTAGAGCCTAGAACTATATCTATCCGTTTCAAAATGTATTTGTCAAGATGAAGTGCCCACACACTTCCTAATATAAACACAAGATGTGTGATTAGAATGAGATAGTTAGAGATTTCTCTGGCTCCCGCCTGCAGTAGTATGCCTCCTATATATATGCACGTTACAAGGCTAAGAAAAAAGTCTAAAGTTTGTATATATATGGGTATACTGCTATAACATATTCCATCATAGCACTCTCCAGATATTCTCCGAAAAGAGTCCATTGTCAACGCCCGAACACAGTACATAGAGAAAATAAGGAGAAATGAGATGTAGAGAGGCCTTGCGTTATAACTTCTCACTAAAACTATCGCTCTTTGGGAGACAGCCATAGTATAATTCATACAGCGAAATAAGAGCTCTTTGATCCATTTATATATACACTTTCTTTCTTCTTCCACAGAAGCGCCAGTATAACCCGAAATAGACTCTGTTGTATGTGCATCTGGCTCTATTTCAGTGCCCGTGTATGCTAAAATAGAAGATTCTTTCGGAGTAACTTCTGTAAAAAGAGCATCTGTAGTCTGCACTGTAGAATTAGCATCAGCATTTTCACTTTGGTAATCCACAGAATCTGTTATACTATTTGGAATAGTTGATTTGTTGCCCTTCTTTCTTTTTTCTGTCTGCTGCGCATTCTCCTGATTTGTTTTATCTTGCAGAGGAGTTCTTCTTTGTTTATCTTCGCTATGCTTCTGCGAATATTTGGAAATATTCTTAGGGGTTTCTTGTTCTTTACCCTCACTAGTACAGGTTCCCAGAGCGGAAGTCTCTTTTTTTGATTTTGTGATGTTGTGTGAGTCTAAATTTCTATTTTCATTTGCAGCCATTCTTGTTTATTGTTTTTCGGCTATTTACATAGCATCCATCAGAATATCTTTAGGCTCTTTTGATTTTAGATGAAATGCATTAATTTTTGCATGTGCTACAGCCCATGGCAAGAAACCAAGAAGAAAAAAAAGAAAGCACACTAGCGGGCGGAAGCACTTCAGAAAAAAAAGAAAGCAAGCCAGAAAGAATTCTGCCATATTCTGTAAAGGATTTTATCCCGTCTAAATATGGGGCGCCTCTTCTTAAGGAGCTGGAAGTCCCATTTAAAAAGAAGCACGGTGCACTGTTATCTCAGCACAAAGACAAAACTGCTCTGCATAAATACATGCGAGCTCTGGTAAAGGTGTACACCAGCTGGGCACAGTCTTCTCCCCTCTGTGGAAATAAAAGAGCAAGAATGTACACACTCTTAAAAGAAATCGAAGTGGCTACCAAGGCTCAGAAAGTGCCTATATCCACTGCCATACCGCAGAATACTGTACAACCAACTACAAGCAATAGAACAGCCAGTGACTCGCAAATAGCAGCAGGGCCAGACTCAGAGAGCATTGATACTCTTCTTGAGAACACCGCATACAACACACAGTCGTTCTCTATGCTGGGCACATCCCAAACAGAAACAGACACACTTCTGAATACAACACAGACTGATAATATATCTGACCTCCTAGACATTTCAGACGTGTCATCTGATGATATAGTGGTAGGCAGAAGACGATTTAAAAAAGACTAGGCATGTGATGTACACAATAATTAGCACCCACTTATTTTGTTTTTATTATAAAGCATTCGGATACTGTCCGAAAACATGTACACATTATAAAACATTTGGGTTATTTTTACACTGAAAGAGAAAATAAATATTGTTGAACCTATTTAATATTTTATTGCTACAGATCATTACAGCCCTGTGTATAGCTTGAAATAAAACACCCCATTTCAAATTATTTTTAGTCAACTTCTGTTATACATCTACTCAGTGATAGATAATGTGCTTGTATATTATGTTTATACCTGCTGCTTTTAATAAAAATTCTTTTCTGGCATGCATGCTCTGAAATATAACTGAGATAAAGGCAACACAAGATATTAATATGAGTTGTGTTTATGCTGCAATGGCTGGGCAAACAGTGCACTGTTTAAGACAAATATCCCTTAATTAAGATACTTTTCTAAGAAGAACGAAAATATTTCGGATACTTTTTCTATCGGCGGTGGAGTAGCCCGTATTGAGCTGAGGAAGTCTATTTCTGCCTGCCTGGATATTTTAAGAGGAACTTGTGTGGTTCTCCTTTTTTCCTCCAAGACTTTATTAACAACCTCCTTGACATTCTGTAAATATTTTGTGTTTAAAGGCGCACCCATTAGTTTCTTAGAAGATGTCCTTGGCTTAACTACATTGTGCAAAAGGCACCATACTCTTTCAAGCGCAGAGTCATTGCACATCTTAATATTGGCATCGTCTGCTATAAAGCAAGGAGCATCCCATTTGTCTACACGCCGCGGTATTTCAAATATCCGGGAAACTACAGAAAACTCTTCTGTTTTGCCTGTTTTTGTACTTATATCTGCTGCTGTCCCGCTCACGCCAAGGATTCCTTCAATCTCCTCTACAGAAATCTCTCCTCCTTCATTGTATCCAGCACTGCAGTATATATGCGCAGTGTCTATCCCCATATTTTTCGCTGTTGATGCAATCTCATACCGAAGCCCCTTTATGTGGAGTGGTGCATATATTGCCACTAAAACTCTTTTACTAAGCTTATTCTGGATAATTGACCGCATTTTGGCAGTTTCCTCCTTTGCATTCACGCCCACAGAGTTTTGAAGAACCACTAAAACAGAATCTATTGTAGACAAGGCCTCTCCAGACACGTCCACTGGGTCCCCGCCTGTTTTTTCCATAGTATATTTCCTAGCGAGCTGTGCCAGAATATTGCAGAATAAATCCTTCTTCTCTATAGACGGAAGGCCAGAGAGTATAAACAAGGGCATATAATTTAGTGTATAGCAGATTTTTTAAATAGTAAAACATGTGGCTCTGGGTTGTGCCGCATATAATGCCTCCATCCCTTGCTCTGCGTAATGCCAAGGGCCCGCCATTCTGTCTCCTCCAACAGTCTGTCCCTAGGAAGCAGCTGTGCAAGTTCCTTGGGAAGGATAACGTGCCTGTACAGGTTGTTATTTATGTCTGCGTATGTTTCGCTGTAGTATATCTGCTCTGAGAGTGCTGCTATGTCAATTAGATCACTCGTCATGGATTTAAAAAAAGGATAAAATAAATGACAGAAGAGGGATTCGAACCCTCGCCCTCGGAAGGACTAGAACCTGAATCTAGCGTCTTAGACCACTCGACCATTCTGCCTCTATATTTATTCGCCAACAACCCGCAATCACAAATAGCGCCATGCCCATATAACGTATACATACTATATGCCCGAAATAAACGCTAAAATATGCACAAATAAACAGATGATGTAGAATTCAAATAAATAAGAAGTATTCAGTCCGCTAAGCCACTTTTCGGCGGTTTCACAATTAATCTATTCATATTGTATAAATTCTAACAGTGCGCTATTAAATAATTGAATGTGCTGAAAATCCTTCTAGTTTATTTAAGTTGCACGTGCAAGGTTTATTATACCCCAAAAATCTCATAAGTTAAGTCTGACACCAAATGGTAAGTACTCATATTATTTATTTCTTTGCTATGCTTCTTATCTTGTCTCTTTTAGTGAATCTCACAGATCCAGACTTAGCAGGGGCTTCTCCTGTGCTGCTCTCCATCTTGCTCTTTAAGTCGCTTAATGAAAGACCAACAAATGCTCTTACTGACTTGGCTACCTTTGGTACGGTTACGCTGGATGACTTGAATGCCACTGCCTTCTTTCTAATGATTCTTGAGGCAAGTGTCCAGCCAATCTTCTTTGGGTTCATTCCCATCTGTAAGTGGCTTCTGCACTTTTTCTTTGAGAGCAAAAAGGTTGCTCCGTTTGGGCGTACCAATATTCTTCCTTTTCCTCTGTGGATGGCGTGTCCACTAAAACTGCAAACTCCGAATTTCATTCTGGGGTAGTAAAAGAAAATAAAATAAATTGCTATTTTCAAATATTCGCTGGGGCTGTAATATAGACACAACAGATTTTTTTGTTCTGAATTTCCTAGCATATAGTTGTCACAGACAGTGAAGCCCAGACCATTCCCCTCCTATTTTAAACTGTGCATGATTGTGTGATATAACACCACAAATATGAATGTCAAAATATTTCCGTTGAATTTGCCATAATTTTGAGTAGAGTGAAAATTTGGGGGTATTTTATTACTGTCTTATTTCTTTTGTAGTTCCTCTGGAATTATACCATGGTTCTGCCTTCTAAGCTCTTTCTTTGCTTCTGCCTTTATATGGTTGTATCTATTCTTCATGGCCTTCTTGATCTTTCTGGGGACTATCTGGTGCCTCTTTGTATCTTCTATCTGCATTACATCTCTGTACTTGTTTTTTACAACATTTCCAAGTGCTCTTGAGTCTTCTTCCGCTCGTGTGCATATTTTGGTGCTGGAATTTGGGTCTAATTTCCATATTCGTATGTTTGTATCAACACTCCCTGAAAGAATGTATGCATTGTCACTTGTGCAGCAGATGGCATTTACACCCTGCATTCTCCGGTTGTGGTAGAGTGCTTCTTGTCTGTGCGTTACATCGTTGGTGAATATTCTGACTGTTCTATCTGTTGAACCAGTTACTATTCTTGTTCCATTCGCTGAATGCTCAATATCTGTTATCGCAGTGGTGTGCCCACGGAGCGTCCTTGAAGGAGGCGTAATGTACGTTGAACTATTTCCTGTGTAGTACGTATTGTACATGTATATCTCTCCGTTGTTTGTTCCAGCAGCTATTGTCTCCGGTGACATAGGATCAATTGACATTGCGTTTATCTCAGCCTTTGCTACGATTTCAATTTCACTCTTTCCTGTTCTGTTGTCGTACCCTACAATCTTATTTCCTTCTATCGCATATACCAGAGGCATGTCGTTCTTGCTTATGTACAGCCTTTTGGCCTGCCTTTCTCCTTTATAGCTGGCAACAGCTTTTATTCTGTTTTTGTCAAATATCTCAATTCCATCTACAGTGGATGCATAGAACTGCGTGCCTCCTGCGCCGGCGATGTCTAACACACCCGACCCAGCAATAAACTCTGTCTCATCTGGTGATCCCAAGCTCTCCTGTACACCAGTGAGAACATCTGAATACTTCACATCTCGGTGAAATATATTTGAGCCGCTGCTGTACAGCAGAGCATCGTTCAGAAAGGATAGGGCAACCGGGGTATTTTGATTGAGAGAAATTGTCTCCATCTCCTCGCGCTTGCTCATGTTCCATACTTTCACAGTTCCATCATAGCTGGTGGATGCGTATAGCTCTCCCTGCATTGTAGACCTTACTATGCGGGTGACTCCCTCTGTGTGCCCGCCCAAACAGTCAATAAACGGCTTTCTAAAAATGTGATCTAATTTTACCTCCTTTACTGCTCTCATGTATTCTTTGTGTTTCTCGTTTTGAGTTAGCTCTTTGTCTGAAAAGACTCGTGCTTGGATGCCTCTTCTGCTTCCCCGGTCCAATGTGGCTATGCGGTGTATTCCCATGCGAATAAAAATTCTGCTAGAATGCCTCTATAAATGTGCAAGAAAATTCAGTTATATTGCACAGTGCAGTGCATACAATCTAAAATAGACATCACAGAGAAGTGCATAATTGCAGACTATGCAGATAAGAAATGCCTCTAAATCGTATTACTGCCTGTGAAATACACACTTAATAGAATAGTCAATACGCCAGGAAAAGAAATAGTTAAAATATGCACAGCACTATAAAACTGTAAACAGAACAGAGAATAATAAAAAGAAAGGCACGCCGAGAAAATGAAATTATAACTTTTATCGCATTTCAAGCCACATCTATGTCAGTTCAGAAGTATTTAAGATGACTTTCACGTTATTTTAGAGTAATTTAAATGAATTGAATGCAAAAGACTTTTTTACTGGGCTTGTATATGAAATATGCTCATTATTATAGAATGACAATTATTTTTGCGCTTTTCTGTTTTGATAACTAATTATTGGTATAAATAGACTGAACCACTGCCAAATGCATAAATATTAAGAAATGCGATAGATACAAGAATGTTTAGCAGTAAACCCCATGGATTGTACAAAGTTCCGCTTTCAATTATATGCATAGTTCATGGCATAATGATAATACACTGCATATATAACTGGAAAACCGATCATGTGCAGTTTGTTCCTTTAGTGATCTCTTGCATCTTCTTTATGCTGCTCGATATAAAGTGCTTCATGTGCGAAAGCCTTGAGTATCTTATATGTGTGTTTATGCTGCATATATTAAAAGTGCTTATTCTTCTTTTCTACTCATGCACGCGCACACCAATAGTGGCAATTCTATTTTGGAATAGCATGCTAAAGATTCTTTCATATGTGATTTTAATTTACTGCTACTCTCCTCTGTTTAGGCAAAATTTGTACTTTAAGTATACCTGGGGAGAGACAAGGCCCGCGTTTTTGTTTGAAGAGTCCTTTCTGCAGGCTTTTATAGAGATAAAGATCGGCTGTCTTATTTTCCATAAATTTTCGTGCTTTCTATACAAGCTAGAGCGCGGAGTGTGTGCGTTTTCTCTGTATAATATTATGAACCTTACCGCTCTTATCTCCATATATATCCACATGGGTTTTTACGCAAAGACATCAAACATGGCTGTATACTTCTGTATTTTTTCCTGGATAGGCTATATATTGTGCTATGAAATAGTTCCATTCACTGCTTATTTCTTTGATCCATGTGGAAGCTGCAATATAATGGTTAGCTTCTACAGAAATCTTCATATCCTTAATCTAATCGTTGTAGTTCTTATTCTTGTATACCGAATTTTTACAGCATATCTGAATAAAGATGCCCCTGCAAACATCGTCTCGTACTCTTTGCTTAGAAGAGCAATTGAGTAAAATGCAGTTTTATCTATTTGTAATACTATAGAAATAGTCAGAAAATTTTCCGCCTATTTATTGGCCTACTAGGTATTAAATAGCCCAAATTTCAAATAATTATTTTTATCCTATTTTATTCAGAAAATTCACTTGAATCACCTTATATATTATATGAATAGGCCGCTTTAAAATAAAAAAATATTCTATCTTATTTATTAATGCATGGCTTGCGCAAACACCATAGATAAATATACACCTTTTCATACATTTATTTAATGACTAAAAGTATGCATGAGCTATCTGTCGTGATTGTGTCACACTAAATGTAAATTGAGCTGCTCTTAGCATGCGCATTTAATTAGTGTTTCTTGGAGCATGCCAAACAATGTCTTGGAGAGCCAAGTCTAGTATTGTCTGACTACGCACAGTAAATGAGTAAAATATTGATGGAATGACTATGAAAACAATTGCAGACAGTGCTTGTGCTACAATGGCCCAGAATCGAATGGATCTTCCCATAATGGGATTACTCAGTCTAGATGTGAGCATTGGAAGACGGGTGCTTCTTATAGAAGCAAATATAAGCACGCCAATTATTATCAAAGAACTTAGCATAAACATACTAAGCCCAATGGATAAAGAAGTAGACGTTGATTTTGCACTTGTGAAAAAGTCTTCTCTATTTCCAATATTAAGATATTCTAAAGGATACATACCTAGCTTGAAATACATAAACGTTTGTATAATTCCTTTCCAGCATCCGAAAATTACAAATGTAAGCGAGTAGATTGCTCGGAATAGCCTGTAAAATGGAGCTCCATATCTTCTATTAATGATGTATGTGATGATTTCTGTTGGAATCTCAATAAATAGAATCATAAGGAATGTAAGAGTGCTTCTTAAGGTCTGTACGCACACATTTGATATTATTTCAATAGACTCTAGGAAAGTTTTTGTAATACTTTCTATAATAGACTCATAAAGCGTATGCCCGCACCTTACCTCTCCAACCAGGGATCCCAAAAAGAAAGACACTATTTGAACAAAAACTCCGTATAGATGCACACTAGCAATGATGCTTCCTATAATAGCAGCTCGTGTCAGATTGCTGGAATCTTTGCAGGCCTTTCTTAGAGCAAAGAAGGCATTTACTGCCCACTCAACTGTGCTGGAATTAATTAAAAAGGCAAGCCCGCTAAATGGCATTGTAATAAAAATAGCCCAAATTCCTAAAATAATAGGCATGTAGTGCTTTATCCTTATTCTTCCCTCTTCTTTTTCTTCCACTGCTGTGTCATATTCATCAAGCAGAAGGCTTTTCTGGCTATTAGTACCATCGGCATACTTTTTCCTCTCTAATTGATAGAGATCCTCAAAAGCAACTCCATTCTTTCTCTGGACTTGAACATATGGAGTATCTATATCAAGTGTCTCTGTTTCTATTGGAACATGGTACGCTATGATTTTTTTGCTTATTATGTATCCCGGAACAGAGAATGCCAGCCCAAGAAGTGCACTGACTATAAGTCGGTGATTAAGTGGCATGTTCTCTAAAAATAGGCTTAACCCAAACATTGAAAGCATAGACCCAATAGCACAGCAGGTAATTGTTACAAGTACGCCTATAGTATACTTAGTAAATAGAATTCTTCTAGAAACTAGTGACTGGCCTACAAATGCCCCAAATATTGTAAGAAGATATATACCACCCTGCACCAGGCCTAGCACTAGCAAAGAATGGTTTTCTTTTAATGCATCGGCTAAAATATCCAGTCGTATATTTTTTAGCAAAGCAGATATCTCTTCTGTATGTTTAGTAATCATAAACACCCAATACATAATGAGAGTAAAATTAGCAAATACAACAGCACAGAATAAACCAACTGTAAAAAGACCATTAAACAGTGTTTTTCCTTCGGCTTGATTATTGCGTACCGTGAATGTTCTATTATTTATGTGGTTCATAGATTCTTCTAGCGCATTTAAAGGAATGCTTTGTAACATCAATATATTGCAAATTTTTGCAATATTTATAATAATACTTTTTAAAAATATAATTCATAGATATATATGATACTAATAAATGTTCTTTATTGCTCTTCTGCAAATCTAAGTGAGACATCTTCAGTCTATTTTATCAGATGCACCTTTCTACTAAAAAGAAAATTTTCTACCTTTATTCTGAACTATAATAGGTGGAAGAGAATGAATTTCTAAGTAGTTATAACGGAATTAATTATTTAATTTTCTAATAAATTAAACCATAATTCAGTGCTTGTTTATAGAACACAAAAACTTCGGGTTACTTAAATTCTAATACACGGTGCTCGGATTTAGTGATTTGGTATATAACCCGAAATTTATTTAAATGAACTAGTCACTGCAGTTATATACACACGCTGGCTTAAAAATACTGATTTATACTTCTAATTGCATAATCCGAAAATACTAGCTGATATAATTTTATAGCTTTGATAAGTGCGTGTACTGTTCGTAGCATCTCAATGTATGTTAATGCCTTGGCTAGATTTCTATCTCTGCGTCCTCAATATCTGGCAGATCCTCAATGCTTGCATTCTGTGATTCTGCAAATCTGTGCACTGCCCCGTATAAATCATCTGATATTTCTATAACACCGGGCATTGCAGTTTCTCTGAAAGAGGATCCAGCTTGGATCTCTGCTGTAACTTTAGACCAATTCAGTTCTTTGTCTACTTTGACTCTTATTGTTCTTCTTTTATACCCCAACTGTATTGCCTTTTTAAGAATGTCTGACAACTGTATTTTCATTGGTTTGGCGCTTGGCACATAGTTTACTTTTCTTAGAATGCTTTCAGCTTCAGCATGTGTTAGAGTCTCCCCGCTTTCTTTTCGCATTCGGTGGACAATCCCCTCTGCAATTTCTTTTTTAGCACTCTCTTGCTCGTAGACACGCGTGGCGCTGTCCTTCCTTTCTGTGCCATGCTTAAGTATTGTTTCAAGTGCAGCTGTGTGCACTCGACCAAACTCCTCCTGCACGCTCTTTTTGCTTGCAAGCTTGCCTTTGCTTATATCTGAAAAGATGCTTTCAGTACACAAAACATCATCTAAAGATGCGGTCTGCCTTCTATACTCATAGAGTTTCTTTGGGTGAGCAGCCACCTCGTAATTACCATGCTTTCCTTTATACACCACAACAACCACATCCTGCAGCTTTTTAATGTTTTCCGGCGTGAATATCATAATGAAAAAAACCGCACAGCATTCTATTTATGCATAGATAGAAAAGTACAAGAACATATAGCATTAAAATCAGCACGTATACTCTCTAAAAATCTGAAAAGCACTATATTACCGTATAGAGAATATAAATTAATCGATCAGAAGAGGCACTAACAAAATAGTTGGGAAAATCATTAAATGCAAGTGTTTGCACTACAAAAATAACAATAGAAGATAGCGAAAATCATATTTATTTCTTGAGAACGGATGCGAGCTCGGGCATGTCGTACTCTGCAGCGGCTGCAAGGGCCATGATGTTTCTTGCTCCAATCTGGAGCTCCTGGGAGACTGTAGACTCTGTTACGTAGCCTGCTCCAAGGGCAAGTGCAGCTAATGTGCTGACTGCCTCCTTTACCATTGTCTCAACAGACTCTGGGGTTATCTTCAGATACTCGCAGTCGAAGAACTTTCCGTCAGAGTATGCGTAGAGCACCTTCATTTTGTAGATGAAAGGAGTGACTCCCAGAAGAGAAAGAAGTGCTGCCTCTGAGTGACCTACTCTCTTTCCTTCGTAAAGGGCCTGGCACTTTGATAAAATCTCAATCTTTCCCTTTGTAATTTTGGTGGCAATTCCAAGAGCCTGGAAGAACCCAGTCTTTTCTGGGGTTAAGCTGGTTGCAATTGGCTCAATCCATACGTCGCACTGGGATAAGTCTCCTGGCTTGGCAACTGCATGCACTTTGTTGGCTTCAAAGATGTCCTCAATGTCGCTCAGAGATCCATTGGTGAAAACTATTCCGACATTGTTCTTGATGACGTTCTCTACATCCTTCAGCTCTGGAACATTCTCGGATATCTTCTTCAGAGCGGTCTTAATGGTGGTGTTCTTTCCCATTAAAAACTCTCCCTTTCCTCTCAGGCCCTGTCTAATGGTCTGGCACTGGTTGGATGAGATGTTTGTCATGTCTACAATCATGAACTTCTTGTATGTAGTGAAGAAGTCCTGGGTTCTTTCGAAGACCAGATTCTTTCTGTTGGTTTTTATTAATTGTTTCTGTTGTTGTTTCACTTGCAGCATTGATGTTGTTGAAATGTCATGGGCATAAAAATAAAATATTTTTATGCATTCTATAACTGGAAATGCTCAGCCTGTTTTAACTTCTATACAAGATATTTTATTTGAATACACACAGCCACTTAAACTCCGCCATAGATAGGCCAGCCCATAACTATACTGATTTTATTTATACTTCTTCTCTTTCTACTGCTGTATTAGAAGATTGCACTCACAAAAAGCATTCTGGTATGCTTGTGCTATGTTTCGCAGAGCACTTGTTAAATTCTTACTTTAGTAGCCTTTATATTGGAAATTGGCGTATCGAGTCTTTATATGACTATTTATGATTCTTTTGCAGATTTTTCTCTATTTCTTTCATCTGTGTGATTTTCTAATTACAGCAGACTTATTCTATGAGATATATATATTTATTTATTTCAAACATAAACACAAATGGATCCTCCAGTAGCCAGCATAAACACAGAAAGATTTACGACGTACTGGGAAGTAATTCAAGGAGAGGCGAACAAACTGGCAAGTGGAGTGAAATGCAGTGGCATGAAGATATACTCGTCTATATACCACATTGTGTGTGGCGGGGACGTATCATACGCCGTGCGCCTTCACTGGTGCATCGGAAAGTTCTTCTTTGCATTCTGTGTCAAGCTAAGAGAAAAAATACAGGGAGAAGATTGGGTGAAAGAGTACGCCGCTGCATTCAATATATACGAAAACACCGTAGAAACAATAGATCTTCTATCTCTCCACTTAAATGAAGCTATTCTGGAAAACAAAGAGTGCAAAAATGTGAAAGACCTTGGGTATATTATCTGGGAAAGGTGCATTCTTAGACAGAGGTATGAAGGAAACCTCCCCGCTTTATCTGAGTCGCTTCCAAAAAGAAGAAAGTACGCCGAGGTGTGCCTTAGATCTCTTAGTAAAATTATTACCAACTCCGAGAACCGATTTGAGTACTACAAGAACAACTATGAGGCAGGGCTTTTTTCCCTTATCATAGAAGAGTTTAAGTACGCAGTCAACATTCAAGGTGAGATAAAACTAGCCAGCTATCTTTTAAAGTGCAGCAATTGCATTAAAGACAGCATAAAGACATACACACCGCTTTTACTTCCTATTTCTTTACCTGCATTAGAAGAAGCATTGGAAAAGGTTATTTTCTCAAAGCATCCACACGCTGTAAAAGAGGAGATGCTACGAATTCTTATGAAAAAAGACAAACAGGAGATAAAAGACCTATGCCTGTCTGCGCGCCTATTAAGTAAAAAGGTTTTCCCTGCATTTCTTGAGTGTATAAAAGAGTTTATCAATAATACGTGGACCACTGAAAAAACATGCCAGGCTGCAATAGCCACATACATTGAGCTGTCTGACCTTTTAATGCCGGATAAGTGTGCAAAAACACTGTGTGTGCTTAAAAAGGTTCTTTCTACAAAAATATCTCTGGCAGGAATAGGCAAAGAGATGGGAGACTATCTTGAGTCTCTTATCAATGAAAAAAACGTGGACAAGATCAAGCAGATGAATATTCTTTTAGACTCCTTGCCCATAAAAGAAGAAAAACAGGTTTTCTATAACATGTATACATCCAAGCTAGCAGAAAGGCTTTACTCCCTTAAGTTTGATCCTGCTGTTGAAAAAGAAACCATAGTCAATTTAAATCTACCGTGGCTGCTTAAAAAGAAAGTTAACAAAATATTTGATGATATGGTGCAGAGCACTAATGAGAATGAACTATTTAAGCAGGCATATGGTGCAGAGCACTTTAGATACCTTACTTCAAATAGCAACGAAATATTCTTTTACGGAATTATTACGACTGCCTGTGTATGGCCTATTTCTGAAGAAGCAATTCAGACAACACGCTTTCCTGCTGAGATAGACAGCATTCTCACTGCATTTTCTGGCCAGTATCTTGCAAAGCACGCTAGAAGAAGACTTGCTTGGGCCGATGCCTTATCTATAATTGAAGTTGAGATTACGACAGATAAAGTATATAACGTGTCGATGAGTCTTACACACTATTCTGTTTTAGATATAGTTGAGAAGAGTCCTGGCATGCTTGACCATATCTCAAAAGAGGCAGGCCTGTCCACAAAAGCTACTGCAAATCTAATCGAGCCTTTTGTTCGGCTTTCAATTATACAGTGCACTAACGAAATTTACAGCATTAATAGCAAGTTTACCTCTGCAACAGAGAATATAACAATACAAGCAGCAGAAAGCACGCTTAAAAGAATAGGAAATAGAAAGTCATACTATCAGGCATGGATCTCGCGAAAGCTAAAGCAAATGGGAGAGTGCCCGCTTAATGCTCTTTCAGACACACTGCAGAAAACACATACCAGCATTTTTGAATGGAATGTGCAGGAGTATAGCGAAGCCCTTAGAAGCCTGAATGACCGAGGATTAGTTGAAATTGCAGACACCACAATAAAATACCTCCCATAGACAGTTGATATCTAATGTGGCATGTATGCATAGGGAAATTCTCGTTTTTGCTAAATTTCTGATCTTTACACACTGTACTAACCCGAAATTAAAATAAATCAAATAACTAACTATGTCTGTTATACCAACTAACTTGGTGTGCAAAGCCTGCAATTCGCACAGCATAAGTACAGCAGGGCATGCACGAATTTTCATCTATATTCCTAGTTGTAATACAGTGCATGCGCCTAAATGCTTATATGCAATTCGCACTCTGCTATTATGTAAGACTATTATAGACCAGCTCCAAAAATTAAAGAGTAATATAAAATTAGAAATAAGATCTGTCCTTTTAACGATGGTTATATAAATATAATTAATTTTCACGTTTATTGAAATTAGACCTTTTATAGGTATACTAGTCCATTTGGAAACAAATTATTCCTTTTACAGAAAAATTAGTCTCTATATAAAGGCCATGGTCATAATCTGCCATGATAGGCACAATAAACGTTCCGTCGCAGTCAACAATAGACCTTTATCTGCACAACAATCCATACCTTAAGACTATTGCAGGCATGCTCTCTTATGACAATATTATCTCTAATATAAGAGATTTGGTTATAGCGCTTATGCTTGGCGTCTCTATTATAACTGGGCACAGCGCGCTCTGCCGTCTTTATACTGCTGATATATACTCTTTCTATTGTTTTGTTCTAGTCTCTGCTATTGCAGTCTCTATAGCCATTATAAACTTTCTGCCAAGCAAAGATGGCAAGAAGCGAATGTCATCAAAGCAAAGAAAACTATTTACTATTTTGTTCTCTCTGTTTTTAACTGTTCCAAGCATCATACAAGGAGAGCCCTGGCTTTTTTTCTTACTAACCAATCTGCTTGTTGGAAATAATGACTATCTATTAGTTCTAGCAGGGCACGCCTTTCTGTATTTTCTGACACGTTTCAATTTTCCTCAAACATTCCTTACTGCATTGAATTTCTGTCCTGGAATTTTAGCTTTTATATGTACGCTTGAAGACAGAATAAACAGCACATGGCAAACCAAATTATCTCTATTTCATTGCCACCGGACAATAACAGGCGCAGCAACTGTATTAGCAGTTTTTATAAGCATATTCTATATAATACAAACGAATCCATACATACACATCAACACATCACCAATAGATGTATAGATTTACATTTTTGGGCAGGAATATGCTTTCAGCGAATAGTAAAGCCACACTGGCAATTTCTATTTTAGAGCACTCTTTTCTATTATGTACTTGTTAATACAGAATAGTATTTTGATCCAGCCTGAATACGCTTGGATTATTCATAAATATTTCTTTTATTTATAATTTTATTTTGTGTATACTCTAATTATACTAGACTCTTTTATGATGGCTTTTAAAACAAAATAGTGAAATGTCGAAAAAGTTAAATATTTTTGGGCCTAAGACAAAACGCTAAAATGTTTGGGATTTTCAGCCAAATAATCATATATTTTAAAATACAGTTAGAATATAAACAGAATACCAACAGATCAGAAAGCACAAACATAGTAAAACAAATATAAGCACTAAAATTACAAACACAGGTCTTCTATAGTACACTAAGCGTAGTATAATAACTCTTAATAGCACCACACTGCATAAATAAAATGTGAATATACTGAATTCTTCTAGTAGTAGTAATAAATTTATTTAAAAAATATTTAAATCAATTGCTGTATATTCCGAAATTTAATTGTATTTGTACAACATATAATAGAAGATTTTTATTCGCATTAGAAGTTCTCAAAGTACATGTCCATTGCAGAGTCTACTTCTTCACCAGGGCTCAGCTCAGGATCTTGGCTGGTGACTGCACTGTCAAAGTTTGAGCACATACTATTATCTAACTTAGGCACCCATTCAACCGGCAGCTTTTGCTTTTCCATTTCTTCCCAGTCAATGTTTTTGAAGTACTCATGGTTTTTAATGTCTGCGCTGGAGTGTGCACCAAGCCGCTTTTCTGGGTCTTTTTCTAGCAAGCCCAGAATAAATGACCTAGCAGGCTCTGAAATAAGTTCAATGCTAGCAGGCGGTTCATTTTGGATTGCATTCTTTATTTTCTTAAGACTTGCTCCAGAAAAGGGCGGCGACTTAAGAATAAGCTGGTATGCTAGCACTCCAAGACTCCACCAGTCAACTGCACACGTATAGTGCTCATCAATCATTTCGGGTGCAATTGTAGGAATACTTCCACACAATGTATGCGCTATCCCATTATGCGCACCAATCGAGCAGAGACTCAGGTTTGTTAGCTTTATATACCCATTTTCAGAGAACATTACATTCTCCAGTCTAAGATCCCTATATATAATGTTTTCTGAATGCAGCCACTCTATCGCCAGCACTAGCCCTGCCAGAATCATCTGAATTTCATTTGCAGATATTGTGCGATTCTGTAAGTGGAAGTACAGATCACCGCCAGGTACAAATTCAGTTATGAAAAATACGTAGGTTTTTGTCTGGAAATACCCCTTTATATGTAGAAGAAACGGGTTTTTTGATGCTTTTGCAATTTCCAAGCAGGTCCGCTGTGTCTCAACTAAGTTTTGGCAATTTTTGTCTATTATTGTCTTCTTCTTAATTGCTTTAAGCCCCACTGGTTTGCCATTCCATTCGCAGAGATAAACCTTTGCAAACCCTTCCACACACACAGGAGATATAAATTTAAACTGATCAAGAGATATTTTTTCAGACTTTTTCTTGTGCCGCTTTGGCATATATGATATTAACCCGATCAGGAGGTCCAGTGTTATTCCACACGAATGAAATAGCATTTTTCTACAGGAAGTATGGTAGGTATTCTCGCACACGCTGCACACCAAGGCCATGGCAAGCATACCTATCCGCTCGCCGCAGTGACAGCACCAAGTTGCACCAAGCATTTTCTCCTGCTGAACAGAGTGCTCTACACTATAACGCTTAGTGGGGCAGACCTCTGGCTCTTCATCGCTGCTTGAGCACTCCATTGAGGAATTTTCTGTGCTTTCCTCTTCTTCGGATTCTGTATTATGATTTTTATTCTTCTTCTTTTTATTTGCCTTGTCTGATGAATGCCCGGACTTTTTTGGCTTTTCTTTTATTTCAATTGCAGCAGAAATAATTCTTATCCGCTCCTGTTTTATTTTTTGTAATTTCTCTTCTAGCTCCTTCTTCTCTGATTCCATCTCTTCCTTTTTCTTGAACTCATTGCACACGAAGAAAATTAAATGCGTACACTTCATATGGCAGGTAAACTTGCACATATCGCACCTGTAATATAGTTCTACATCACTGGTTTCTTCATTGCTCCCACACACACCACAGCGATACACAGAAATGCTTTCTATCTTTCTTAGAAGATGCTCTGCTACCCTTTTAGTCAGCACATTTTCTAGTGCTCGGTGTATTGTATTTGACTCTAAAATACACTTTCCAAACGAAATTGATAGAGTGCTTTTATCTTTAATACTGTAGTAAAAGTTCTTTACGCCTATATCCTCTGCATCTGCTAGGTCTTCTATGGGAAAGAATATATTTCCTATAATCACATCATCTTGAGTCTTTACAACAATTTCCATTCTGTATATATTCTTGAAATCAATGCTTATTGATTTACTTTCTTCTATTTCTCGCTGTGCGATCTCTCCTACTAGCACGTCATCTGTGTATATCATAATGGATATTCCTTTGTGTAATGGATTTCTGTCATTTATACCAACAATTGACAAGTGTGCTTTTCCAGAATATTTCTTTATCTTAAACGATTCTATTAACTCACTGCTCTCTCCTATAATATTTGGATTGTAATTCTTGTCTGTTACAAATGCATCTGACAATAGCCTTTTTATTAGCAGAATCTCTCTTTCTAAGAAGTACAAAACTCTTTGTATTTTATCCACTGTTTGCTCTATTTCTGGCGTGTCTTTATCCTGCAGAATGACATTGTATCCCTCTAAAAGCCTTCTATCCTGTGTTATTCTTTGCATAATTACTTTTGCTCTGGATATATCTCTTGTCTCCCAGCACTCCAGAATGCTCTGTGATTCTGTCTGTTTCCCTGAAAGGAATGGGTTTGAGTCTTTTAATTGTTCAATTTGATATCTAGCTGCCTCGGCCTCAGCTTCAGATAAGCTTGGCAGTAGTTCTGTAAGTTTTTTAATTATATTCACTGTATTTGGAAGCCTGTCTGTCATATATAATTTCTTTGTTTATTTTTTATGCAGGCATCTCAGTATATAAGGCAATTATCTATAAAACTAAAACAATATCTAAAACAATGTGAGGAAAGGGAGAAGTTTGACCCTGAGCAGGCCAGACAGGTGGTGTTGGACAATCTAGTACCAATATCTACCGCAGCACTAAAAAGCGAAAAAGCCTCTCTCCCAGTCCCACCATCAGATGTTATTGCTGTAGAAGATCCGTATATATACGTATTGATTGTGGAATACCTGTGCGGCCAGAATGACGTAGATACTGCTCGCATTTTATTAGAAGAGTTTAGCGAGATGTACCCTGTTGAGAGTCCAAAAGAAGCTGTAAGTATCCCTCAAATATACAATCCATGGATGGATGAGCTGGGTGCCATTGCACCATGTGTCATTACAAAGAAGTCTCTAAAATACAAGCATATAACAGACATAAAGAAAAAATGTAAACAAATAATTAACTCGCATAGAGAAGTAGAAGCACCGATAGATCCAATTACAAAGCTCTACACAATTGTGGAGGGTGCATTGAAAGAAATGAATAAGTGGAGTACCTGGAATGCCCAGAAAAAGGATATTTATCAGCAGTCCATTATTGAGATTAAAAAGTGGTTCATAGAAGAGAACGGAACCATTCTGTACTTTGATGGGCAGGTAGGCCATGTATACTCAAAACAGACAGTGCAGTATGAAGAAATAAAAAGCATACTAAGCCTGCTGGTCATTCCCACACATCATAGTGAGGTTAAAAGATTGGTTCATGCAAAAAGGACAATGCCAACAAAGAATGCAATAACCTTAGAAACATTCTACTACATTGGTAAAAAAATGGAGATGATAAATGTAACTCCGTATGATACTGAAATAGAGGTTGAGTCGGCAGTTCCATACATTCTTTCTTTCCACTCGACGTTTTTCTGCCCAATTCTTCGAACTGAGTGCTCTTTTGATAACACGCCATGCGTTCTTACCTGTGGCCACATAATAAGTGTGAAGGCAGTTGAGAAGATTGCTTCATTCAAAGGAGTAATTTTTAAGTGCCCGTACTGCCCAAAGGATGTAAATGTTAAAGATGTTTTTAAGATAAAAATGATAATATAGGTGCAATAAATCTGCTATTCCATATTATTTGTAAATAATTTTTAAATGCAACAAGTGCAGTAACCCGAAATTAAATTCTCCTTTCTGGTAAATAAATTTAATTGGACACAGGAGCCAGTGGCAAAATGATAAAGGCAAGGAGTGAATAGGGGAAGTATATACAAAGAAAATATTTAGTGTGTATGAACCCCGAAAATATACGACACGTAGTTATAATAATTAGCATTTTGTTGTTCGGATACTTTAATGCCTCTCTGGCCGTAGAAAGGCAAATAGAAGCTGATTTAGAAGAGTATAAAGAAGTCATAAACAGATACACAGACACCCGAATAGATGCCATGCATTCTCACATTATAGATCTAATGAAGAGATTTAATCAAACAAAAACAGAAGGTCACTTTAGCGCAATTCCAGAAAGCATTAAAAACTCCTGGGATCTTCTAGAAATGTTCTCACAGAGTCCAACAAGTGAAATAAAAGAAATCCTAAGCGAGCTGCGCAGCACATTAACTTCCATGGAAAATATACTAGATCTCAGTGAGCTAGAAGAAAGCTCGTCTCAGAGCGTTGACTTGGCCTATGAAACAATTCGTAATGTGGGAGATGACATGCACGAGCTTATTCAGTTCTATTTAATAATAGACATAAACATAAATAGAATGGAAAGCTTTATTATTCAAGCAAAAGAGAAAAGCACCCTATAAAGGCACCACTTAAACATACCCAGCGGCATTGCATACTATGTGTAGCTTGCCTTTTATACAAATAAATTCATGGTTTTCAAAATATGTTATTTTTATAGATATTTTAAGCAGTCCCTACTAAATTTAGAATATTTTTTATTTTAGAGAATTATATTTTTTTACGGGTTAATTATATGGTATAAAGTGACTTAAGATATCACCCAGATGAAGCTAAGGTTTTATTGCAATTGAATCTAAAAGATTCATTTATTATGAAGAAATATTAAAGCGCAGGTCTTGAAATAAAATTATTTTGCTTTATGAAGAAACACAAGAAACCCGAAATTGAAACAAGATGGAAAATGAGTGAGTTAAAATTGGTAAAAGACCATATAATTGATGATAAAGACGGCGGGCAGCTGTGTATAAAACAAAAAAGTGTATTGAGTCCAATGCTGGCATACTTAATAAAAACGAGCAGATTAATGTATAATATGCGGTTTTGTTCGCCCGGAATAAAAAATAATAAGCCAGTGCAGGAAAATACACCCTTTTATATGTCTTTAGATTCTTTTTATCATGGGAAAGATGCGCCAGATTTTTTAACAAATCAGGATAGTAAGTTTTTATATATAAAAGAATATCACACAGTCCTTTTGCAGCTGTTTCCATCATTGGATGGCCATCTATCCATATTCACGCATAAAGAAGACTCGTTTTATATGCTAATTAGTAGCAAATTAACGTCAGAGCAAAGGTATAAACTTTTTGCATCTTTATTACTGCTTTCTGAGGGAATAGAAGTGCCGTTGATATTTGAATATGTCAAAGACCAAGTAAATCTGATTTTAAAAAGACTTGATACCGGCGGCGAGCACTTTAGAATTAACATGAGTATATTAGAAGACAGCTCTGGAAAGCGCCCAGGTAATAAAGAGAACTGTAAAAAAGCAACAAAATATGAAGAGGCAATGAATGTAATTAATTTTTTTATAAAGAATAAAAACAATACAATCCTACAATTTAAAGGGCTTATACGGCCAAGGATGGGAGCAATTATACCAGAATTTAATTTTGATACAGGTGATTTTTTGAGCAGTCCAAAATTTCTTATACATACATACATCTATGAATATATTACCACAGCCCAAGATGCTATTTGTTTTTGCCATGCAACGTTTGCCCTTCTATGTGAGTATATAGAGAATATAGAATACACTTATGATAACCATGCTAAAAATGTGTTTTGTGAGTATTTTATTCTAGCTAGACTTCGAAATAATGAGCGCAACTATTTTGGCTATTTATGCCAAATCAATAAAGTGATTAGAAAAAACAAGACGCTCCCTTTTTCAGAGAGCCTGCATCCACAAGCAATCAAGAGTCCAAAATGCCATATCAGAAGTTTAAAAAGTTTAAGGCGCATAGTATTGGACTCTCTTGATATAAATGTAAAAGAAAGTATGCCTTTTAATCTGAACTCTGCTGTTTATAGGCTTCCTGAGTTTATTAATAGCACAGAGACAATTATACTTTCGCTATTTTGCTGCTTTGCATATGATCAGAATAGGCAGATCTATACAACAAAACACATGAAGCACGCGTCTTCTGACCTAAAGAGCTTTTTTGATAAGTATAAGTACATGTTTGAGAGAACATCTTATGCAGTGCACTCTGATTGGAATAAAGTAGTTGCAGATCTAAACAACAAAGACATATTCTATATCAGACCAAATAGAAACCAAATAGAGCCAGGCCTATTAAATATTCTCCGAGTCATTACAGAGATTGCTGGTATATATAAGCAAGAAAAGAAAAAAATAGATGCGCTACAAAAATGGGCAGAAAGTAGGGGGAAAGACTATAGCCAGAAACTATGCGAACGCGTGCTTGGTTACATACAGAATTTGTTCAAAGCACTCTCAGTAAATAAAAACATAACTCTGCCAAGCGCATGTATAACATACTGCAGCGTAAAAGAAAACCGATGTGATATGTTTGGGTTTATACGAATAGGATATAAATATAATGAGATTTATAAAACCCTAAGAATTATTGTTCAGATGCCATACATTCAGTGCATAGGCACAGTCACATCTGTGCTTTATCATACACAGGCATCATTTGAGGCATCAGAAGACACTTCTCTATCAAGCAATGATAAGAGGATTTTAAACTCTATTATATTGTTTTCTAGTTATAATGTAATGTTTGATTGTCTACTTGGCCATTATAGCTGCTTTGTAATGAACCAATGCACGCACACTACAGAGACTTTGCTTGAGCGCATTAAAGAATTGCCAGCAATGAATTTTTATACGTATAAAGAGATAACCCCTAATACATTCCTTCTTGATCCCCAGCTCTACGACCCTATCTATAGCCTAAATCTGGCCCGGCAATTATTGATACATGCTGTGATATTGCGCCTAAATTCTGGCCACTCTCTTATTATATTCCTTTCGAATCTTCTAGAAAACATACTATTTGGAAATGAGCATCTTGAACTAAGAGTATTTACTCTTCTTAAACTATTTGAAGAGTACAAAAGCTACCTTCCAGATATACATACTAGCTACCAGACACTTAACAAAAAAATATTTTCAGAGTTTGAGGTAATAGAGGTGTTCACCTATATAACAAACATCGATTTACCATTTCTTCTTCAGAAAATTATAAATGCCTATATAGTCATGTGCGAAGACTGCACTCTAGGTGGATTAAGCATTGTTTTGTGGTATATCCCATCCAAAACTCAATTTAGACTACTTAATTGTTTAACAAAGAGGGGTTTGAGTATAGAATACATTCTTTCAATTATTAATTCTGTAAAAAACTCAAAAATGTGCTATTTAAAGAAGGCCGAAACAGTGTGCTTTATCAACACGTTCTTATTGGAAGTTATTGGTATAGCATGCCAAAACAAAGATTGGTTTAATTTTATTATAAAAGATTGCTATAATCTAATCAACTTTAACCAAAATATTATTTTACACTGTACCTTGCCAGCCTCGTTAGAATCCATATTAAACATAGTAAATGCGCTTAAGTCCATGAAAGATGACCTATGCCGGTATGATAATAAAGAAGACAATCAAAACTTCTACCACATACTAAACATGTATGAAACAAGCTTGATTCAGATCACAGCAAATCTTCGATGATAAATGTAAGCATCCTGTTAATAAAATTCCCAAACATATTATAATTTTATAGTATGAATAGTTAAAACACGCCCGAATGTACATCCATTCTATGGCCGTTTCAGTGCTTTTTTTCCCATTTCCTATTTACATCTTTTCTTTACATCAATTTTTCTTTCTATTGTTATTGCTTTATAATTAGAAGTTCTCTTATTTACACCACTATATTCCTTATTTTATCATAATAATTTTGTTAATTGCCTTGTTTTCTACGTGCATATTTCTCTGGGTTTATTCTGTTTTCTTTTCTACTTAATAAATACAATGTATTTGTCTTAGAAAGTCTGTACGATTTGTTTTAATATATTTTTGTATTTTTATTCTTTTAGTATGCCTCAAAAAAATAAATATGTACTTTTTACATAGAAATGTAAATACTTTATGTTTAATTTTCTATTCTAATTATAATAAACTGCCTTTTATTAAAATATACGAACAATAACCCAAAACACCCCAACAGAGGACTAACATATAAACAGGAACAATATAAGTGGGCACATCTTAATAAATGCAGAAAAAAGAACAGAAGAGTTTAAACAATCTGAGCTATGAAATATATTAAAGTACATCAATTTTTATTAGAGATTTGCTAGAAATAGCATAAAATTCTCAATACTAAGATAAACACATGCCGTATAATTATGTAGAAGATTCAGAGAATAAACACATTAAATCTTATTATTTATTTTGTATTTTTATTTAACTTTTATTACTTTCTGCCTACACAGTATCTTCTATTTTTATCGCTGAATGGTACAACAGTCATTAGTAGGCCCCCTTCTCAAACCCACAGGCATCGCAGAGTGTTCGAGTAGGTGCATTCACTAGTGTACATACATTGCACGTCCAGGAACTGCTTTCTTTGCACTCCTTTGCAATATCTACAAGCTCTTCTAGTCTTCCATTTAGAACACAGTCTTTAAACCGCTCTGTGTCCTTGTTTACCACACACTCTATAAGCTCATCAGAAAGAATGTTCATATCTGCCAGCTCTAAGAGCACTTCTATGTCTGAAACAGCAGCTAGGCTAATTAAGCATACAGAGTCATCAGACAACCGTCGTTGAAAGTGTTTTTTCAGCTTGCTTACTCCCATACCTCGCTTAAACGGCGTTTTCTCTGTCTTTATGTAGAAAACACTTTTGTTCTGCGTAAGACCGTGTGTTGGCCGCACCGCCAAATACTCAACAGGTATTCTACTTCCAGTGTGTGACCCTTCTTTGTCCCTCCATATCATATCTACGGACTTGGCAGACATTTCTTGCCGATTAACCGACGCATGTAGAACTCCATCTAGGGACAACTCCATGCCCAGATGAGTGACCATGCACTCAACAATTTCTGATGATGTGGGCGTGCCGCTAAGTATTAAAGTCACAAATTTAGACCCCTTTCTTTCCTGAGCAGCCCACTCTGCAAACCTGTTTTGCATATTCGCAATAAAATCTATCTCCAACGCGCTAATGTATGGCATTGGCTCTTTTGTGATCCTTGTATAAACCATCCCAACTATCTCCATCTGCAGTAAATTTAGCACTCTATTTAATGATTCATCCGTTCCTAAAAGTATTTTATCATTTGGATCAATAATAAATCCATCTAGAAGGCCCTTTTGAGTAGGAGTGATTCTTGCAAAAACCTCAGCCTTCCGGCCCTTAGGTACATCTGGGTACTCTGAATATCTTCCTATTAACAGATGCACAGACTGTGTGTTTTTTTCCTTTTGCTCAATAAGAATCTGCTCAATAATAGCTCTGTCGTGTACTTCAATGTGATCTATTGGCCGGAATGGCTGCTGACCCAAAGATATTTCTTTGGGCATGCACTTATTGCACCGGTGCTCTGGCCGATGAGTTCGACAGGCAGGTGGCAGGTGCGTTTCAATTAGAAGAACCTTCTCTTTCGATGCAAGGTACTCTTCGTATGCCCCCTGCGAAATAAATCGCCGCTCCTTAAACTGCTCAGATACCCAGGAATCCTCGCTCATGCAATTACTGCACATTCCAGAGGGGCCATGCGAGCACTCGCTAGATTTTTGTGTTTGTGAAGGCTCGCTGGGCGTTTGTGCTTGTGCAGGCAAAGGAGCTTCTTCTTCTGGCTTGACTATCTCATACTCAGCAGTAAGCATTTCTCCATTCTCTAGATTGTTATCCCCCACACTTCCTTCTATATTCTTTCCATTATGCAAAATGTTCACACACGGGGCATTTACTCTTTTGCTTACTTCTTCCATTATTTGTGCAATTGTTGTGGCCTGCTCCACCTCAATTCGCATGGTTCTGTCTCTTCCTTGGACTCGAATAATCATAAAAAAATAGTAAACAAACTCAATGTATTTAAAACTCCCCACAACCCTCAAATACTCTTTAGTGCATCGCCTGGATAATAACTGCTAAAAGAACAAAAAGTGCAATAAGTTAGATCGACAGCATAAATTAGTATACATCTAATAATATCACTAGTATAGGAGTAATACGCGCGATTTATGTTTAATCTCGGCTATTTCAAGCCATTTAAACTTATCTACCTATACACCGCATGATTATCTCAGAGCATTTTATATACTCTAAAATAAATCTAATCCACAAAAATCATTCCACTATTTGGGATATATTTTCTTTAGACACCATTTAACCCGAAATGTCCACGATCGCTAATACAAAATTTTGAAAAGATTAGAATATTTAAATTCACAAGCAAATAGAAACTGCCAATTTATTAAATTCTCACAGGCATCTATCATCACTTACTACTAAAGTAGAACAGATCAGTCGTCCTAAAACACCCAAAATATATGTATTTAACTAGTCGCAATTCTATTTATACCACTACTTTTTGCCTTTTTTAGGATTTGCCACTTTTTCTTCAAGTCTTTCAATCATTTGGTTATACCGATTTTTTCTTTCTTCGGCTCTTTTTTCTAAATCCTTAGCAAGCAGTTCTGCTGCAGCTTTTTCTTTCTCTCTTTTCTGCTGCCTCTTTGTGTTTGCCATAAGAGGTTTGGCTTTGGCATACCCAGGATACTCCTCCACCTTCTTCTCTTTTATATGCTCATTAATGATTCTTCTATACCTCTCTTCCTGCTCATCTTCTCCCAATAAAAGAGCATCAATGACCTTTGCCATGCGCCCCTTGTGCTTTTTATAGAGAGAAATCAGCTCATCTTTCTCTTCCTGCGATCCTTCATAGATAGATCTAAACCTTTCAAACATATCTTTTGTGATTATATCTCTATCTGAGTCGGTTTTTTCTGTAAGCAGCTCGTATGCCTGGTTTAGCTGAATAAACTTCTCTTCTGATCCTCCTGGCCTGTCCGGATGCATTTTCATTGACAGCTGCCTGTACCTCTTGCGTATCTCTTCATGGCTGCTTTCTACAGTGCACCCAAGTATCTCTGCTGCCTTCTCTCTTTTCATATAAAAATTCTCTTGTACGCCATATGAATATACATCCATAATTTTCGAGAATTTCCAGTATATAGTTAACATGTGAATAAAGCCAGCAAAGACGTCAGCAAACCTATTGCCACACATGAATTTATTCGCTGCATGTGGCTATCTATTGATATATCATACTAAATCATCACATATGTTTATTTGTTTTTTTTCTCTTGCAGTTCTGGTTCCTCGTCTATTTCTTCATCCCACCCATATAGAGGAACAAAGCTTTCTAGTATACCGCACTCTGCATACAGATTTGGGAAAAGCCAGAATGATCTTCTACATACCAGAAGGACAGCAAGATAAATAACAGCCCGGATAATCGTTATAGAAATAAGGAATATAACAATTCCTATCATAGCATAGAACAAATACCCAGTTGCCATTTTTACACTGCGTGGCCATATAGGGAACATTGCTAGAATCAGTGCAGCAAGGAACACCGCCATGCTCAGAAGATACATTGCTGTTTTAGACCCCTCTTTTATCCATATATACTCGTGATTTATATTGAATTCATATGAAATGTCAAGTATATGCTGGTCATCTACTGGGCGGACTCGCACTATATAGTGGTTGTCAAGAAGAATAGACATAACTTCTTTAGCCTCTGAAGCAAGCAGCCCCTTCTTGCTCATAAGATGATTTACAGCGTGCGATCCTTTAAATATAGAGATTCTTTTCATTTTATTCAGAATCGATTCGGTTGTTTCAATATCCCGAAGACTTTTCTCTGCATAGTTTACTGTAAAGTGTCTTGGCGTGGCTACCTCTGCCATTATTTGTTTTAGAAAAAGAATTAATTAATATGCAAATAAGTGTACATAATGAATGCTGTCTCAGAATTCTATCTACTCTTAATATTCTTAAGTGCACACCACTTCAGAAAATAGAGCTAGAAAACATTCTTTCTGAGTTGAACAGACTAATTGCCATAGCAACAACAAAGCAGGAGATTCCAGAAGTAAAAATAGAAAGAGTTGATGAAAGAAACTACATAATTAATAACACACACATTAGAGACCAAGATGGAAGAATCGAAATAGAAAAAACAGATATTTTATTACTACAGCCGCATTTTACAGAAAATCCAATAGGAGCAATAGAAGACGCAGTAGATTATGTAAAAATATTATACGAGAATAGAATATGCATTGCATGCTTAAGAAAAGCAAGTACAATGACACTTGCAATGCCATTGATAGTTAGAAAAGCGAATGACAGAGTATTTGTATACCATACTGAGTGTATAGAAGATGGGCAGGAAGCAAATATCTATCTTGTTACACAAGAAACGGCCTAAAATCTGAAGCATACAAAAATAGGTTTAACTAAGAATATCAGAGAATTATTCCTAGATACGCCAAATATTTAGATTAGAAGTATTTTTACAGACATTTGGGTTATAGAGAACAATTCGAAGCATTGCCAACATGCCATAACAAATAAAGAAAAAGGAACAAAACAGTTCCTTGTTTATTTCGCATGGGATTTATAGTTTCTAGGTTATACAAAGGACAGTCCTTCTTTATTCTTATACTTAAGGCAGGGTTGGCCCAAGATACAACTGTAGTGGACGAGTTTTTCTTCCCTTTTCTATCGGGGTTTAAGACTGTCTATATGTACAAAAACGAGTGCATATCATACAAAAAGCTGAGGGCAAAGGGAAGGACTGCCTCAATAATTGAAATGCACGACACAGACCATTTACACCTTTTCTGGGACTGTATAGCAGGAATGCACTACGTAGTCTACTTTATCCACTCGCTTTCAAACGAAAACGCGCTTGCTGTTATTGGACAAATAAAGAGTGTGCGGGATGTAAATCAAGGTGCATCACTTCTGCTTGTTATTATGCAGAATAAAATAGAACAAGATGAGTACGAGCTGTTTAAAAAAAGCCTGCAAAAGAGTCTAGAGGGTGCAACATACAAAATAATAGATAACACACTCTCTACTCTGGATAGGCCATCAAATGTTATAGATGACCTATTTCACGGAGTAATGTGGGAAACAAACCCAGTTGATTGAATAATTAGTACTGTTTATTTTGCAGTATAGCAACCCCAGCAACACTAGAATATTTAATTTAAATCACCACAAATTCTCTCTGTTATTCTATATATAGCTGTAATAATTGTTGGTTGCAGTGATTGCGCGTAGAGCCAATAAACCAGAGATATTATTGGATTCTTTCCTGGTTAATAAGCGAAGCGCATGGTGCTGTTATGTTTATCCCAAGAACACTTCTTATAATTCGATTATATATCCAGAAATAAAGTGTTAATAATATTTAACTAAATATATATTTAAAGAAGAGTTTTTATTTAGAAATTAGAATTCTTTAAATATAAAATTCTACAGTCATGTGATGCAATAAAGAAAAAATTAAAAAAAGTGAGCTATGCATGATTTATTAAAAATAAAATATTATTTATGCCTTACAAAAAATAAAACTCTTTTATACTAGGTTGTTGTGTGAAGGTGCCAGGATGAGTGCATATATTTATTTATAATAAAACTCTTATGGATTATGTAAATTTTCTATATAACATATCTCATTTACCCTGTATGCTATAATATATCCAGAAGCAGAGTGCGGAGGAATGAATAGAGAACCATTGTCTGGCCATATATAACAACCAGGCTTGGTTATAACGCAAGCAACATTGCCGACAGAGTCTACTATATTAATTGAACCGCTGTAGAGAGATATAATAGCTAGGGCATCAGACTCTGTATTAAATGGATCATTTAGCAGCATATATCCGTATTCAGGGATTCTCCCAACAAGTACATCTACAATATCTTCAGATTTTATAAGATTGATTTCCATCGGCAGTATAGTTATTGTACTAGAAGGATCCTCTACTGGCTCATCTAGTGATGTGTAGACGCAGTTCAGTCTGGGCTTCCACTTAAGGCTAGAGAGTGTGCTCTCCATCTGCTTAGTACTGTAGTTTGCACTGCCGCATCCTAGATCTATTAAGCCAGTTTGATTCGGCTTGGAAATTTCCATACTACATTTATCATTGAATACCCAGTATCTAAAAGGCTTATAATCTAGAAGGATGCTTTCTGGATTATACTCTTTGGCTCTTAGCCATCCCGTCAAAGCAAGTCTTTCACCACTAGTCATGATTTCAACCTCGTGGTATGACTTACCAGATACCTCAAATATCACTAATCGATTAGCTATAGGTTTTACTCGCTTTGCAACAGTGCGCCCATCAGGCTCATAGAGGACAAGTGCTCCATTCTTTTGCTCTGTGCTATGCTCTGTCTCCTTTAATAAAATAGACTCTGTGGAGGCATCTTCTGTAGTGGGATCGTTTAAGTAAAAAGAAAACGCCAAAACACGGCCACTCACACAATCATCGTGCGGAAGAAGAAAGTCTCCTGCTCGGTAGACAGAGGAAAACAAGTCCATTTGTTCGTTCTCCACCTTTTTATTAATATTCTTAAGATCAGTGTTCATTCCTAATCTTAGAAATTTAAGAAATGGCTGAAATCGTACGTCGTTTTTTAGCTCATTTGTTTGGTAGAAATGAAATAAGTCCGTGTGTTTCTTAAAGAACTCGCTGCTTCTGGCCTCTTTCACCACATTATCAAAGATGTCTTTAGGCAGAAAGTTGTCTACCACGCGATGATAGAATGGGGCGGTAAAATGTGTGCCCCTTTCTTTAGGGGTATCTCCTAATCCGTTTTTCTTCTCCATTCAGAAATAAAAAATTTCTATTGGCCGGTGAAGTATAAACTGATTTGCTAGTTTCCGGGGGATAAAAGAAGGAGAAAAAGTATAAATATAATCGAAACAAAGACCATCATGCCAATACAAGGAGGAGAATTAAACTATAACAAAGAAGAAAACAAGAAGCCAGCAGACGACAAGTCAAAGGCCGAAGACAAGTCTAAAGTAGACGACAAATCTAAAGCAGAAGACAAGTCAAAGACCGATGATAAGTCAAAGACTGACGACAAGTCTAAAGTAGACGACAAGTCAAAGATTGACGACTCAAAGCTCTCTAAGGGCAGCGCATCTGGCGCAGGAATATCATCTGCAACTGAAAAGAAGATAGACTCGCTTTTGCCTAAAACACAGCCTACTAAGCCAACAACGGAAAAGCTAGAGTCTAGCAAGCTATCAGATGCCCCAAAACCAGGAATTGGCTCAAATGCTACTAAGCCAGGTGAAAATAAGATGCCTAGTGCTCCTCCCAAAACCAGCACAACTGGTGCTGCTGCAGGAGCAATGGGCATAGGAGGGGCAACAAAGCTATCCAGTAGCAATGCACCCAATTCATCTAGACCCGCAGGATCTACTTCTATGGGAAACGGAGGAGCCAGCACCAACCCAGCCGCACCTGGTGCCAGAAAACCGGTAGAGCCATCAAACGGACCTACAACTGGCTCAAATCCAACTGGTGCTGCTGCATCATCGTTGTCTGGTAGTGCACCAAGAAACTCACAGGGGTCTATGAACAGAGACACATCTGGGTCTATTCCTGAGGAAGACGAGCCCAACGCTTTCGTAAAGTTCTTTAGATCAATTAAAAATGCAATTATGGGATTCTGCTGTCAAACTGAAGACAGCATAAGACACGTTGCTTAATAAAGAGTCATATTCAACTTCGGGCCATTTTTATAAAACTTCTATTTATCTATTATATAATAGTGCAATACAAACATGTGCATAAAACAGATAGTCTAAAGAAAAGCAATTCTATAGCCTAATATCTTTACATATAGTGGTATATAAACACTAACAGACTGTATTTCAAGATGTTTTTAGTAAAGTAGTCCCATACAATCCAAAATCTATTTGAAATAGTATTTTCCTCTGCGTACTCTATGTTTACATGCTAATTAAAATGTATCTGCTGCCTATAAACAATCTTATCATGATTTTTAGACACATTTCATACCAGCTCACTCATATAATAAATAAAATGCCAATTTATGTGCTCGGATTATATTCTCTGGGTATGAAGCATTATTAAACATAGAGCGTGTACATACTCATTATATGGCTGAATGTAGATTATACTAATTATAGACACTTAGAGTGTGCTATGTGCCAGGGCCTTTCTTATGGCCATTGCATGAATATAAGTTTAGTATTTCTGCTTAATTTTTAACTATTTAAGTTTAAGTGATTATTATGCGCACAATAAACTGTTTTAACCAAAAAAAAATTATTATGCGCATGCGAATTCTGAGCATTTCTATAATTACTCTATTTTTTCCACTATATACACTAAGAATGAACAGCAAAGAGACCAAAGAAATAAATGCATCTAGCTTTTACAGTATTAAAGACGTGGCAATTGATGGAAGTGAAGTGGACTTCACAAGATTTAAAGGGGAGGTATCTCTTATAGTAAATACTGCATGCACCTGCGGGCTAGCAAAGGAGGGATTTGAAACAATTAGAAAGCTGCAAGAGGAGTTTAAAGATCTTAATGTTCTTTTATTTCCAAGTGCATTCAGCAAGATAATTAACCAGGAGAAAAATACACCGAAAGAAATACTGCAGGAAATAAAGAAAGCTAATATAACTGTGGGTGGCCGAGTAGTTGTATTTAATAAGAGAGTGATTGATAGCTCAAAGGGTATATTTGACTGGCTCACTAGAAACTATGAGAAAACAGGATGGCTTAACATAAAAGCAATTAAATGGAATTTTACCATGTTTGTCGTGGATAGGACAGGAACAAAGGTAGTACGGCATGACCCGCTGGCAGCAAAGTATCCAGAGGTTAAGAAAACAATTGAGAAGTTTTATACTACGGAATTGCCCAATAGCTCCAAATGATCAGTGATATAATCCAGAAAAACTAGCCAATAAATGAATAATATACGGGTATAAATTGAATGAAACTTTCTCCTGCATGGAGAACCAAAGAAAGAATACAGAAAGCAAATCTAATAATACCGAGAATGAATCAATAAATAAGTCAGAAAGTAAATCTAATAAGACCGAGAATGAATCAATAAATAAATCTGAGAATCAACATGAAGATCTATCAAAGCATGAGAAGGAAATGCATGAAAAGGCGCAGAGCCAAGTAGAAAGTGCAACAACAAAAGTTACTAACTTTTTCCAAGTGCTAACTGCAAAGATAAAAGGAGGAGCAGAAGGTGCTCGTTCTGGATTCTATAAATCAATGAATAAAGAAGAAGCGCAAGAATTACAAAATACTGATAAGAGCAGTGACAAGTTTGAAAGCACCAATACAAAGAGTAAATCAGAGTCTAGCTCTACCAAGAACAACTCACAGAGCACGGAGAAGAGCAGTGATAAATCAGAGTCAAGCTCCAATAAGAACAGCTCAGAGTCTAGCTCTAATAAGAATCGTTCTTAGCGCTGAAATAAGAGGATGTGAACAGAGTTTTTAGCTTGATCTGCACAGAACTTGGCTGTATAGCCCGAAATATTTCTCTGTTCAACCTATGCTTTTCTTTATCTTAAATAAAAGTTTATTACAACTTGGCCTATTTATAATTATTATATCTTAATTTATTAATAAAGCTTAAACCGTTTTGTATTTTGAAAAAATAAATGATATGGAAAGTGCAGATTCTGTCTAGAAACACTGGCGAGGGCTGGACACACTTAAATACTAATAATTCCCTGGAAATAAGAGTTGCCCTCAGAAGAAATACAGTACGAATATACTTGAAATTCTTCCGGTGCAGGGAAACTGTGGAAACAGTTAAAATATCAAATAGCACAGTAGAAATACAGCAGAAGTACTCATCGCTGGGAATATTTACGAACAACAGGAAAATCCAACTAAAGTTTGCTTCTGAGCAGGAAACACTTACTCTTCTAAACAAAATAGTATACGCGCAGCTGATGTACACGCTTAGAAGAGGGCTCCATGCAATCACAAGAAAGCATAAAAACCCTGGCACATATCAGACTAAATTATAAATACGGTGTAAATATTTACTTATCTATTTCTGCACTGTTAATCCTCTGTGACAGAATCAATCCTACATCGGAATGGCTGTGCGAGTAGCCATCATCGCATACAAAGGGATAGTCTTCAGTGCATGCGCACTTAAGCCACTTATGAACCAACGATGTCTCTAAAGGCTCTAGAATACTCTGCTCTTCTTCACACTGCGACAGTCGCTGTTCGATCTCTTCTGCAGGAAGGACCCCTTCTAATTTCTTCTGCAGATCTATCTTCTTCATTTGAACTAATAAAATATACTCCTCGATGGTTCCCATAAGAAACAGCCTGTGAATTATCACAGGCATTGTCTGTCCAAGCCTCCAAATACGCGCCATGGCCTGCAAGTCATTCGCTGGATTCCAATCCGAATCAATTATTATCATGCGAGTAGACTTAACTAGCGTAAGACCTTCTGCTCCGCACTTTGCCGAAAGAATAATTACCTTCTGCCCGCTTGCTTGGAAAGAAGAGAGCGCTTCCTCCCTCTGCGTAATCTTCATTTCTCCATGAAATGAGGATACATCTCTTGGTGCAATTGGCACTTCTCTATTCACTGCTAGTGATTTAATAGAACTTTCTGCCTTCTTAATCACTTCAATATATCTGGAAATAATGACAAGTGAGTGCCTTTCTTTAAGTATACTCTTAGCAAGCGTAAGGAAAACATTCCATTTACTTGGCGAGGTGCATGTTTTAATTCTTAGCCTTTGGATATCTTGAATTCCCGCCTTCGATGCAATGCTGGCATAAAACGATTTGTACGCTGCATATTCTTTGTTCTTTATGATCCAAATAATCTCATCCTTCTGCGGCAGTTTAAGACTTGTTCTTTCTATTTTTCTTCTAAGAACTGCATCGTTTGCTATATTTGACAGTTCTTTTATTCCTTTTGCATGCTCTGCTCTCCCATCTACTAATGCCAGAAGGGTTTTATACTCTTGCAGTGTGTTCTGAAAGGGGGTCCCTGTCAGTAAAAGCTTCTTGCTCCCCATCTTCTTCAGCGCCTGTAGAGCCTGCGATGTACTGGTTCTTAGCCGGTGCGCCTCATCGCAGATTACTAACTGAAATTTGTACTTATCTGTGTCAAGCGTGGCAAGCTTCTCATAGCTCACCAGGAGAACATTCTCAAACCCAGTGTACTTGTTCGGATGCTTTATTGCCCCATTGAACACTCGAAGAGAGCCTGCCCATTTTTTTATTTCCTTCTCCCATACGCCAACAAGCGAACATGGAGAAACAACCAAGACAAGCCCGCCGGCCCTGCAGAATATTCTGGCAATGGCAACCGCCTGGAAAGTCTTTCCCAACCCCATCTCATCAGCTAAAAGAGCACCATTTGCAGACCTCAGCCGCTCAAACATAAACTGCACGCCCTCTATCTGATAATCTTTGAAGAATCGCAGGTGTGATGGCTCAATATACGCCCGATTCGTAAATATTAGAGAGCCTGCTGGCGGCGGAGGCACCTGTACTTTTCGATTCACAGGCCTGGAAATAGCCGGAGCTTCCTGCGCTCGAATTGTAGTCTCTTTTATTTCCTTTGTTACGTCGGTGGAAACAAGATACATTGACCCTTCAAACTCCGTCTGGGCCGTTTGCATCACTCTATCCATGGGAATGCCTGCACTAGAGAACAGCGTATACGCACTTCCTGTTCTTTTTAGGGCGCCCATTGTGATAGGCTCCTGTATACCCTTTCGCTTATAAATGCATTGCATTGGCCTTTTTAAGATTTGCAACTTTTATATCCAAATAATTTAAAATTCCAAGTTATAATTAGGCATTTTAAAGAGCAGCTCTGGTTGGAGCAGGCAGAGGGCCAATTGCTAGAGGACAGTTTAATATACAGTTCATCACTCGTGTATATATTATATAAGGATAGAACAGAAAAATTGTCTAACTAGATTACCTGATTATGTCTACACCTCCATAAACAGTTAGAAACTGTAAATAAAGATAGATAAAACATCTGGATATAATCCGAATCTCAGATCTATATGAAATATTAATATTTAAATTATAGAAATAAGAAAACAAATGATTACAGAAATATTATTTTAATAGAAACCTCAGAGTGTTGCATATGCATAGCACAAAATATATTTTACTATAAATTAGTCTGTGAATCTGCTGCTAGGACATATACCAACGTATCTGTTGTAAATATTAGAACTTTCTATATTATTTGTGATTTCTTACCTGTATTTCGGGGTATGCGCATTTACAATGGTAATAGGAGTCTATTAGCTCGTAATAGACAGATGCATACTGCATAGAAATATACACAGATACTTCAAGCATTCTTCTGCGCAGTGTGAGTTGTGTTTCTCTCGCATTGATGCGGGTTAGGCACTTGTTTGTGCGCTGAAAGGAAGGGGGGTAATAATGCTTTATGTAGTAAATACTATATTTATTATACGGTCTTAGCGAATATCCATACGTGCAGAAGAGCACCTCCTATGCCACCAACGAATTGTCCGACCCAGTACACCCATACATCTCTCCACACGCCAGAGAACAGTGTACCTGGCAGAGTGATTGCAGGGTTAAACACACCACCACTAGAGCCAATACCCAGAAGAGACAAGAACCCCAGAGTAAACCCAATTGCAATGGGGGCAAATGCTGATCTGTTTGGTGCCTGTGAGGTGACTACGCGCAACTTATCATTGTCCTCAACCTCATCTGGCACCTCAATCTTTACCTGAGTGGGGGGATTGAACACATTGATGGCCACAGAAAATGCAACATACGTAAGTATACCTGTAAGAATTATCTCTGTTAAAATTGCATTTCCTATGCTGGCATTTGGGCCCAGAGTTGACCGAGTGTACCCAAGCAGCTCAGATGATGATCCTGGCTTTGTAAGCAGCATTACTGCAGATCCAAGCATGGCACCGCACGCCTGCATAATTATATACCCGAGCCCCATGAAAATAGGCAGCTTTCCTGTGACTATCGCAGCAAGAGTAATTGCTGGATTAAAGTGTGCTATGGTTATGTCCATAAATGCATAAATAATTGCAACACTGGTTAGTGCAATTGTTAGTGTAACAGCAATATTTGCTACTCCATCTGCACACGGCGTGATATTCACACCAGTGACTACAGAGTACACTGCAAAGGCAAACAGCGCAGTGCATAGCCCTTCTGCTAGGAATGATTGTAATACTATCCAGTTAAATGTAAGGCCCATATTGTTTACTATTTAAAATGTATTTATATATGTAAAAATAAATATATCCAGAAGGATAGTAAATAAATAGAGGAATCCCTTGATCAGGAAATTATAAAAACAAATAAATATACTCATACAATTACCTTTTCTATGCTCGGTCTATTCAATATAAAGTGCCTTCTAAATTACATCCAACCAAAAATTCATTATACTCATTATTCTATGCGAAATAGCAATGTGTCTTGTAATTATGACATATGAAATATTTAATTGATTCTCTGTTTCACTAAGATATAAAGCATGCACAGACATTTCTATATATTTGCTGAAATGTGTTAAAGAATATTTTACAATACAAAGAGTTATAGATATTTTGCTAGTGATCATGGAATATAGCATACATAAAGAATATAAACAGTTGAATTTTAAGATATTTTGGTATTTAATAGATTTACTGGTGATCGCTCTCCTCTGCTTCATTATCACCTGCAATTAAAGAAGATACCTGCCATACCTGGAGAATATTGTCATTTGCCACACTGGCAATCTCCCAGGGCTCGTGTGGATTCCATGAGATATCGCACACTGCGTCTGTATGACCGCCGTGGATGAAAAGCAGCTCTGGCGGGCCGTCTTCTTTGTCTTCCTCTGACTGCTCCTGGCCTACCTTAGACAGGTCCCACAGCCGCACTCTTCTATCTGATCCGCACGAAGCCAGCACAGTCTCATAGTGGGGTGACCATTCAACTTGTGTAACATCTCCTCCGTGTCCTAAAAGTGTGTATATAGGGGCTGCATCGTTCCTTATGTCCCATATAGTAAGTGCTCCCTCCTTAGTACCCGTGGCAAGCCATGACGCATTCTCTGGGGAGAACTGCACGCTAAGTGTCTCTCCCGTGGCAAGAAGCTTTTTCTCTCCTGTTCTTTTGTCTACCAGATGTGTGCCGGTCTTGTCCATCCCTAGTGCAAGTATACCTCCATCATTTGAAATTGCGATGTCATTTATCTCCTCACTCTCTTCTATCTTATTAATCGGCTCTGTCCCTGCATTAAGATTATATACACACACCATTCCATCGTATCCTGCACTGCAAAGCTCACCTTCAACCACAGGATTCCACGCCAGACCAAATCCTCCCTTTGTATGCCCACTAAAGACTATATCTGGCACTGCTTCCTTCCCAAAGGATGGATGCTTCGTGTAGTCATAAATGTGCACCTCTGGGTTGTCGTACTTCACTGCAATTAGGTTGTTGTTGGTGGGCATGTACCTGGCCCTGTTCACTTCATGCTGCATAGGTATCTTCTGGGTTATTCTTACCTTTGACTCACCAAGACCGTACCCTCCGTCATCTAAAGAGCGCACTGCTTCATCCCCTACCGTGTCCGGAAGAGTAACTGACATTATCTGCAAGTACTCATCCTCCTGCCCAGATGTCTGTGTGGAAAGAAGCAGTCGCTGCATTGTGGTGTCTGTCTCTTCATTTCTGACTGCATCAGGAAACCACTGCACAGTAAGAGATGGCCAAGTGAGTGCATGGGATAGCAGCATGTCATAGAGATATGGCACATTCTTTCTCCATGTTTTAAATTCTTCGCATATGGTTATTTCTTCTGGATCCATTTTCTTTTTGAATTGATATTTTAATTCTAGAATATATTTATAGTTCTGGAATTTTCCATATATATAATAGCAAAAAATTTACTAATAGAGTAATGGATGTCAAAGGATATTATAAATTATTAAATGTAGACCCAAATGCATCTGAAAAAGAAATAAAGGCTGCATACAGAACACTAGCCAAGAAGTATCACTCAGACGGTCTTACAGTGTCAAACGCACTGAAAGCATGCAAAACGGATGAAGAGAGGGAGCGGTTAAAGAAGGAAATGGATGCGAAGTTTTCAGAAATAACAAATGCGTATGAAGTTCTTTCTGTACCCGAAAAGAAGGCCCTGTATGATAAAGGAATAGATCCCAACCAGCAAGGAGGAGGGTTTGAAGGATTCGGGGACGGCGAGTCTTTCTTCTCATCCTTCTTCGGAGGGTCTATGGGCTCAATGTTTGGCGGAGAAAGAAGGCAGCAGAAAAACAACCCAAAGGTCGAGAAAGTGCACTTAACACTTGCCGATGTGATGAGCGAGATAAAGCTAACCAGAAAGATAACTAGAAACATTATATGCAAGCCATGCAAGGCTACTGGCTCCATGAACACAAAGACGTGTGCTAAGTGCCGTGGACAAGGTGCATACGTAGAAATTACAAACATGGGAGGAATCAGACTGCAAAGAGATGTTACATGTAACACGTGCAGAGGGCATGGAATAATCAAGTCTGGGCCAAGCTGTACATCCTGCTCTGGGCAGGGATACACCAAGAAGGTAGAAAACATAGAAATAACAATACCGGCCGGTGCAACAGACGAATACAAGCTCTCCTACAAGGGAATGGGAGATGAAGCAGATGGACTAGTTACCGGAGATTTAATTGTTGTTGTCTCTATAAAGGAAGACCCCGACTTTACCCGACTCACTCCAGAGCATCTGTATACCGAGGTAAAGGTACCAATCAGCGATATTCTTATGCAGAAACCCATCGAGATAACAACTATTGATAAGAGAGTAATCACAGTTGGCTATCCCACTGTAAGTGCACAGGATATAGGAGAGGACTACCTGCGCATTGATAATGAAGGAATCCCCATGAGAAGAGGAAGCAAAGGATCTCTCTTTGTAAGAATTGTTCCTATACTTCCACCAGTGCAGAAGATAAAGGACCTGGGAACCGAACTACTTAACTACACAGCCAGCACATACTCACCAACACACAGAGCATGCTTTATATCAAAGCACGACATAAACAAATGGTACAATAACCAGCAGAGCAGCTCTAGCCACGAGTCTCATTCCCGCAGAGAAGAATCCGGGCCATCATGCCAGACTGCATAATAGTGATATAAACACTAATAAACCTATTTTTAAAAATAAATTAGATATTTTCTACTTTAAGCTATACCCTGAAAATTCACTGTGCTTTAATCAGAAGGTATTAATGTGTAAATATGTCGGTATTCTGTGTGTTATGTGCAATTACAAACCTTGGCATTGGATACTTTGCATATACTCAAAATGATTGGCAGGGGCAACAAATATTTACTTGTTTTATAATTTTACTTTTCATTTATGTTGTATGAAGCATTCTTTACAGCTCTTATAGGGGTGTCTTGGGGGGTCTTTTTCCTTATAAACCCGCTAACACAAAACGGGGGCGTAGGGAGGTCTGTTCCTTCGATTAGCACAATAGACAAAGACTGCTTTATTTTTTTCTATTTAAATGCGGCCATTTTCTTTATTCTGATCTACTTCTTTAAATATACCAGTAAAAGCACCCACTTACTGGGCATACACATTCTTAGAAGACTTATTGAATCTTCTGTGTACTCCTATACTTATACAAGCAGAATGAATATCCTCCATCTGGCAGTGGGCATTATCTACTACCCAATGATACTAATGAGATCAGTTGAGAGCAAGTCCTCCCAAGTGTACTTATTCTGCGCAGGAACTCTCCTACAGACAGTTGCACACTATTTGATGTTCAGAAAAAAGCGCCGCATAAGGTATTTGCACTATATATCTGAGCTAATTATACACTGCGCCATATGCGTAGACTACTTGAACCTTGCATGGATTGTATCTTTTAGTATAATTAACATTCTTAACAATAAATAGACTTTTTATTTTTACTTTAAAATATTTTATCCCTTGTAGTAGGTGGAAGCTTTCGATAGAGGTAGAAATATCTTTAGGAAGGTCTGAGAGTAGCCATGCACAGATTGAAATAATCAAAGGGAAACCTTACGTGCCAGCTGACCAGAAATTGTTCCTGTACTCTGTACAGTTGAGATGGCTGGTGCTAGCCGGATAGTCAAATCGAAAGGTGGGCCAATGTGTACGTCCATAACTTAATTCAGACTACTCTCCACATACTCTTTTATATATAATTTCTTCTGTCTAATATTCATCGAGCTGCCTATATACACAGTATAATGAATATAGTTACACATACTATATTTCGGGTTGTTTCTGTTAATCTGTCTATTAGTTTTCTTCGCTGCCTGAAATGCATATCCGGAATAACTCTTAAGAGAGTTTTAGTACGCATCTGTGCAAATAAACTGTAAATTAATTATCTTATGCCAAAAATGAACCCATTTGACAATATACTAGAATGTGCGCTTTATATAAACTAAGTAAAAAGCATTATAATATACATCTTAATGCGTTTGGAGTTCTTTAATATGTAATGCAATATAATTGGTTTTAATTATTTCTAATTTTATTTTTCTGTTTTTGTTATGTTTTTAGCCACTCTCTGCGAATCTTCAGCTATTATTTATTTTATTTTCTTTGATTTTCATATACGCATGGGATATTTATTACTGCCGGAAGAAACAACAGAGGTGTTAAATGACGCATTCCTTAATTATTCGCTCACGATGAATCGCTCTACCACATTTGACAAACCATCTATATCAAATCCTCTTTTTATTTTTGATAACCCTATGTTAGAAATACTTACAGAGGACATTTCAATAGAAAGCGCACTGCACCCAACAGAAGAGACTCTGGCAAGTATTAACACCCAAAAAGAATCGCAAGACAGCGATGAAATAGAATATAAAGTAGAGATTAACTTTGACGCACTACAAGAAGAGCATGCCATGATAGGAATAGAAATGGAGCAGAATAATGTTGACCAAATAAGCAGCATAGGGCAGTATCTATACGAAGTTACTATTGATAATGAGACTAAATACATTACCAAGTGTGCAACAGTTGATGATAATTTGTACATAGCACTTACTGACACAGGAACAGTCTACAGCATAGATAAGTCGTGCATTGTAAGAAAGCAGAATGACAGGAGGCTGGAAGAGGCCTAGCCCATTATATTGTAAATATACTCTAATCGGCCTGGTATACATAACCTAATATACTATACCCCGAAATACATAATAAATAATTTTACTATTATCTTCCACTACACCTTTATTTTATTGATTATGTTGTACTCGCCATAAAACACACCCATTCTATCTTTATGCTACTTTTACTTTTATTTTTTGATTATTTTCTATTTTTATTTTTAGTTACTTCTAGTCATAATATCTGAGTAATAGCACAAAATAATTCGATAGATTAAAATTATAAAATGCCTTTATAATAATCTATAATAATATGCATCAAGTTCGTTATTTAACTGGTTTGCTCTTTTTATAAAAACACTTTAATTATTATACAACTTAATTATTCAACCCTCTCTATTACGCATTCCTATAACAAAAATAGCCATTTCTATACTTTTATAAATTATTAGACTTGTTTATCCCATACAAATAATAAAACTTATATAACCAGAAAAACCCGAAATTTAATATTACTAACACGTGTACAAATCCTACATAATGTCCATCCTGCTTGAAATATTTTCTTATGTAAATTCTTTTCCTGCTGTAATACAGTCCAATACTCTTATAATAGAATGCACTGTCTGTTCTTGTCTATCCTCCAACCTGTGATGAAAACACTTCTAATACATCGTCATTCTTCAGTCCAAGTGAGTCTGCTGTCTCTTCTCCACTTACAGTGATTCCATTGTGTGTGAATCTTAACTTGTGCGAGTCAAGATGCGATCTGTCTGTGTACTCTTTAAACAACTTGCTTAGTTTTGTCTTCCTTTTCATTACAAATGAGTACGTCTTTTTTGATTGGTCTGATATTTTCAGCTGAACTGTTGGTTTGGGATCTTTCTCCTTTACTTCTTGAATATGCATTAGACATTTATATTTTTTTATTTTTATACCCCATGTTTAATGATGAAAAGCTTTAACTCGGCCTTAGTAGGATTTGAAGTCATAGTTACTCTGAAAACATATTCGTTTATTAATCTCATAATGCGTAGACTGTCTATCCAACATTCTTAAAAAGACATGTAATTATTCTCTTCACGTTTCTAACAAACCGATTCTCTCTCTTCTCCTTTTTTGCAAGTCCTGGCTCTTCTGCTTTCTTAAGAAGGCTGTCTAGCTTAACCTTTGTTAGTATTACCTGGTAGTCAAGTGCCTCTAAAAGACACATTTCATAGCTATTTAGCATTTGTCTGTTTATCATTAGTATGTTGGCCCAGGTTCTGTTAATGTAAGATCTATCTATGAGGTATTTCGAAGATATGACCAAGCACACTGAGAAAAGGATGTACGTATTATTGAACAGTGTAGTGGCTCTCTCCAGAGCGAGTGCCCTGTGTTTTTTTGATTCCGGGGTGCTTCTTATCTTTTGTATGTACGCTGAGAGCTTCTCTCTGGCAGTAAATAAAAGAGAAACTGCTGCTAGCACAACTGTGCTTGATAAATTTGCTCGTTTTATAATATATAATATTTGATTATTGCTTGGCGCGTCTGCTATCTGCAGTTTGTTGAGTGTGTTTTGCAATACCTCGTTGGGGATGACTTCTTCTTTCTTGTCTGCCATTATGGAATATCTACTCCTTGCCTTATTTACTATATCCTGCTCTTTTCTATTGGTGGATATACTCCAGCGGATGCACCAATCAGAAAAATCATTGCGATTATATCTGGTGGTACACTGTCCAGTAAATTATACTTTGACGGATGGAAGCACTCGTACATTGAATTTCGTGTTATATCTTTCATACAAATATAAGCCTGCGCATTTACTCTGCATGCAATTGTGTAGAATGGCGTATTGTTAAATGCATGTGCATGCACTATAATAATTTATTGCAGAAATAGCTATAAATCCGAAAAAGCTACACTATTATTTCTATTGCTACTGTGTAAATTAATTAAATGTGATTATCTACACATTAGTATAAAAAAGTGTGCACATCATGCTTTCAGAATATATTCTGCTGTGCTCCCTCCTCTACCTTTGAACCCTAAAGGTAGTTTCAGACAATTTAGTATATTTGCAGCCTTTTCTGCCAGGTTGCGCTTTAAATTGTTTCTAATATATATTTTTACATTTAAACTCTTTCATTTAACATATTTAAGTAAAAATAAATCAGAAAGCTGTCACATATTCTTAAAATGAAGACTTTTATTTTCGAAATTAAATACCAGGATTATACACACGCAAACAATAAAACCACTGAAAACAGAAAAAGACACTGGTACAATTATTATCCAGTCTAAATAAAACATTACAACATATTTAGTTTATATCTTATACCTTCTTGTAGTCCATGCGCCCCTCTAGCTTCTTCTGCTCGGCTATTTTACGAACACTCCGTGTAAGATCCTCCTGGACAATAAAGTCTCGGTCATCTCTAATTGCAAGCATACCGGCTTCACTGCAGATGTTTCTTATATCAGCCCCGTTGAAACCGTGAGACATCTTGACAATTGTGTTGTAGTCTATATCCCCCTTTTTCTCCATCTTCTGCGAGTGTATCTTTAGTATCTCCAGGCGGCCCTGGCTTGTGGGAAGAGGTATTTCAATCTTTCTGTCAAGCCGACCTGGTCGCAAAAGTGCAGGATCCAAAATATCTGGCCTGTTTGTTGCCATAATGACCTTAACTCTTCCCAGCTCCTCAAACCCGTCCATTTGGTTCAGCAACTCCATAAGCGTACGCTGCACCTCCCTGTCAGAGGACGTACTTTCAGAGGACCTCTTTCCTCCAATCGCATCAATCTCATCCAAGAATATAACACATGGCTGGTTTTCTTTGGCATACGTGAACATCTCTCTAATCATTCTACTGCTTTCTCCAATGTACTTCTCAATAATAGCAGAGCTCACCACCTTTAAGAAGTTTGAGTCGAGTGTTGCTGCCACGGCTCTTGCTAAAAGAGTCTTTCCTGTTCCTGGCGGCCCGTATAAGAGCACACCCTTTGGAGCAGACACACCCACACGGCTAAATATCTCAGGATTCTTTATCGGAAGCTCAATTACTTCCCGGATTTCTCTCACCTGCTCTGCCAGACCACCTATGCTGTCAAATGAAATATCCCCAGGCTTTTCAATTGACATGGCGTGGACAGTTGGATCCACCTCTCTTGGTAAATGCCGCATTATGGTAAGTGTGGTTATATCTAGAGCCACACGTGCACCAAGAACTAAAAGCTCTCTGGGTATGCTTTTTCTTGCTCCTACAATATACCGCGGGCCCTGCGAGGTTTTAACTATAAACCTCTCCTCGTCAAGCTGCTTCAGCACCTCTCCCACCATCTGCCCAATACTCTGCAGCGCATTGATGTCCTTTTCCGTCTTTTCAAATTCAACTGTCTGGTTCTTCATTGACTCGTTTATATCCCGCATCGTCTCCATCACCTGCGCATGCTCTGCGATAACTTTCTGGTACTTTAGAAGGGCATCCTGTTTGTTTGGGTCCATAATAAAAAATAAATTACAAATTACTTATATGCAGACTTCTCTTATCTAGCGAACATTCACCAGATAAATAAAATGATTGCCGTGCGCCTCTGCATATAAAAATCATCCGATGCAAACACTCTGCTCCCATATAGGAAAGAATCAATGCACATAACAAATAAAACCAGACAAATCTTAAAGACATAGACTAACAAGTACTGCACTAATTTATTCTTATTAGTTAGTCATATATAACTGAATTAATCCTATGTAGATCTGCACTGATTGCGTCTAAATTAGATAGCTGGAAATATGCTATCTAGTTTATTTTTAAGATCACTTGATTCTAGCTAAACTGTTGAATTCTCTTATATAATAGCACGAAATAGATACGCGTGATGGGCAATTAAATAATCTTGGTTCTTTAAATAGAGGAGCAGCAGGCGCTTGCATGGGAATCCTTTCTGAATATCTATTTGCAATTGACCAGTGGAAACTCCTTGAGCAGTGGAAGATTCACATTCTTTACACGCTGTTTCTAACGGCAGAGGCTAAAACATCCATCCAAAAAAGCATGCCGTATAGATCGCTATATGACATGCACATAAATAGGTATCCAATTAAAACATATGAGGCACTGTCCCGGTACAGTGGACAAATGAAATATGAAATAATGGAGTATGCCGTGCTAGAAGAAAGAATGCATCAGCACCTGACTAGACTGCGTGTAAAGCTGCTCTTTCAGCTGCGCCATGACATGTGCCGCGTAAAGTTCTTTATATTCAATAATGTAGAGGTCCAAAAAATAGCCAAGCCGGCTCTTAGCAAGTACTACATGCATATTCTAGAGCTAATATTTATTGAGGAGTTTTCTCCCGCACACCTGCACCATAGCGCAGGAAAGCTGTATGTACACCTAAAGAAGTCTCTCTCAATAGGCATTGACATAAGAAGCACACTCAATCGGATAACAGAAATAGTGGTCATGGCCACCCCGCAGAGAGCGATCACGGCCCAGCAGGAAGTGCTTCTCAAAGGTATTTTCTGCGCTACGATTAGGCAGGTGCTTGTTTACTAGCAAAAAGCAGTGGTCCTACCGAGAATCGAACTCGGGTTACGGGATTCAAAGTCCCGGGTGCTACCGCTACACCATAGGACCTCTACAGACTAAATACCACAGATCCACTGCATGTTCTTCTCTGCACAGCCTGCCATACACTGCCTCTGCGTATGCTTGCTTCTTTTCTATTCTGTTAAATAATATTCTTCTTCAAAAGAGTCTGTTTTATTTTCACTCTTTTGTCTGATACACACTAAGAATTCTCTCATAGTACGCTGCTCCCTCTCTCTGTATGCCCATAATAATATTTTGGTTGAGTCTTCCGCTTTCTAGCTTAATGTACTCCAGAGCTATCACGCACTGTGAAATTCTCTTTGCAGCCTCAAAATACTTTTCCTGTATATTGTGCTTTATACAAAGAAGGAGATAGTCCTCTATCTCATCAGCAGAGCAGGTCTTTATTGTTTCTGTAAGAACCTCTATGTACTCTATAACACAGCCTGTTCCGCAGATGACCTCTATTATCTGGAACAGCGCAGATACATCTGTTTCTACTGCAGCAATTTCAAATACAGAAGGCGAGGATGCCACCTGAGTATACGTCACTCTTTCTACTATTTCCTCCTTTAGCAGGCGGTTTATTGTCTCTATCTCTTTTTTCGATTCTTCTTTTGTCTCATCTGATGCACCCATCAGCTCCTCTAGACGGGCCCTTAGCTGGACCTTCACTAGATCCTTCTTTTCTCTTTTCCACTTCTTAAAAGTGCGCTCGTCTATGTTTGGGTGCATGCCTTCGTCGCTATCCTCATCCAGTATGCTTCGGCACTGTGCGTAGTCCATGCAAAATATTTTTGCGCTCTTTCCCATTTATGCTTAATCTACTAGTTTGCTGCATCAGAAAACTGCTGCTTGTAGATTGCCTATGGCGTAAATAATAGATAATTTGTCTTTCTATTGCTTACGAAGAGCTGCAATCAGATCATGAATCCGTATTTATAATTATTTTTTTTGTATGACGCATGGAGCATAATCCTTCTTTTTCTTCTGTACACCCAATTGAGGGAATTCAGACGGCAAATAAGAACATCTACAGTTACTTTATGAAAAATGACAACTCATACTGTGTTGATAGTAAGCATAGATACTCTTTGTACAGAAAAGAGACAGACAAAACATATATTGTGGTTATATCCAAATATGAAAGTAATACAGGAGACTACACTTATAAGCACAACAGCAACTCAATAGAGATGGAGTGCTTAATAGGGGAGAGTAAGCACAATCTACATACAAAAAAAGTTACTCTTTCCAACCTGTTCAAAACAATCAGAGAGATAGAATATTCTTTGCCTGGAACAGAGGACATAAAAGCAAGTGATATCTTTATAGGGCTTGTCTATCCAGATGGGCTGAATCGAGTCAGTATTATGAACATGGTTGATTCTGTGCTAAATCACTCTGGGTTCAAAGGCATCCTTCTTCTTCCGCTGACCCTTAGTGTGTGCTTTGGCCTGGGCCTGTCTAACTCAGTTGTATACAGCGAAATGGACAAAACCGTTACTCTTGTTGAAGATAACTGTGTGTTTGACACCTTCACTGCAGATCGGCCAGGTAGCACCACATTATATGGAAGCGATGTGGTTGAAGAATTTCTGCGAAAGGAAGAACCAGTAAAGAACACGCTGGAAATGGCCTGTTTTATGTGCAACGTGCCCTTTGAAGTATCTGAGTTTGGCATGCATTTTCTTAATAAGCATATGATAGATATATATGCAGACCAGAAGCACAGCGACACGCTTCTCCATAAATGTGTGCCAAAGGAAGAAGCGCCTGCAGTGGAAGAGCCCACGTGCACAGATCTAGATACTGTAGGAAAAGACATGCTAAGAAAGCTTGCACCGCCTGAGCGAAGTACAAAAATTACATCAACAGTTGTTTTCATAACGAATAAGTCTATTCCAGAGGCAAAGGCCGAAGCTGAGGATGAGACGCATGAAAACGAAGGCGCCGAAGCAGAGCCAGCAGATAGCCATGCTACTCCAGAACCTGCTATAAAAATAGTGCCTCCCATAATTGATGAATCCACCACATCAACCATTCTTTATGTTGAAGATAAGAAAAAGGCACACACTGCATGGAATGGTGTATTTGCGCTTGCTAACATTGAGCCATCTAAGGATCTGTGGCTTACAGACAAAGAGTGGCGGTCTGTGGGGCTACGAGTTCTTAAAGAAAAAGTTCTTTTTTCTATATAGAAGTTCCTCTAAATGGCTTAGATGAGCAAATACACTGCATATGTGCATAGCCAGAGTATGTGATGGTTCCTCTGCTAAAAAGCGATTTAAATAAATGTTTAATACTAGTTGGATTTATATGTGTGTTCACATGGCAATTTCTTGAGTATATGAGTAGAATGGACTTAATTTAAATTACTACACTTTATATAGAAAATAGTAGTTAGTGTCAGTTCATTATTTCTTGCAACTGCCTCTGTCAAATTTTTATGTCAAAAAAGTATTCGGGAATGGTTTTCTCCAAGGAGAGAACATTTGTCCCCTCAACAGAAGAAGAAAGAGAAATACTTGCCAATCTAAACAGAAAAATACACGGGAATGACCTAGAAGATGACTTCTTTACACTTGCCGATGGTCTTCGTGAGGAGCGCGACGAAGACTCCGACTTAAGCAGCGGTATCGAGATGTCTGATCTAGAGAGTGACTGCTCACACAATGAAGAGCAGAAAACAACAACCCTACACGCAAAAGAGGCAGAAAAAGAAAATGCATCAGCAAAGTCTGCTTTGCCAAAGGATTGCTTTGCCTCTCTTATTGACCAAGTTAATAAGCAGAGTGGTGGGTCTTTCTCTGCACTCTCAAACATGTTTGTCAAGGAGAAAAGAGTAAAAAATAAAAGGCGGCCAGAATCATCAATTGAGGAGTGCAACAGAATTCTCAGTCGATTGGGGGAATATTCTGCAAATTACATAAAAGAAGAGCCAGAAGCAGAGCCTGCGCCTGTGGCTAAAACACCCAAAAAACTAAAAACTAATGATAAGTGCGAGAACTGGGAAGATGCAACTACTAATTCAAATAGAATTAAGCCAAATATTATATAATGAAATGTTCTTATATTAATAATACAGTGAATATCTGCTATTTCTGAAATTCGGGTTATTTAGCAGTAAAATACTTTAAATCTAGTAGCTAGTCTGTGGTGTTTTTTGCATTTAGTGCTATAAATACGCTTTGTGACTAAATAGCAGTAGCAGATAGTATTATAAAGAGTAAATGGCTCTGTTCTACACATATAATAAATAGACTTAAGTATTATATTATTTGGCATCATCACCTTATAATCTTTTATTTCTAGCTATATCTGGATAGTTAATGTATTTGTTTTATTTATTATTAATTTCACTTACTTTTCTCTTTATTATACTGTATGCCTCCTGTCTTTATATTGCTATGCATATACTTTTTTGATAAATACCTCTAGAAAATTGGTTATTTGGCAGGCAGTATCTAATATTCATGATGGCCTTTCATATAATATCATATAATTTCTTCATGGCATCTTCAAAACTATGCACTGTGTTATAGTCTATTGTTGTAGTAAGGAAATGTATATTAAACTAAGCTTATTTGTCCTTTGTAATAAATATTTTAGTTTTCTTTCTTTATTTAACTAGATGAATATTTAAAACCTCTTCACACATAATAAGAAAAAATACATATTTGTTTATTTTTCAGTATAATAATAGAATAGAAATAGAAAAAACTAGCTAGGCGATAGAATTTATTCAGAAAGCGAAATAACCCGAAAAACTGAGCAATTCTAAAGAACATTGCATATTTAGCAGATTTTAGATTTATGCTATAGTATAAGGATCCCAGCAGGTTCTATTTTCTACCGGAAAGTTGCTAAGAAACTCATCATCTTCTGGATCCAATGTCTGGGAAAGCGCATTAAAGTTCTCTATGATTCTATCTGGATGCACACTCTTAGGAATTACACAGCAGTCTTTATCCATAGACCATTTAAGTATCTGATTTGCAAGAGAGCCCTTTTCTTTCATTTTTTTTAGCTGTGGATACTTCTGCAGATACTCTTCAGAAAGAAGAAGCCCTCTTCCTAGTGTAGAGTAAGACTGGACTACTACCCCATTGGTCTGGCAGTACTCAACCACATCCTTTGGATAGCACAATGGAGAAAGCTCTATCTGGTTTATCTGAGGCTTCTTCTCAAACTCCTCAAATAAGTCTCGCAGGTGTGTGGTCATAAAGTTGCTTACACCTATATTCCGCACTACACCCTCTTCCTGCAGCTCAAGAAGCGCTCTGTACGATCCATGCCGAAGTTCTTTGTTTTTTGGGCTCTGAAGATCTACCCCCTTTGCGCCTGGCCAGTGGATCAGAACAAGGTCAACATACTCCTGCCCCATGGTCTTCAAACTCTCCCGAACAGATGCCATTGCTTCTGCATATCCCTGATTTGATGTGCTTACTTTGGTGGTTATAAAAACATCCTGCCTGGAGATGCCCGTCTTTGTAATTGCTTCGCTTACCTGCTTTTCATTTTTGTACACCTGCGCAGTGTCGTATAGCCGGTAGCCCTCCTTCATTGCAGTGCTTATTGCTAATTCTGCCTCTTCACACTTAGTTTCATATGTTCCCAGTCCAAGAATATCTATTTCATTGTGATTGTTAAGTGCAAGTCTTTTCATAAACAAAAAAGTTTTCATTCTAATATTAATGGAGGCAGCCATTCCCACGGATTCCAGAAATTATAATTCAAGCAGGCATAAATACGCGTCATTTTTTTTTTATAATGAACGAGACGATTCTTAGTCTCCATGAGCCAGTTCTCGGTGAATACGTTGAAAAGTTTCTTGAGGAGTTTGAAGAAAGAAGGCAGGAAATAATAGTTCTAGTTACTAACATGCCGCAGAAGCACTCATTTGCAAATCATATCTGTGAAGAGCTAGAAGGAAAATACACAAAGGACAAAATCATAGAACTAGAGGTAGATATGCTAAAGTATGCCTCCAAGGACTATTTTCTACTAACTAACGCCTGTCTTTACCTAGAAAGGCGATGGAATACTGCACTTATTAAAAGAATCCTTAAAGATGCGCTGAACAATGAAGAAAGCCTAGCTATACTTCTCTCTCTAATTACAGAGTCAGCAGAAGAGGAGGTGTGTAGTGACTTCAATTTAGACCTACAGATAACTCTACCAGAGAATTTTGAAGAGGTAAGAAAAGTGCATGCAATACTATCAGATTTAAGAAGTAGAAATATAATACAGTCTATTCGGGATACATTTACCTCCTACAAAATTATTTCAGCATACAGTGGAAATGTATATTATACTGTTTGCGAGTTGAATTCCCTAATTGATCTAGAATCGGTGGTCTTTAATGACATTATTGGAGGAATTCTTTTAAGTATATTGCATGCAAAGAAAGATATTCCCTACTTCTCAAATATTCTGATTAGAGTTATGAAGAGAAGTAGAATGCACACTCGATCGTTCATTCAGCTGTTGTTAACAGCATATAATCTGAAAGATGAGATTTGGGAGAAGCTGCAGGACATTGTACCACATCTGTATGTGCGGCTAGGTTTGGATAGAAGAATGGGAGTGTGTCTTCTATATACATTGAATTTACAGAATGCTATATTGTTATATGAAATACTTAATGGGCAGGTTCCTAAAATAGAAGTATTTGATAGGTGTACCCAAGGAAGGGAGTCAACTCCAGATGATGCAGTGCGCGCAGCAGTAAGAGATATCATAAACATATCACATAATGAAACTTATGCCACGCCAGCAAGCGCACAGCACCCAATGTCCACGCCAGGCAGTATTTCTAAAAAACCGCCAACTAAGTATGTAGAAATAGAAGACAAAGTGCAATTTTGTGAATTCTTTATAAAGGCGACAGCACCGACTATTACCCATCTAAACAACATATCTATTGAGTACATGGATGTAATCAAGAACATGACAGAGCAAGAGATAGATCTTCTAGTTGGAGGAGTGCTAGCTCAACATAGCTCTTTGGTGCATAAAGAGCTTTTGGTTAACATGATATATAATCTAAGAATAAAATAGATGCATGGTATATGCACTTTTATATAAATAATTATTAAAGCTTTTTTGCTGTGAGCACTGTGTCTTTGCAGTAGTAAAATATTATATTCTGCTATTTCTATGATTTACATATTTTTACTATTTAGTACTGTTATAATTCTATAAGGCCAAGCATACAAATTATTTTAGACAAGTGCACTGCAGTATGGTGTGTTAGCAGGTATAGAATCGCAATGAGTGTATATTTTAAGACACTTTGCATGCTTTTTGCAGAATTGCCGCGTGTTCGTTATGTGCTAAAGTGGTAAAAATTATTTTTATTTGTCCCCCTGTTATTATGGATTGTTTATTAGCATACAGATTAGTAGAACTCGCCAACGCAAAGAAGCCAGAAGCAAGTGAAATAGCAAAAGTCATTGAAATCGCAGGAGGAAACGCAGATGCAGCAAAGATACAGGCACTTCTTAAGTCATTCGAGGGAAAGAACTCTGATGAACTTATTGCACAGGGAGCATCTATGCTCCAGTCCGCAGCACCAGTAGCAGCAGCAGGAGCATCATCAGCAGCAGCAGCAGAGACTAAGGTAGTAGAGGAAGAAAGCGAAGAAGAGAGCTCAGGAGACATGGACCTCTTTGGTTAAGCAACAATCTTCTAGATTTACTATCAGAAATAAATTATATTTCCAGCTGATTATTCTAGAAAAGTTAAAGCATTTGTTCTATTCTGCAGTAAAAACAGAAGAGCTGAATGCAGGGTAGAAGGAGCTCTGCATATTTTATTTTAAATAATTTTATGTTTCAATGATTGAAGTAAACTATATAGACTTCTATGCAAATGGGAATACGCCAACGGATATACTCAAGAAGAAAATGTGTCCGACTATATGTATTTCCTCAACAAAGCCAGATGCAGTGCTGAAGATAGAGGTGGTTTACTCTGTTAGCTCTTCAAACACCGATTATGACCAGATATTATGCAGTGAAACAGTAGAGGGAATACCTGCAGGGGTAGTTGAGTTCGAGCTAGAGACTGAAATACCAAACCTCTCAAAGATCCCCAGAGAGCACTTGCTTGGGCTTGCTTCAATACTCTTCTTATTCTATACAGCAGAGGGCCAGCAGTTTGTCAGAGTGGGGTACTTTGTGAAAATAGACTACCTAGGGATTCAGATTATTGAAACCCCGCAGGAGTACCAGGAGGATGCATTTGAAATTGATGATATAGAGTGCTCATCAGATGTGGCAGAAGAGAGAAGCCAAGAAGCAGAGCCAGAAGAGAAACAGGAAGCTGCAGAAAAAGAAGAAGAAAAGAGTTTGGAGCAAGACGAGGCCAGTACAGAGAAAGAGGCAGCAGAGGACGATGTATCAATTGAGGCTGAGGAGGCAGAAGAAGCAAAGAAAGAGGATATAAAGCCAGAAGGAGTTCATGATGGCATTCTTTTTGTAACTGAGGAAAACTTTAAGACAATGGACCTTGATATGGACAAGATTGAAGGAAAAGTTTTAGATCCACCCCTAGTGACTGTTTTTACTGAGGCATGGAATACTGCAGAGGATGAAGAAGATGTCTCTAAATTCAATGAAGAATAGATCTAAACGGCATAATAAACATAAATTATACTCATTATACGCATTTTCATAGCAGTATTATGCAGCTTTTTCATTTTTTCATGCATGGATTTGTGTTAGAAATGCGCACAAATACACTTTTATTTCTTATTAATGCTCTTCTGTTGCAAAAATTCTTATTATAGTTAACACAGTTAAATAAATGCATCTATACAATATTAATTTGTATTATTTCTGAATATGCATAAAAATATTGGCAAATAATATACAAATTAATATTGTATAGATGCATAGCCACACATATAAAAATGTAATAGTTAAATACTAAACTCTATTATTAATGTCGGGTTATTCTAAAAGACGAAACAGAGAATGAATAATAGCAAAAACAAAACAGTTATTCTATTTTATTCAGTTGAATTATCTGAAAAGCAGGCAATTAGTATATAGAGTGCAAAGTATGTTAAAGTGTTTAGACTATTTTAAAGGAAGAATTCGCCGCTTTTACTATTATCATTAAATGACCAAGAAATCTTGTTGTCTCCCTTCTTTTGTATGGTTTTTGTGTTAAACGCATTGATTGAAGTATCTATATTGTTGTAGCGAATTGTTATATCCTTTTGAAGACACTCTATCTTAAGTGTATCCTCTTCTTCTTTAATCTTTATTATTTCCACGTACTCCCAATCAAGTGCTGTCTCAGTATATAGCATTTTCTCATTATACGCAAAAGGAAGACGTATCTTCAGTGGATTAAATGACATGACTGTAAATGGCGCCTTTATAAACTTATGCAGATATGCCTCTATTTCTTTTTTCTCCTGACTTTCTTTACGTGCGTGCCCAGGCACAACACACAGCCTGTGCGCCACAATTTTTTTATCTATAGGAACTTCAAGTACTTCAATCGATAAATTGAGCGCCTTGCTATACGCGCTCCCTTTGTACTTTAGATGTACCTCTGCTATTTCACATGACGCAGATACAAAAAATCTGTATACTCCATTACATGCGCATATTGGAAGAATAATTTGCTTTTCTTTTTGCTTAACCTGCATAGAATTGCAAGATATAACTGTTGTATTGGATGGCAGCCGATTAAGAAGCAGGCCAGTTACCTGTACATGTGGGTTATTAACTTCTATTAGCACGTCTCCCTCTGTATAGATTGCAGTGATTGGGAATGAATTTTCATCATCTGCCGCTTCTATTTCTCTGTCTTTAAGTATTTGGTCTATGCTATACACAGACCTTGTTTTTGTGCAGGATAATGTTTCCTTGTTCTGCGTCATATATTCCCCTATACCACTGGATATCCATATTTCTGGGTCTGGAATTGATCCTTTGGCATGAATATACTCATCCAAAACAAGATCATAGGGAGTTCTATCGGTAACTAAATCACTTTCTAGTGATATTATAGACTGAATTGTTTTTCGAGAACTATCTATCTTGCTAGGCAGGCACATGTTACAGCCAATTTTATCCATGGCAAGGCCCATTAGAGTATACTTTGTGTTATATCCCGGGCCAATATACAGAGAAAGCATATAAAAAAATATGCTGGATTTATGCGGCGACACCTGAACGCGTGAGTACATATTGAGAATACTTGGCGTTCTTTTTGCAGCAGACAGACTGAGTCCAACCAAAATTGAATTTATAACTCTGTCCTCCTCATTGCTGTTCTCCATTTTGCGAAGTGCAGTGGATATGTATGCAATATCATCTATCACTGCTGGATCTTCTGAATTAAGCAGGGCAAAAAGAAGCATTTCGTATATTATATACGGAATAACTTTAAAGAGCGAATACGACGAGGGCATATTCTCCTTAATGCATCTCTGCGCCTCTTTCAGCCGATTTATTTTAATCAAAAAAACTACTAATCGCAAACAAATGGCGTCTTTTACATTAAATCTAGATGCTTCTGACTTTCGTATGGCGCTGTGTATAAGCAAATCAATCTTATTGTTGATGCACTGTGTTATGTGCTCTGGCTGCAGATCTTGATCTACTGTGGTATAGGACTGATACTGCGAGGATATAAACTTGTCGGACGTACAAGCAGTGATATATGGCTTTCCATTTTGTGCACCAAGGTATCCGTCTATAAAGTACAGTGGCTCTGCCCGAGAAAAAACATTTATCTCAGATATTGGGAATATTTCCACATAGACATACAGCAGTGGGGGAAGGATAAAAGACTTTCTTATCTCTTCACTTGGTTTGTATTGCACGGTAAGGGACTGCCTTGTTCCGGAAGAAAGAATCTTCAGAGAATTTAAAATAACCATATATTTGTTTACATTAGTAAATAAATATGAAAGTCGGAATAAATGGGGCAGGAAGAATAGGAAAAATGGTCATTCGAATAGCTTTAGAAAGGGGGATTGAAATAGGGTGCATCAACGACCCGTTTATTGATGCAAAATATTTAGCATATCTTATCCTTCGGGACTCGACACATGGAACCTTAAAAGATATTACAATTGAGCATACTGATAGCTCGTTAATCGTACGGAAAGAAGGTGCCTCTGATATGACAATTCAAGTAACAAACAAGAAAGACCCATCTGAAATCGAATGGGACACATATGGAATAGAGTATGTGGTAGACTCATCGGGTGTGTTTAAAACCGTGGAAGCCTGCCAAAAGCATCTGCGCCCAGGGGTAAAGAGTGTTATAATCACTGCGCCTAGCCCAGATGCACCCATGTTTGCTATGGGGATAAATGAGAAGGAATACAACGGAGAAACTGTAGTGAGCAATGCTAGCTGCACAACAAACTGCTTAGCCCCCGTTGTGAAGGTAATTGAAGAGGCCTTTGGAATTGAAGAAGGTCTTATGTCTACAGTGCATGCCTTAACAGCTACTCAAAGAATAGTTGATGGAATGTCAATGAAAGAGTACAGAGATGGAAGAGGAGCCCTTCAGAACATTATTCCTGCATCAACAGGTGCAGCAAGCGCAATAGGAAAAATCATCCCAGCACTTAAAGGAAAATTAACAGGGATGTCTTTCAGAGTGCCTGTGGCCAATGTGAGTGTGGTAGATCTAACTGCCCGGTTGAAAACCAGCGCAACCCCAGAGCAAATAAAGCAGGCTCTAAAGAATGCAAGTGAAACAACTTTGAAGGGTATTCTTGGATATACCGAAGAAGCAGTTGTAAGCAGTGACTTTATTGGAAGTAGTTTAAGCAGCACTTTTGATGCAGATGCATCTATTTTTCTCTCAGATCGGTTTGTGAAGCTAGTTGCTTGGTACGATAATGAATGCGGTTATTCACACCGAGTGGTTGATCTGCTGGTTCATATAAGCAAATTCCATAAATAAATGGAGTACTGCTTTTATTTATTCTAATTTTCTGTTTTTTCTCCAAAAGAATTTATAAAAAGAGGCCTTTAGTCTCTCTATATTCTAGAATTTAAATAGCCTGAAATTCAAATGATTTATTCTATATTCACTGTCAATAGAACAAAAAGTATTAAGTTTAAGTATATATATACAATAGTTTAATAATAACAATAAAAGATCTCTCAGCGCAGAAAACTTTCCCAAATGGCTTTATAAGCTGATTGCCAATTGTACTTCAGGTTATAACCCGAATTAATCATCTAATATATACCAACTATATCACTTTAAATAGTAGAAATTCTTCTGAATTGAAATATCTAAATATATGATGCTATGTAGTGTAAAATAGAAATACTGCATGGTCTAATCTTAGATAAAGTGGCTAATATATAGATAAAGTTTCAAGCTGTTCTTTATTATTTATGTACAGAGCTCTTCTCTAATTAAGACAGTATAGATTATATCCTATCCAGACAAGAATCCTTCCTGCCAAAATGTTCACTGTAAGAAGAGCCGTCTGTGCTGCGCCTAATTTATATAATGCCATGCTTAAACAGGTAGATGAAAGATCTTCAAGCATTTCTTATATTTTACTTTCTTTCAATTATACTAGTAATTAATTAATAATTGCTATATTTACACCATAATCATTAAAGATGCCCACAAAAGCTGTTTATTACATTGAATAAAGGAAACTCTGGAATTAGTTTAGGTTATATTCTCTGATTAATCATATAAAAGAAATGCAAAGATGAAATATTCTGTTTGTTTGTTTTAAAAGATCTATTAAAATGGATATGAAATCAGATATATAGAAAACATGGTTAAAATCCTCCTTTATTGCGATTAGTATACATTTTTATCAGTTATCATATGTATGCGTTAGCTATACACCTTGATTATAAATGTTTCATGTATATTTTCTAGTTTGCCTGTGAATTCATTCTCATATACTCGATTCCTCCAGTCATATAAAACCTTTTAAAGTACTATATAGCTTAGACTTTAGAACTATTCTATTTTCTGCTGGCTTCTTTGGAGCTTCATGTAGATCATGACTTCCTATAGTGTATAAATGGCGCCGCACATTATTGAACTATTTTCAACTTTTTAATTTATGTGTGAATCTCTCTCTATAATGTTTCTATGTGATCTATTACAACAATTCTGAATAATTTATTCATGAATTATTTTCATCCATTATTAGTAAGCTACACCAAGCATTGAAATTACAAAGCCATAACAACTCTGTAATCTTATTTAACAAAAGATACAGCATATTCAAACCATTCTTGATATATACTCTTCTTTGGTATCAAAACAACTGGATTTGGCGTTATTCTGTGTAATGCAATGTCTAAGCATGGTAGCAAAAGCACTATGGCAGAAATTAGCACAAACAAGCCGCATATAGTTACATAAAAAAGGAACCCCCTGTTACTACTAGGCTCTTCTATGTATTTCTTGTGTGTGGTTGATATAGTTGTAGGAGCAGCAAATTTTGCATAAACATAACTTGAAATTGAAACTATCCCAGTAACAATAATATAAAATACACCAATGTGCGCAAAGAACATATACACGGCGATTTGCTCAGTTTTATGTGCCTTTGTAAAAAGAAACAGAAGATAGCACAGTGGTGCACTAAAGACTAAAAATAAAAATATCCTTGCAATAAAAACAAAGATCATTTTCTTATACGTATTAAGCTGGGTGATTCTGGTTTTCAGCATCATTAATAATATGGTTGCATAGTATTTAGAGCATATTCCTAGACCTACCATTATACATTTTTTAAACAACCTAATATGATCATCATTATGAATATAATTTCTATTTGGGTTCTGTAAAAGATTATACATGTTTAGTGCAACAATAAAGAATCCCATTGTAAGAAGTAGAATATATGGCATGTGCCTAAAGAAAAACCAGCCAATTGACCTAGACACAGTGTTCCATGGAGCCTTTTCTTGTTTTTTTGCCTTTGGAGCAGTAATTTGTGATATTTCTTGGATGGTTAATGTATGTGTATTGCAGTTTGTAGTTTCTTGCATTCTCTTAATATTAAAAATTTTCATTTATGATTTAATTAACTTTTTATGATTTTTTACTGATTGAAATTTTTCTCTTGCGCACCTATACCCACTGTTTTCTAGTGGGGGTTTATATAAAATGATATCTCTTTCCTTTTAGTTTGAATCATTTGTTTTTTTCAAATAAAATTGCCATTTCCCTTGAAATATTTTGGATTGATTATTATTATACAGCTATAAGTTATAGTGCATGGTATACTGTGCTGTCTTTTATAATGCATTCTGTCAAATAGATTTTATATTGTTGTATGCACTGGAATTAATACTGCTTGCTGTTTCTAAATTTTGTATTTAAAGTTATATGGAGAACTGGTTTTTCTCTCTTTTTCGTAAATGTGAACTCCTATTTGTCATAACTAAACTCTTTTCTTTATTAAAATCCAGAAACCCTTATATAGTTTTCGCCCTCATCATTTATGATTGCCACAGATGTATTCATATCACAAATTATGCATACTCATATATTACTATCGTCAATAAACTGTTTTAACCAAAAAAAAAACTATCACGCCAATTGTTCCATTACCTCAACGGCGCAATGCCATCGCTGAGGCGCGTGTGGTTTCCGTGTGCCCGTAGAGAGCCAACATGGAGTATTTTTATGTGGTTAGAAAACTCTTTTTATACTTTTATAGCCTATAATACGTGAAGTATTGTATAATTCAATGGTTCTCCTATTAGTTGATGCGATGCCAAATATAAAATTTGTAATATAACTATTTATTGTGTTCTTAATAAACTAATATTTGGCTGTACAGGTGGGATTTCTACGATTCCAGTTACTTTATCTCTTTATTAAATATTCAGGTAAGGTGATCTCTTAAATATTCTGTATATTACAATAAATATTAGACTTTTAACTTTCTTCAGAATATATTCTATTACAGTGCAAGTATACCAAAGAGAAAATGCATTTAATTTTTTATATACACATTTATTTTTGTAGAATATAGAAATATTCTGAAATATACGGAATATAACCCGAATATATAATCCAAATTGTTGTATGCTAAGACTAGCATTGATGTAGCACGACATGAGTTATCGGGATGTTTACATAAACAGAGCAGCACAAATTAAATCAGAAATTATTGTTGACACAACAAGTCAACATAAATTAAATTGATTATACAGTCTATAAATACGTATACAAATTCAATAAAAGTCAAAATTTAAGAATGCCTTTTCCTAAGAAAACAACTGTGTGATTGTACTGTTTTCGATATTTCTTACAAATTGTTTCTATGTATGTTTTAAATAATTTCTATATTTATTTTATTCTTCTTGTAATAAACTCATATTCATTTTCATTGAAATATTTTCATAGAAAAGTGAACATATTTTATTTCTACAATTTGAAATATTTAATAGTATAATAGAATATAAGTAAAGGACAATTATACAAAAAGTATAGACAAACTATGTTATTATTAAAGAATGTGCATAATACCATATGCAATAGAATATAGAACAGTCAGGTATAATGATACTACTTATCACAATTACAAATTATGTTATATTCATATTGATTTTTAAAGAGACTATAATACACACCGAGAACAGTTAACAAAAGTTAAAGAAATGAACAATTTCCTTCTTCATTAAACAAAAGAAAGTTAAATTATAAACTAGTATATAATAAACTGTGATTGTATTGCATGTGCATACCTAGCCCACTGCACTTTATTCTCTTCATGTTCTATTACTACTATACACAGCCATACATTGACTAATTATACTATAATTATACTTTTTTCATTTTTTTCTCACGGGATATTTTTTTAATTTTATTCCTGAATTATAGGATTGACGAAGTGATGGATGAAGGAAGAACTTAAGGAACAAGGGGGCCACAAGCCGGCTGGCCCCCACACCGAACACGTAGCCAACCAATCTGGCCACAGGTGATTTTGTTTCGGACTGACCCACAAGGCTGAGTGTTTCCAGACCGAACAATGTATTTGTATATGGCTGAGAAGTCTCTCGTCCTGTGGATAAAATTTAAAATTCCTTCTCTATTTATACCCCACATATTTCCCACTTCCTCTTTGGGACGCAACTTTTCCCTTTAGGGTAAGTATACCCCTGTAACCCGACATAACCCGAATATTTGGGCCAATTTCTGGCCAATTTCCTCACTTTTCATACCCCTGCAGCAGAGTTTTTCGTCAGGTTATTTTTGCGAAGGGGCTCTTCAAAGAAGGCCAAGAATGTATAGTATGCGAGGTGGGCAGGAATAAATGGAGGGAGGAGTTAGTAAGGGTGTGTGCGTATAATATACAAACTTGTGAGAGTGGGTGCAAATATGTCATTATTAACTATGAGTTCGGGTGGTGTGGGTATCTATAATTCTAGTATGGGATGGAAGAGAGGGGTGGGTGTGTTATATTAGTGTGAATTGACTAGGTATACAATTATTATAGGATTATAGGATTGTTATATTTAATACAATAATAAGAGTAGAAATAAAAGTATAAAGGAAGAAAAGAAATAAGAAAAAAAGAATTGAATAAAACTAATAATAAAGGACAATGGACCAACAAGAACGATAACATACCAGATAAAACTCCTATAAAATGGAATTTGATGTTTTATCTAGCTTTATTAGTAACAGCGAAAAGAATAAAAGAAAGCAATGTATTTAAATGCAAAATAGTTGTACGTTTACACTTGCTGGTTTCTTTTTAAATGTAAACTACTATTGGCCATGACTAAAGTCTGGAAACTTTTATATAGATTTGTCTGTGCTATTTATAATCCCGCCAAGTGTCGTTTCTGTTTGACTGTCTCAGTAAGAGAAAATGCTACTTCTGAAAAGTATATGGTGCTCGTAGATACACAGATAGCCAATAATAGGCATTCTATAAAATTAAATAATTGAACAAATCTTTATTAAGTAACATGTTTTAAGAGCATAAACAGAGAAATATATAAAACATGATTAAAATAGATTCTATAAAAATGATTTTGTAGATTTTATGGCATCAGAAACAATCTATTAATACACTATAGAATATCCCTACAATGAAAATAAATATAATGAAATGGTGGATATCCATAGTTGTAGGGGGGTTATTTAAGACCACATATATTCTATGTGCAGTAATGCCGCAAGGAAGCTTACTTAACACCACAACCCAGATAGATTTTAGTAATCTACATATTTTAAATAATTCTTTACTTAATTCGGAAAGTGCCAATAAAGAAGAAAGAATAGAAAGTACAAGCAAATCTCTTTTAGGAGCAATTAAGAAAGCTTCTAGTAAATATGGGGTAGAACCCTCAGCAAAGGGCGATGCAAGAAAGAAAAGAGCCCTACAAAGCAGAAGAGGCCCTACAAATACATACTTTATTAAGCATACCGATGATATAAAGAGAATTATATCAAACATGAATAAAGTATTTCCTAATGGTAGCAGGCAGCAGTCTATTCTCTATCAGAAAATACATACATGGGCCGAAAAACATATAGAAAAGATACAAAGTTCTATACAAACAGTCAATAATAAGCATAAAAGAATGATCGGTGCTATAAACTCTAGAGATGCACTTGACGCCTCGACTTTTGAGTGGCCATACTTTATTAATAATGAACTAACAATAGAAAACTTAGACTACTTGGCTGAGGTTTCTTCTATAGAAAACTCACAGCATATAGAGGAGCTATGCAAACAGCAATCATCCAATGCCCTCTTTTCAGAGCTAAATTTACTAGATGGCTTTATTATGCACGAGACAGTTTTAAACCTGTATAAAGTAAAATCTGTAATTCGAATGATAAATAAAAAAACAAAACTCGACCAGAAAAACAACGAACATACACAGAACATAGACCACTTTTATACAGAGCTAAAAAACAAACTAGCGGAAAACAAGCAGTTGCTAGAAACAGAAATTTCTACATGGCCAAATAGTGAATGGAGTTCTTCAGTGAAAAATTATCTTACTAATAATCAAGCTTACATAGCAAACTTTAAAAAAAATCTTTCCCTACAATATATTGAATCTTTGAATAACTTTAGGGGAGTGCTTAGCGCACAGATGCAGATGTTGCCCAAAAGAACATATACCCGTAAAGATATAGCGAAAAAGCAAAATATATTAAACCCGATTGTAGTTTACTACCAATTGCATGAAATACTTCTTAACTATGACTTAAATGAAGCCAAGCGTGTAAAGGAACAAATTGAAACAAACTTATTACAGAAAAAACTAGAAAAAGATGAAAATCAGCAAAATCCATCCATACCATCAGAAACTGCCAGAGCCACTCCGCATTTGTTTGCTGATGTAATGGCAAATTATGATCTTAGTACAGAAGAACTAGGCAGGCAGTCTTTAAAAAGACCAGAAAATCTGCAATATAACCCAAAAACGCCAGCTGCCGGTTCTGTATATTTCCCAGCAGCGCGTAGTTTCACATCTACCACACGTAAGCCAGCAACAACTACATCTAGTATAATTGACCAAGAGGTTTCCAATTTGAGAAGTAGATTCTGGGAGCTAATTCAAAAAGAAAAAACTACTCCATATGCAGCTTCAAAGGTTTTGGATAAAGCGGTTCGTGAATTCAGCAAGAGCTGGAATATAACAGATTCACAGTGTAACCGCACAGATTACATTATGTGCATTCAAGATGCGCTTAATCTAAAAACAACCGCTACTGCAGAAGAAATGTATAGCGGCATACTCAAATGGGAGAATTTACTAGTTAGTCAGAGAGAAAATCAGACGGCAATAACAAATGAGCGCACAGAGACAATAGAACAGTTGGATGGATTTGTGTCTTACATAAAAACCCAAGTATCCAATAGTAATAAGACTATGGCTGATGCACTAGAAAAGAATCAAAAAATAACTAATAAGAAAAAAGATCTTAATAAAAGAAAAGCAGATGTAATTAAAAAGCTTGAAGAGTTAAAGGCAGAACACAAGAAAAGGGAAAAGGCTCTGAGTGATCTAGACAAAGAGGCAAAAACCCAAAAAGAGCAGACTGACTTGATAAAAGAAAAAGGGATTCTAGCACAGAAACTAGCTGCACAAAAGAAGAGTTTTGCTGCTGAAGAGAGTGAGAAAAAGGAAATAGAAAAAATTGAGGCAATTGTAGAGGGAACATCCAATCTAGTCGATATTTTATTGAATGATAATTCTAAAGGAAAAGTCGCAAAAGGCAAAAGTACCATTCATGATAAAAATAAAGAATTTATAAAATCGCTGTGGGACTGGGCAGGGCTTCCCAAGAGCACACTTGATTTAGACATTGTTTCTAAGATGGAAGCCCAGGAAGCAAGCCACAAAAGTACTGTTTCTAATTTGCAAAATAAAATAGCTGCATGTAATAAGGCGGCTGAGCTAGAAAAAACACAATTAGAAAACATTAATAAAAACATCACTGCACAGAGTGCTGCCTTAGCAGAAAAAGAAAAATAAAAAAAGAGTATTCAGAGAAACTAGAAAATTCTCTTTCTATTCTAAATAAAGAAGATAAAGAAGAAAAGGATCTGATGTCTGCGCACAATGAAACGTTAATGGAGTACACAAATAAAATAAAGCATACATATGAAGCTTTGCATAGAGCAGAGTACGAAAACAATGAAGAACTGACCGCAATTGCATCTATGCTTCTAAAAGAAGATATGTTTGCATACTTAGCAGAAATCACTAGCGGTGTGAATCATGCAATAGCTAAAATTGAAAGCCTAAGAAACAGCTCTCTTATAACAGAACAAAATATTGCAGAGTGCGAACACAAAAGAACCCTGATCAAGAATTAAATTAAAAGCACTTAAATGATAAATTAAAGCAATGGCTAAATGGCCCAAATTTTCAGACATTTTAGCATAAGTTCTTTCTATCTGAAATAAAAGTTTGTATTTCTTATTTCTGGTTATACATAGATGCTATACCGATTTTTGTTGTTTTCTACTTTTTATATCGTCATTCGAAATAATCCCAGATAAATAATTATTGTTTGCTAGTGTAGCTTGAAGTTTTAGTATAAAAAGAGAAAACCAATTTCTTTAACCCGAAATAGAAAGCCCGGCAGTAAGAAAATTTAAATCATAAAGGCGTCTTTTTATTACCTATTCATTAGACTCTTCAGCTGAACCCGAGCCAGAGTGTGCAGCAGACCCCTCCTCTTCTGTCTCCTCTGTTTCTTCCGAAAGATCACCGCTTGTGCCCTCGCTAGCAGTTTCTTCGTCCTCGTCAGAGACAGCTGCAGCCCACTCTTCGTTAACCACCTCATTCAGACAGTTGACATCCTTCTTGCCTAGATATGTCTCAAGCGCATTGTAGTCAACCTTCTGTATCCCATTGAACATGTACTCCTTTTTATCCAGTAAAATTACACGCACATCAAAGGTTTTTGCTGTTCTTGAGCTCAAATTCACTCTGCTGAATTCAACCGTCTTAATATGGTTGTACTCAATATACACAATTTGTGGGACAAACAAAAATCCGTTTTTTAGCGGGTACAAGTATCCCTCGTTCGCCTTTAGAGAGCATTTCAGCGCCTTTCCTCCTGCAAAAGTAGCAAATGTTCCTGTGTTCATTGCTTTAATACCAGACAGCTTTTCCACCATATCCACTACACACCCGGACAAGGTGCCTTCTTGAATATAGTCAATTCCCCTTTCTTCAATCTTCCTCTTCTCTTCGGGATCAACTGGTGGCTCTTCCTCATCTTCTGGATATATAATAGTAGAGTTCTTACCCAGAATCATCTTTACTTTTTCTTCAGGCACAAGCAGATTTACAAAATGATACCTTGTCTGGCCCTGCCTAACTGGAGTATTCAGCTCAAAAATAAGATACGACATTTCTTCCACACCTTCCTCCGCATTTCTCTCTAAATAAAACAGCCGAGAAATGCTACTGTAAAGCATTTGATGGCTGTACCTCTTTCCAATAAGATGTATATAGGAAGATGTAAGCGTGATTTTGTATTTTCCTCTTGGTAGAATAGAAGTAACCTCGTCAATTGAGAAAATCTCCAGTTGGTCAGACCCCACAGTAGAGCTCTTTATCAGATCTACTAGCTGGACAACATTGCTTTCCTCTTTCAGGGACCCAAAACGAATCTCAGATACGCCAAAGTATGTTTCATTTATGTCTATGATTCCCTCTCCCTTTCTTTCATACGCATTTGAAATCGCCTCAAGCGGCACATCAAAAATAGCATTGTTCTGCGACTTAAACTCTAGCGAGACATTCTGCAGCTCAATCGTGCCATGTACATTGCCCTCCACGCAGAGAGACTTGTGATATATGTTTAGCTTGTAGTGCTTCTTTGCATACTGCTTAATGTTCTCTAAGTGTTCTGCTGTAATCCCATCTATTATATGCACAGCTCCATTCTGTATAACTATTTTTAGCGTGTGGGAAATTACTCCATAATGCTCAATGATTTCTTTTATCCCATCTGCAGGCATTGTGATAATATCAGCCACCCCGTGCAGCTTCACCCCAATCCCAGAGGATGCCATCTTCACCACAGCCTTTTGTAGACCTTCTTTTCTGCTGTAGTAGACATTGTCTAGTGTGAGAACTTCCATTTTATTAAAAAATATTCCCAGCTTATTCTATAAAAGCATTGATTTTATTTTATTTCGCTATGCGCATTCCTTAATAAATACCAGCACCGCAGTCTACACATAAATTATTCATAAAGATATACACACAACTATTCTATCCCTACAGCATACTTTATATATTCCGTGGCATAATCTCAGAAAAAAAACACACTAAACAGAAAATAGTATAAATTCGGGTGTCTTTTCATAAAAACAACTGATATACTTAAAATAATTTGTTTAAATGCCGCAATGCCACTAGAGGTTAATAATGCACACTTTATATATTTTTAATACCAAAAATATTAATAGAAATACTTTTCTAGCCATAATAAGAAATATAATTTCTAAAGTTTATGGATTATGGTGAGGAGTCTTCGCTTAATTTTTCTATTAGATAGTCGATTGCCCTCTCTATTCTATTTCTTTCATCATCAACTATTTCTTGAACATCTGGGTCTAGTTCTGGGTCTTCTCGTTCTTTTATTATTTTATACAGTGCCTCCGTGGGGCTTTCAAATACAATTGTGTCTAGTCTTTCATTTATAATTGCATTTGCCTCATACGGAATGTCTCCGATCACTCTGTTGTTTACGTCGGCATGAAGCTTGAGCGAGATCGAAAACATAAGAGGCTTTTCATGTGTATCTACAAAATATATTTTTGCCGCTATTGTAAACTCTCCCCACCCACACTCTTCAATTTCAAAGGGCGGAGTATCTACAGTCCGTGTTGGGTTTGCAAATGTTTCGTGTGTCTTGAATGTAACACTTCTAATGAAATAGCTTATATCTGTGTTTTTATATCCTCTGATGTATACTTTCCACCTGTGCGTTGCATCCACTCCAGGCTCAGATATTCGGACAGCTGAGGTCCCGTATATTATTGTGCGCACAAGGTTGGCGCGATTTATTCTCATTTACAGAAAAGAAAATGAAAAAACAAGAATATCAGCTACAGCTCTACAAAGAGCAGGATATAAAAAGAATATACTTTATCACGGGAGCAGGGCTGGTGATGGGAAGTATTCTTGGTGGCATGCAGGGAATACTTGCCTCACTTCGAAACACCCGAGGAAAAAAGAGAGGAATGGCATACTTTGTCTTGCAGCATGCCCAGAGGGTGGGCCGCGCTGCAGCCACAGCAAGCTATGCATTTTCAGCAAGCGAGTATTTTCTTTCAAAGATTACCTGGCAAGCTTCATCTCTCTATCGCATGATAGAATAAGCAATAACTTGAATAGCATCTGAGTTCTAGCGATGCTTTTAGTTTATGTGTGCTTTCTTCTATCTTTCTAAATATAAAGAATACTAGATCCAACACATAATTATACATATAAACAGTACATATAGTACAAGATATCCCACAACATACCATATATATTAGGAATACACAGCACATTTATTTTCAAACTATAACCCGAAAGTATTATAATATAAGCGCCTCCTATAGTTGCTTTGTTACACTGCGCCTTCATCATTATCTATTATAATAGTCCCGCTTTTCTTTCACAGGTCGTGATAAGCATGGGAATAACCCGAAATTTGTTTGTCTTTTTATAATAAACACAAGTCATACATACACATTTGTTATTGTTAAATAATTCTTCTTTATTATTTTTATATGCTAATGCATAGGAATTCCCTGTTAAATATTTGAGCTCTTAAAGGGATTTCTACTTTTTAGTTTTTGTTTTGGGTTGCCTCGTCTTCCCACTTGAAAAATGTGCACGGCTTATAGTTTTTGTTGCATTTGAAGAAGCCTCTATTCTTGTTCTTTTCTGTTTTTGAAAGTAAATATATAGCAGAAGCACCGCATTCGCACTTTATACTGTCTTTTACCACAGTCTTTATATTTCTATTCTTTGCTGGCTGGTTTTCTTTTCTGTATGGCTTTGCTTGTTCGCTGCTTTTTTTTACATTAGCAGAATCTCCCCATCCAAAATAATCACACTGCCCGGCAGAGCATGTATAGAACAGCTTTCCTTTGTTGGGGCCTTCTTTCTTCACTATTGCTTCTTTCGCTTTTATATTGCATCCGCACACAATAGTTCCCTTAGGAAGAGTCAGCACAAAAGAATTATTTGATGCATCTGAGGCTGCTATGCAGCTTTCTTCTTTCTGCTTTAGTATGTCCGATATAGACCTGTCATTAATAGTGGCTCTGTTTATGTCAAGTGCTGTTTTAAAAGAGCCTTCTATGTTTATGCCATCAAAGGGCTCCTTCGCCTCCTTTTTCTTTTTTGTGTACCTATTCTCGCCCGAATCATACTGATTTTCTGCTCTATACCCTGAATAACCCGAAATTTCAGGCTTAAGAGAATTTGGTTTTTGATATCTGGACTTGAGGGAAGAGATGTTGGAATGAGTTTGTGTTTTTGTTATGCTTCTACTATCTTCAATCTTTTTGTACCTAGTGTACTTATTCTGACTTTTTTCTTCAATCTCTCCACCATCCCCCGATGTTTTGTTTTTTGTAAATTCTTCTTTAAACTTAGGCATATTCTTCTCCATAATAGTGTATATTTCCTTATATTTAATAATTTCCTGCGCGATCAAATCGGAAGAAGGAAACTCACCGCTGCACACCCGCTTAAGGTTACATTCAAACTCTTTTCTTAAATACGGCTGATTAATAGTAAGGCCAATGCTTTTGTATCCATTTATAAGCGAACGCCCCAGCCAAGTGCTTCTTATTGAGTTTTTGTTAATCATCTCAATGTACATTCTAGTCTTAATTCTTTCAATGTGATCATGTATTGTGGCATCTGTCCCTATACCATTGCTGTCCATCTTTGCAATTAACTCAGCCTCTGTAAGAAGATGCGGCTTGTTTGTGTGCGACTCCTTTTTGTTTGGTGCCCACTTCACTGTCTGCCCTTCTTTCAGAGCCAGATCAATCTCTGTATCTCCCCACTTTTCGTATATAAATATCTCTAAATAGTTCTTTTTTATTACCTTTAGCATCTTTCTAATAAACTTCTCTTCCTTCACCTGGCACTCAATCAGCTCTTCCTCTCCCTCAGCATCTGCGCTGTAGCATGCCAGAAACCTTCTTGCTATATATTCATACACGGCTCTTTCCTTTCCTTTAAGCCCCGATCCTGCCTTAAGTGGGTATATTGGAGTATGCGCTTGGTCATTATGCCTTCCAGCAGATGGTCTCCCTGGCACTAACTTTTTAGCATACTCACTTAGTACCGAATCGCCCTTTAGTGCTGCCAGTGGGTCTTTATAATTAAATTGGCTTGAAAACACATCTGTCTCTGTCCTGGGATAACTGATATACCCAGAAGTATATAATGACTCTGCTATGTTCATAAGCTCATGCGAACTAGACACACCATGCCCGCGGGCAAAGAACTTCTGCAGCTCAACAGTTCTTAATGGCCACGGCCTAGACTTATGCCGCTTTTTTATTTCCACTTTATTTACCACTAGTTCCTCTCCTGAAATAGTGCGCAGCTTAATGCCTGCATAATCTTCGTCATATACTACTCCTCTCTCCCATTTAAAAACACCCCTTTCCCCATTGTTCTGCACCTCTGCCTCTATTGTCCAGTTTTTCTCCTCTACAAATTCTTCAATACTCTCTTCTCTCTCGCAGACAAAGCCAAGAGTCGGTATTTGGCAACTTCCATAGCTGATGACTGACTTGCTATCCAGAATGTTTTGTAGCTGAAGCGTTTGCAGCCGTGTTAAAGCTGCTCCAATTCTAAGATCTATTTCTATCCTTGACTCAACCGCCTTAGACTCATACGCATTTAGCCTGCACAGATTCTCCACCGCATGCATTACATCATACTTACTTAGTCCTGAAAATCTAGCCCGCTTTACCTCTCTTATTCTGTCTCTAACTAAATTGGCCACCTGCATTCCTATGTTTTCCCCCTCTCTATCACAATCTGTCCATATAATAAGCATATCGCAGTCTTTACTAAGATGTACAAGTGTTCTTGAAACATCTGCCATTTCCTTTGGAATAATCCACCTTATGTCCTCCTCAAACAGCTCTATGGGATCAATCTCAGTCCAGCTCGTTTTCTTTGCAAATTCCAATGAGTACAAGTGTCCTAATACACTCGTAAATACCATTTCGCATGGGATTCCTTCTATGCAATGATTAAATCTAAAAACAGAGCAGTACTTGTTGTATCCTTTTGAAAACTGTGCTCTTCCATTCGAGAGAATATCTGCAAGAGACTTTGCTACTGAAGGCTTTTCTGCTACATTTAAAATACGCATCTAAATTTTATTGAGTTTTCTTTATTAAACATACCTTCTCTTTCTGTCCCCGGCAGCAATGTCGTCTTTCGCTTGGCCACCCTGCATGCCACGGCCGAATTGTCTGTTTTCAGCAAATCCACTGTCTATATCTATGTATATGGGATGGTTTCCTAGCATGTATTTAGCAAAGAACTTTCTGGCAATCGATGGAGTCTCTACGTTTTCAAATTGAACAAAAGCAAATCCGCACGGAGTGAACTTCTTGGCATCCAAGCCAATAATAACTCTCTTTATCTTTCCACACTGCGAGAATAGAGTGTATAACTGGTCCTCAGTGATTTTTTTAGACAAGTTTCCTACGTATATCGTTCCAGAGGTTAAAAGCTCTTTGAAGTAGTCGTCCTCTGTTCCAGTGTATCTTTTGTCAAAGTACATTGTCTTGAGCTCGTCGTCCTTTAGGTAGTTGTAAATCTCAAACGCGGACTTATCCATAAAAAAAAGTAAAATATGAAAGTATTTAATATCTTAGTATATAGTTGCGAACTAATTTTTTGGGATATAGCTAAAACTCGTTATAGCGCATGATTGTGGTGTAAACTAAAGTAATAATTATTTATAGTTAATTTTTCTGTTTGAGTGGATATGTAATTATTAAATGAATAGTTATGTTTTTCTAGTAATACGCATACACATTACACATTCTGACTTTTTTAGTTTATTTGATCTGCTCTAACTATAGGTATAGTAAGATGGTTTATTTATCCTATAGGTGTGCAAATGAATATTATTGTGATGCGCTGCATTTTAGGTAAGAATCTGTTGTACTTTAGGTTACATTGGCCTATCTTAAAATAATATATGATTTGTAGTATATTTAATAGAGATAAATACAACCGAACAACAATCATAAATTTGTGCTGGTGCAGTTTAATATTATCTTATGTTTTTTGTGTATAAAATGCGCGATCTGTTTCTATTGCTGCTTGTAGTATTTTTCTTCTATACACTATACAAAAAGAATTAAACTGTAATGTGTAGTAGAATGAAAAATAATTGAAGAGTTTTCCGCATTAATAAAGTTAAAAATATTTCAGAGTATTCAAGTATTTATTATTACAGTAGAGCATTAGCAGATAGATAAGTGACTTTGCAATTAAAGTATATAACATATTTACTGAATACATTAGTGTATAAACAATGATTTTTTGGGCATGCACATAGTAGCATACCCCTAAACATATATCAAGTCTTTTACATAGCTCATGGCACGAGAGGCTAGAAGAGTCCCTCCCCACAAAAGAAACTGTGCATACTCATTTCCAGATAGCTTAGAATACCCGGTTAGTCTTTCATAAAAACAGGTCGGGATTTCTTCTATTTTCTGCGGGCAATGGTACAGTATTTCCATTTGATATGCAAATCCTGACGCTTTTACGCTCTGGATTGCATAATGAATTATGTCTTTTTTATATATTCGGTAGCTATTTGTCATATCCGTGTTTTTCTTTCCTGTGAATATGTATGCAAGTATGTTTGCACCCTGACTCGTGAGCTTTCTACTAAATGGCCAGTTGGACATGCCTCCTTCTCCTGTATATCTTGAGCCTATAACAATGCCTGCTTTTGTATTCTTCATCTTCTTTATGAGATTAGGTATCTCTCTGGGATCATGGCTTAGATCAGAGTCTAAAATAACTATATAATCTCCAGTTGTATGCTCTAGCCCTCTTTTATAGGCATTTCCTAATCCGAGCTTTTCCTTTCTTGTAAGGACTTTTCCATTAATGCCTAATTTATTTAGCACTTCATTACATGCATCAGATGTTCCATCTGTGCTTCCATCATCAACTATAATTATTTCATATTCAACATCCTTTAGAACTTCTGAAATAAGAAACATTAAAAGAGGCGCATTGTCTTTTTCGTTGTGAGTGGGTATTATAATGGACAATTTCATATAAACAAAACTTTTTTAAAAACATATAAATTGATAGAGTTCCAGAAATATCTGCTATTATGCCTCACACAAAGTATTCAGAAAGAACAAAGAACTTTGTACAGATATAAAACACTTTACATAGTAGAAATAACACCCTCTATATAAAAGTATATATTTTATAAATGGGCTAAACCATAAAAACAAAAGGGTATTTATTGCATAGCAGAAATCTATTCTTATCCAACGCTAGGCAGAGAACTAAAATATATTTAAAAGCATGTAATATCAAAAAATAAACACAAAGAATGCATTAGAACAATCTTTATTAAAGAATAAAGGATCTAAGGAGCACCCACTTACAGCTTTTAATTATCAAGCAGAAGGCCACAGTTTTTTATAATTCTTGCGGTCTCTGGAATTGAAATCTTTCCTTCATTGGGTTTAAGCTCTTTCTCCAAAATACTCCATTCAAGCTGGGTAATCGGAGTCTCTCCCTGCATCAAAGACTCTTTAAGATCTGCTAGTGAGACGGACCCGGTTCCAGCAGGATCAAAAAGGCCTAGAGCCTGCTCCACTACATTCTGCGCATCCAAATTAGCTAGCCGCTCACAGAGTGTGGTCAGGAACTGAGTAAAGTTGAACCTTTCCCCCATGTCATACATCATTTCACTAATTTCTTCTTTTGTTAGTGGGGAACCTATGCTGTCCAAAAAAGAAACCAGGTCTTCTTGTGAAATAAATCCATCTGCTGTGCTATCTAGCAGGTTAAATATCTCCTTTAGCTCCAGTATCTGCGGCTGTGTAAATGCCATAAATACATTTGAGCTCTGGCGTGCGGTTCTTCTTCTTCGATTCATAAAAATTTCTTTTGTTGTGCTATATATCTCTGCTTACGTGCCCGAAGAAGAAATCTCTCTTTTCAATGTACATGGAGAGCAGCTGTTCTACCTCTGATGCCAATGCATATATCTTCTCTTCATTCTCTACATATGTCTGAATCTCATCTAGCTGTTCGTGTGTTGTCTGCTCTATTGGCTGTTTAAGCACTTGCATGGCCCGTTGCATTAGTTAAAAATTTTCAGTTCTTTGATGTTCATATACGCTGTAACCGATTTCACCACACCACAATCCGATTCTTTGGCTATTGTTTGGTTCATTGGCACCGTAATGCGGGGTACATCCTCGCCAATCCCCTCCAGCTGCAGTGTCTTGTGCACTGGAATAAAAAAGTTGCAGTGCCCGCAGGTGTGCCCGCTCATGTTCTCCACCACACCAATGATCTTCAGAGAAGACTTGTTACAAAATGAGATCTGCCTATTTGTATCTGCAATGCTCAGCCTATGCGGTGTACTGACTAAAATAATATTTATCTCCGGAATATGCTTGGCAAGTGCGATATGTATATCAGATGTGCCAGGGGGCGTATCAATCACCACCACATCATACTCTTCCACATCAATGCTTTCCAAGTACTGCAGTATTTCAATTCCTTTCGTGTATTTTTCTTTTCCTCTCTCGGGTGTAAATATGTCTAAGGAGTCCAGCTGGGATGGAATAAGCTTTTCTGCAATTATATGCGAGCTATCCACTCCAGTGACTCTAGATATACTGGGCCCTGCAATGTCCGCATCAATAAGGCAGGCTCGCTTCTCTTTAGATATCTGGAGTGCTAGGCTTGCTGAAATAGTACTCTTTCCAACTCCACCCTTTCCGCTCATTACACCAACCACAGTCTTATTCATGAACTTCTTCTGTATTTCACTTGGTATATTTCCTTCATTTTTTATAGCGCACATACCCTTTGATGGGCAGCTACTGCAACTAGTCTCACACGACATAATAATATCGTTACAAATTTTTCTATTTATTCTGTGCCCACATTAATTTTTTATGCTAATACCAGTGCGATGCTTTACATGCGGAAAGGAGGTGTCCAGTAGGTGGGAAGAGTACATGGAAAGATGTGCCATGAGCCACGACAAAGCCAAGATACTAACCGATTTGGGGTTTAAAAGGCCTTGCTGCAGAACAGTTATGCTGACAACAGTAGACATAATGCAGAAAATTCTTAAGTTTGAGTACCCACAAGAAGGATTCGCAGCAGATGAAAAGATTTAGCCCAAAATCAGAATTAGAAATAACACCGTGTCCATTCCGTACTTACTATAATAAACAAAGTATAAATATAGCCCAAGTTTTTAATCAATATTTATGGCCGGAAATGGTGCAAAGTATTATAATAAGAAAATGCTTGAAAAGATAAATTTATTAAACTATTAATATGGTCATATATTCATATATGAGACTTATCCAAACTACACAAACTGCAAATTAAGCAGTATTTTCATTTATCATAGAATATATCATATCAGGAACAAATAAAACCAACATATTTGAGTCGCATATTGTGCCATTGTATATGATGGAGCCTCTCTCCAGATTTTCTGAGATATGTTCTATAGTTAAGAAACCATTTTCTTCTTCTGCTGACTCTGGCGCATCCTTTGACACGATCATAAACACTCCAGATTCAGGAACTTCTATTTTTTCATTTTTTGAGTAGTTGATTAAGTGGGAAGAGTATAAAATACGGTTCTTATCCTCGATTGGAAGGCTCATATACTTTTTATTCTTTTCCAGCATAGAACAGACAAGCTCTCTAGTTCTTCTCTGGTCAACCATAAGAATAGCTGAATATGCATCAGATGTCACGACCCACACAGTTGCATCTATTGTGCAAATGACACTTGCTGTACGAGGACAGCTGTACAGAAGAGAAATCTCTCCAAATAGAGAGTTTTGGCGAAGGGTTGCCTTTAATTTTCCATCCTGCAAAATCTGAAACTCCCCACTCTCAACCAAGTACATGGTTTTACCATATTCTCCCTGCATGATGAGCCTCTCTCCCTTGGAAATATGCTGCACAAACATGGTTGACACAAGTTTTTTCATCTGGCTCATATCCATTGTTCTTGCAATAAGCCGAGTGTTTGCTAAAATATTCAACAACATTTCAGAAACACTCTCTGACTTAGGATGCACAGTTAAAGGGGCATATGGATTGCCAGAAGCACTTACACTGCCTCTTCTCTTTCGGTGCCTGTGCGCTTCGTAGTCTAGAGATGAGACTGGAAGTTGCTCCATCACACTGATTTCCTCTGGCTCTTGCTCTGAAGAGAGTAGGTCTGCGATTGTATCTCTGAAAATACTCTCTGAGAATCCTATGATATTCTCACTTTCTGCATTTATAACATACAACGACAGAGTATCACTTGCAAACTTGAGTGGGTTCTCGATCTGGTTCTTCTTATCTCGTATGCACTCACTTATAATGTCTGCTGCCTTACAGAAGTCTCTATCCATAAAAAGAAAAATTGACAATGCGTTTATTTCTAAGCCTTTACTGCTCTTTCATACATGCTTGCGAAAAGTTCTCTGTGTACGTTTCATTGCACATTCTAACGAAATCATCAAGTGGGCAGTATATTCCCTTCTCAATCTTTATAGGATGGCATCTGGGCATTTCTATTTTCTGCCCATTGTATCTCATTTGCACATATCTCTTTTGAGAGTTTGCATCTTTAAAAAGTTCAAAGACAATATTTGCACCAAACTTAGGCCACTTCATATTGTTGATTCCCACCGCCATTAGCAGTGGATAGACAGTAATGTCGTGCGCAGAGAAAATAGATGCTTTTAAATCACTGGCTGTGTCTGTGCACTTAATGATCATTTGGTCTGCAATTTCCTTTAACAGGTTTCCTGTGTTAAGAGAAAGTGCCTCCTTAGTGTTTAAGTGGTTAAACCATAGCTGTACAGAGTAGTTTTCCAAAGAAGACATAATTGACTTAGGCACCCGCAAGAACTCAGTAAATCCGTGTGCCCGGCTGCTTACTATTAGATCATATATTGCGTACGGGCTGAGAGAGGCAAAGAATTTAGAGTGATTCTTTGTAAAGTAGTTACGTATTTTATTGCTTTCTGGCTCAAACATCTTCTTAATGCTTTGGTGGGATGCATCCTTCAGTGCTTTTAAGCGCGGGCAGTGCTTATTACTTGTTAATGAGTCCTGTGTTAAGTCCACTACAGTCACATCCATAGGCTCAGAAGAATTTTTGTACATTCCCTGCATTAGAGACTGGAGACTTTCAAGAGTCCTTTGGAAGTTTGTTGATCGCAGATTAAACTCCTTGTTATTGAAATGCGCGCTGATTAGTCCTTTATCTTCAACATACTTCTTTCTAAACCACTCACCTAAACCAAAAAGATTTGCGCGCCCTGTGTCTGTGAGTTGGCCAGGGGCACAGTTGAACTGTCTCCCAGAGTTTTGCATAATTTTGAATCGGAGAGGACGGGCAGTGCCCATGTGCATATAGCTTAACACGCCTTTAATCTTATCAAATAGTGTTGGATGTTTTTTAGGAATTGTGTAATCTATCTGTGAGACTCTATGGCACATGTTCCATTTTGTTGTATTGTGCGGTCCAAACATTAAAGGGGTTCTTTCTCCATGCCGATGTACTAAATGCACATATTCTAATTGTAATTTCATAAAAAAACAAAAGACTTCTTCATAAATATACCATAAACTTTAAAATCTACTAAAATAGCAAGAATATTTCCAAAATAGGAGAAGCACATTCAGCAAACTTAAGCCATGCTCTGTTTAATATTAGATTACCATTTAAGAAACATCTTATCTTTGGCCCGTGCTACCTACCAAAAGGCAAACAGAAAACCTGAAATTTGTCTAATGCACTGTAAAAGATATCTTGTTGCATTTAATGTGTATCTAATAGTTTTTGCAGATTAATAATAGATCTTGTATTATTTAAGATTATTTCTATTTAGAATTAGAAGTTAAACTAAAACACGCACGGATTTTGGACTATTTGAACAAAAACTGTGTAAACACTCTAAAATGCACGCGTTTAATGGTTTCCGGGCACTAGGTGATATTGAACACCTCCTATTATATAGAGTGGCATTAAATTAAAAAAAAGTATCTTCTAAACTTGTAAAACAATGTATTACTTTAAACGTAAAATATCCCGATCCTGTAAATTGCATGAGTAAGAAAAAAGTCTTAGAAGCAAAAGAGGTTGTTGATAAGCCCAGTCTTCTTGATGCAGATAACATAATCTGGTTCAATTTTATATTTCAAGCAGGCCTAGCAAGTTTTCTATTTGTTCTTTTTATCTTCTGCCGGAAGAAGCTACCTTGGATATACTCCATAAACACAAAGAGGTGCAAGCAGCACCCCGCCGCACAGTACACTGGATACTTCAACTGGATGATTCCTATATTTACAATAACAGACAATGACCTGTTTGAGCTCATAGGGTTTGATGCATTTCTGTTTATTGAAACACTCAAGCTGCTGGGCATTATCTTTCTCCTGCTTTCTATTATCCTAGTACCGGCGCTTGGCACGTACTACTTCTTCTTTGCGCACAGCACTCAGCCACTGCAGCTTATCACAAAAATATCTATCCTTTCTCTGCCTACACACCCGCGCTATGTAAACTGCATTATTCCATGTATTTGCATTTGGGCTATAAGCTTAGTGGTTATTTATTTCTTGTACACCTTCTACCGAAAATATGTTATTCTTCGCCAGCTGCACATACGAAACCGGGCCTTTTCCAAGTCCACTCTAGCAATTAAAAAAACTGTGGATGAGCTGCAGTCGCTTCCCGCAGGAATTAACGAGATAAACATATGCTCCAGAACTGTTCTAATCACAAACCTACCTTCATTCATTCAGGATAAAGCCACTCTGCTTCGGTACCTAAAAATTCTTGGAGTGTCTTCAGAGCCAGAGAATGCGCATGTGGTAACAAACACAAAAGACTTAGAAATACTAATTAATAAGAAAAAAGAGATTATTCTGCTCATAGAATACGAGCTACTGCGGTTCTTTATATTACTGAATATCATGTCAACAAATACAGAGTTCTTTGCAGAGCATATTAACAACTACGACAAATCATTAGATCTTATATCAAATGCAACCACGTGGCATAAAAGAGAAAGAGAAAAGAAAGAGATCGGCCAAGACGAGATAGACTTTCTTATGCGAAATGCATTTGGTGGAAAGTTCTTTAGCCTTTTATCAACCATTCAGAAAACAGATGTTCCTCTTAAAATACATGAGTACTTAGGCACTATAAAGCTGCTGACAGAAAAAATAGATGAAGTGAGAGAGCGATCCATGCGAGAATATACCTCCTTGGATGAAGAGCCCAATTTACTGAACCCTGAGCTGCACGATCCATATGGCTTCTATAAGAATAGCACTATTTTTATCACTACCGCATCACTCTTCTATATTAGAGCAGCATACAATAATTTTATAAAAAGTATCCCAGGAAGCGCACGAAATGGATTTGTGACCTTTAAAAATTCATCAGATGCAAACGCATTGAAAATGACTCTTATAGGTTCTGGGGCATTCAGCTGCCATGCAGAGGAGGCCCCCCCTCCAGACCAAATCATCTGGTCTTCACTGAACGACACACAGGTGCACAGAATGCTTAGAAGGCTTATTAGTATGATTTTAACAGTAGTGTTTATTGGTGTATTCATTGTTCTTGTGTTCTTTGTATCAACACTAATCAATATATCAACACTATACGCCGTGATAAACATGATTAACCCGCAGCTGTATGCAATTGCAGGTACTTCTAAATTCAGAAGTGCCTTTCAGGGTATTATTGTGCCAACTGTCTATTCGCAGTTTCTAGCAATTGCGCCTATTGTTCTCCGGTGGATTTCTATTTTTGAGGGAAGCATCTCGTGGATTGAGCTGCAGAAGAACTTTGGAAAAAAGTACTCGGTGTTTCTGTTTTTCAACGGGTTTTTAATGATTATTTTCGGATCTACCATAGCAACTCTTTTAAACAGCAGCAAGGTTAGACTGGATATTGTAAACCTTGTTTCCACGCCTATTGTTTCATCTTCCATTTTCTTCCTCAATTTACTGATCCACAAGGCACTCGGCGGGCTTATGTTTGAGCTGCTGGATGTGCCTCGCCTAGCCAGCTGGGCAATAATGTACATCCTGGGCGGAGTGCACACGCACAGGGAAAGAACGGCACAGTTCCAGTCCAACCCTATCAACTTTGGAATGCTGTACCCGAAAATCTTTCTGCTGTTTCCCATGGTGCTTATATACGCCATCCTCTGCCCGATTTTCATGGTCGTGGGGTGCCTTTATTTCTTTGGCGCCTTCTTTGTGTTTAAGTATCTTTTCATATACTCGCACGCCAGCCAGCTGGAAAGCGGCGGAGAGCACTGGCCTTCCCTATTTGAAAATATTTTTTATTCTCTTACAGTCTTCCAGCTGCTTACTTTAATTTACTTTGCCTCCCATAAACAGTACATCTCGCTTTGCATGATTCTTCCTTTAATCATCATAACAGTCAGCGTTTGGAATGGGTTCAGCAAGCTTATGTCAAAGAACTGCCACTATCTGCCAAATAACGAGTCAGAGTATAAAGAAAGCACCGATGTGATAGATGAGCTTCTTAAGTCCCGTAAAAAGGCTATTCTTGAGTGGAAAGAGTCTTCTGTCGTAAAGAAGGATGTTTACTGCCCTTTTAAGGAGAAGGTGCTTGAGAAAGGAGAAATTCCCTATGTTTACAAAGATCTTTCCTTCCTTCCATCGGCCTCTTCAATCATTCTTCCTAAATGGTTTGTCATTACTCTAAAATACTTGAGTGTGAATGGGAGTGCTGCGGTATTCGATCTTTCCACTAGGTCCTGGAAAGAGGAAATACTTGGCCATTAATCAAATACTAAATAAGCACAAAGTGCCCAGGCCGCTTATCCAGATCTCTTTGATCTGCAGATAGGTAATTCTAGGGCATTAAAATAATTAATTAATAAATCAGAAATTGATGCAAATTTATGTTAATACCCTAAAATCTCAATATGCCTATTGTAAAGGTAAAAAGAAAGAACTTGAAATTCTCTCAAAAACAACACAGAAATCATGAATTATTGCCAGCTGTTCCAAATAACATAGTTATGCGCAGCATCTTTCAGTGTTTCGGGCTATTTCGCATATAGCATTTATTGTGCACAGCTCCAAATTTATTATTTATTCACACGCTGAAGAGACTCTGTTCTCTTTGTTCTATATATATTTTTAAATTTTATGTTCTATATACCAGTATCTAATACATGCTTAGTATAATAATCTAAGTACATATAATGAGAGAGAGGCACTGCTTGCAAAACTTGTGTGGTTTGATGGCCGAGCGGTCTAAGGCGTTCGACTTAAGATCGAGTCTCTCCGGAGGCGCGGGTTCGAATCCCGCTCAAACCAATTTTTATCTCTTTCCGGATTTTTTTTAAAATATGCGGCCAAGCAAAAAGGAGAATAATACTCCGCCATCTTCAGAAATTTCACAGATTCTCATGGATAGCGAAGGGCTTCTTAAAACAAATATTTCTATTTCAAAAGAAGCCCCCATACAAGAAGTTCAAACATCCCCAGACAATGGGCTTGATGGATCTTTTCAGGTGGAAGACAAAAGCTATAGATTCTCTGTTGACCCCGATGAATCCTTCTATAACGACATAAAGCAAGGGCCATTTCCAGCTACTAAACCAATTAATAAAGATCTGGCAGATAAGATTCTTTTCAAAGAAATTAAGTTCCCTTCTCCCCCAAAAAGAGGTGGAAAATATAAAACAGACTCGGGGCGGCCTGAGCTATTAGATCCGGATGACAGTCTAGACATAGGCACTGGCACGTTTCAGAGAAAAAGGCCTTTTTCAGAAACGGGAAATGGAGAGAAATCTAATGAGATGGGGAGCCTGTTCAATGAAGAGAACATTCCTACTGCAAACACATCATTCACAAAATTAACGGGCTTTAAAACAGCTCATGGTAGTAGTTTGTACATTTCTGATGAGTGCATGGATAGGTCTAGGCGCAGCTTTGGCTTTATGGAGAGCTATACCCAGACTGCAGCCCCCTCTGCAGCTAAGTTAAAGCCTAAAGTTATTTCTCCCCGGGAGAACTATATTATAGATGCACTAGAGATATACAAAAAAGTAAAAAAAGAGATATTTCCTCTGACCAGATCTGAGGAGGAGGAGTACAGTCTTTTTTCTCTTTTTCAATGGACCTGGATCTCTGTACTTCCCCAAATAAAGGAAATTTTTAGGAGGGGCGGAGACATGCAGTTTAAAGAAGTTGAAAGAATAGTTATTGAAAAAGCAAAAATCCGATGGAAGCAAAACCCAAAGTCTGTGCTGCAAAGAATTGTGGAAAAGGACGAGCACCCATCTGTGTATATAAAGGTCCTTGTGATTGAAGGGGGAACAAATACAATTATGATAACAGACGGCATATATTCAGTTAAGGCTCAGCTAGACCTGCCGCTGCAAAAGATTTCTAATCAAATCACAGAAGGAAAAATTCTGCAGGTCGCATGCTCAAAGTCCCTTCTATCTGATGCCACTTCAATATACGATGTAAACAAAAATAGCCAAGCAGTGATTGAGCTGCAGTATAATGGAGTTAAGCCATGCTCTTCTGGTCCTCTTGGATACCAAAGCCACTTTGGATTTATTCGGTCTATTCTGTCAATCCACCCGAATGGAGGATACATCAGCTGCCTTATGCTGAAAATAGCTAGAAAAATAGACGTCAGATATATTTTAGACCTAAATGGGTCAAAGTCAAATATTGAAGAAGATAGATTGGACAGCACCCTTGAAAGAATTGAAAAAAGCATTGAGAAGATATACACTACAGCTGAGGAAAAGAACGATGCTCTGAGCAAAGTGCGGCTAAGAAAGTACACCAGATATGATGTAATCTGTGATTACACAAAGAATACCACGCCTGCAATACTTTCCATATGGGAGCCGGCCTACAGCGATAATACACTGAAGACAAACCAGCTATACCTATTCTTTATGCTGTCTCCTCCTAAGAAGGCGCTGAGCAAAGGTACAATTCTATTAACAACTACCACAATAAGCACATTCCGCCCAATATAACTCCATATGCTTAATTGCAATAGATATAACAATCCATAAGCCCATCTAAATACCTGCATGGTGCAGAACAGACTAAATAAAATAGCAGTCTATTGTAATTCTACCAAATAATGAAACAATAAACACTAGATATATATTTTTAAGGCTCTAAGCCGATTAAAACATCCACCCCAATCCCTGCCTTCTGGTATGTGCCATAATTGCTAATTGCACCCCCTCATGTGCATTGTTTTCTTTTTTCGCCGCATAATTCTGCTTAAAGTCAAGCTAAATTTCAAGCTATGTATGAGCATACGTATTATCTGTGTGTAGTCTACTGCCTTTAATAGGATTTCTTTACCCGTTACTTTTTAGTATTTTCTAGTATAAATAAATTTTATTTTTTATCCCCTGTGCTATGAAGATGACTATTATTCACGGCTAGAGTCTCTGATAATGATGAGTTGAAGGTCTGAGCACATTCTAAATAATATCTTAAATAGTATAAAATGATGGTTTTAGATGACGAGTATGAGTAATTTAGGTGATTGTAACTTAAAATGGGCTGATTATACTATTTTTAAAAACCTGCGTATGATGATACTATTTTCACGACGGTCGTCTGACATGTGATGATTTTTTTATCTGACGCCTTTTCTTTTAACCTCTCCTGAGCTACTTACTACTGCATAATTGAAGTGCATACACTATATATAATTTGTACTATAGCATTATCATACAAATATAAATTTATATACGTGAGTAAATATAGTAGATTTTTCTGCAATACGTGTATGTTTTATTATAATTTCTTTATTGTATTCTGTATATAGCATATTGTTATATACTATTAAAATTACTAGCTGCCCAATTGTTAGTAGTGCATAGTTCGATACACTAAATATTTTCAAGTAAGCTATTGCTATACTATAATATTTTATTAGTATAGTATCTGACACCTGCGTGGCTATGTTATACTAATATTTTTAGTCATACTTACTTTATTTAAATAAACAGTTGATTAAATAGTAATTTCTACCACTCACTCACTTACTTACTGCAATAAAATAAAATATGTATACAGAAAGTAACTCATAATATTTTCTGTACATATAAAAATATATTCCAGGCATGGAAGACAAAAAGTAAAAAAATTATTATTTTTATATGGCAATCTACTGCTATTTAATAGATGAAAATATAATGTCTCGGCAGATTAATTTCAGACTATACAAAGCCAATTTACTTGGAATTAGATCTTACTTGACTAGAAAATATGCATAATAACGTCTTTTATAGGTCAAAACACCGGTATAAAGTATGTTAATATATCACTTAGCATTCTATGATTATTCGTGTATACACAGTGCAAATATATGTGCAATTAAAAATTAGTATAATGCCAAAGAAGCTGCGGGTTGAGCATGATTGGTATTTAAAATTATTTGAGAGTTTTATATATATTGGCTTTCTTTAAATCATTCAACATATATGAAGCTTTTTAATATAAGCATGAGCTGTTAAATTTAAAATTATTCATTCTTTATAGAAATTAACATTTATTGAAGTCACGGCCTTTATACATACTTTTGTGGTTTTTAAATATATTATGTTAATGCTTATCCAATATTTAATTTATTTTAATATATTTGTAAGCTGTTTTATCCTTAAAGACTTAGACATGCGAAAACTTGTTATTTATTGAATTCTCGCCGTCCTTATATAGACGACTTCCAATCATTGATCTAGCCTTGTTTGTGTATGGTTAAATTCTGATCCCAAATATAAACATTTATTTGTTTACTGTTCTATATCTCACTGTCCAAAACCAACAAGGTGCAGTATTCAATTTATAAAACTTTAGATTTGTTCTGTTGTGGATTAACTCTTTAAGACAAAATGTGCTTATTTTTATAATAAAGTGAAGTTCTTTTACATAACCCGAAATTTTAATTATTTTATACTTATATCTCATGTTCACTTAACTAAAATATAAATAGCGCAGAGAATAACATGTTCTTTATTTATACTATGTAGGCGTGCCCTGCCTGTTTGTTCTCTAGATGCATAGCCATCTGCAGCACTAACTCATTAAGTATTGGGCTATATTGGCCAACTTAATAACTTTCTATTGTGTGGTCATGTTTATTGTTGTTTTTAGTTTGGGTGTAGTTCCTGCAATGGCCTAATTTCAGTATTTTTCTTTCTATGTACTGTTGGCCAGATTATTATAAATTGTCAGAATGTATTTTTAAATAGTCTGTGGTTTTTTTATACTGGATTTATTTATATTTACATTATGTGCTTATACTATTCTGATTTATTATGCTATAGTATAGACATTCTATCAAGTAGAATTTTTTTTGGTTTAAAACAGTTTATATCAAGTAGAAAATTAATATAGAAAGTATAGATATTATTTTATCTGAAAGTAAGTCTGAATTAGATATACTCTTTATTATATGCATTAGACAGGGGCTAAAATATTTCCTTAAATGTAGAAATCCTAAAATTCTATGCATGCAATTTCATGGGCGATTAGAATATACTATGTACAATGTTAATAATATATTTTATACAATGATAATTACACTAGAATAAAGCAAGTGAAATCTGCTCTGTGCTAGAAAGTAGTTGCCAATATTAAAAATTGCTTTTGCTCTTTTTAATCTAACTGCATGCAATAAGATAGTGTGCAGTGCTTAATATTATTTACAGTATAATATAATTTGGTGCCCAATATTAAAATGCACCAATATAATTTGTTTTAATTAATCTATAATAATTCTTCCTGTGGCACATAAAAAGTGCTTTATTTATATTTGGACAAAGTGAATTTCTGTTTTTAATTAATTTTATTTATTTCCTCTGTATTCATATTTCTAGATATTTGTTTATTTTTTCTTAATTGGCCATCTAAATGTCCTTGTTTATTTGTTTGGACAAGGCATTAAATCAGTAATTTTCAGAAATAAACAGATCATCTGCTGTATATAAAGAGAATGGATTTCAGAAATAATGAAGACCATGAAAATTAACAAGATAGTTTTTACTGCAGCTTGCATTGCTTCAGGCGTGTATGCTAGCATGGATGATATCTCTACAGACTACTCAAGCACACAACAACCAACCATTTCTTTATGCGAAATTATAAAAGAGACTCCCCAAACTATTGCATCTAATAAACCAAAAAGGCGCGTCGAAAAAATAAATAGTCCTTTCCAATCATTACTTAAAAAGAACGATAACTTCTCTAAAACAACACTTCTAAAGAGTGTATCCAGCTCGATTAATGACTGTATGGGCTTAATTAAAAAGTTTATCAGAAAAAACAAAGTGTATGTACTACAGGAGCATTATGTAGATGAAAAAGTCAATGAAAAAGAAGACCTTCTTTCTCTGGCTATATATCTCAACACCACCCAGATGCTTGCTGTGAGCTCAGAAAGCAAGAATGCTCTAATGAATGCAATATTAGATTTTGACTACAATAGAATTGGCAAGGAGCTCAGAAACATATACATCTCTCTGGTGAACAGTAATAACTACAATATAAAATTTGTTTCCAGCCAGAATTCTGGTAAAAATACCTCAAATTCCATCTATGCATCTCCCTTCTTCCGAATTTCCACAAATTACATGAGCAAACCTCAGATTGGTCGAATTGAGTGTATTAAGAAGGACGAGAAGGTTATTAAGAAGGCATTAGATTTCATAAATATGAAGAAGAAGCTTTCCGACAAAAACCTATTCACTGAAATATTCACGGAAGAAAAAAATGTATCTGAAAAAACCACCGCCAAATCTGAGATAAAGCATATATACTCAGCATACACTTTTTTCTCTACAGTAATTCAGAAAACTCTAACCAGAAAAGAAAAAAGTCAGTCAGCATCTATAAAGAAAAAAGAAAAATCTTCTAAATTATACACTATTTGCAAGCGTGTGGAAGAAAATTCATGCACATTCAGTGAGTGGCAGAAGACCTTTGACAAATCTGAGGAGATTGTAGAAAGCAAAAATATTGGAAAATACAGGCCACTTTTAGAGGTGCCCTGGGCATACTTGGATGCAAGAATATTTGCTAACACAGACCTTAGCTTTGACTTAGCTGTAGTAATTAAGATTGTAAACAGTATTTTAAAGTTTGAATCAGAAACCAATCAAGATTGCTTCTTCTGCGCTGAGTTTAAAAAACTCTCTCCTGTTTTCCACACATACATTTCTTTCTTAAAGAGTATAATTAGCACACACGTATCTCAGTTAGAAATGAATAATAAAAGCGCCATTTGGATCAAGGCTAGAATCTACAACATAGTAATTCGCTACATTAAAAAAGAACTGACCCCCTCTCTTATTAGGTACACTCTTGAACAAATTGTGTGTGATATTCTTTTACATATAGAAGAGTGCAATATAATCAGTAAGTCAGAAATCGTTGATTTTATACTAAAGACAGCACAGAATGCCTGCCCAGAGGTAAAACTGGTTTCAGAGGATAAAAAAAAGTTTACCAAAGCAGGCCATGCACAATTCCTATGTTGCTGCATCATTTATATACTTCAAAATAGGCATAATTACATATAAGTGTATATTCAATAAAAAAATCTATTTTAAATGCCTTTCAGTCTTATTTCTTTGCTAATAGCTAAATTCTATTGATACGCATATAATTACAATTTTTATACTGCCGCTTTTTAGTATTATATGTGTTGTAATGCATCTCCTGATTTTTGTTCATGATAACTAGGAATGTGTTACACTCTACGAAGAGAATTAAATTTTAAGTTATATTTTTGTTCATAAGAAAAGTAGCCTATTAAGAAAATAAGAAAAATAAATGGATTAAAACTATAGATGACTATTTATAGAAAGAATACTTTAGAACACATGTTTGATAGCAGCTATAGCTATGTTATGTGATATTTTATTACAATAAAACTATTCTTATACAAATGAACAATTATTTAACACTATTCATTATTCTTTTAATGCCAAACGAATTATAACCAAAAAATTAAAGAATTCTATAATGGATAAAAAACCCAAATAACATATATAAATAGCCTTCAAGTAAAAAGAAAAGCAGTGTTCTATCACTATACATGCAAAAGGAGTATTTACTAAATAACTTTAGATGGTTGCTTGCTATCAATATATATGGGCGCAAATCTATATTGTTTCTATGGTATTCTTATAAGTTTTATGAAGTTTTAATTGTCTTTTAATTTAACATAAATAAATCTTTGCTGCTTGAGTTTACTTTATAATAGAAATTGTACAAGTTAAAACCCTTTAAAAGTTGTATATTTGAATTTTACTAGAAACACATTAACAATTATAAAAGCTTAGTAATACACTTTAAAATGTACTATCACTTTTATTTTAACAAATATATACTTTATTGCCTAAAATATGCACTCCTACTGTTACTGTACTAAATATATTTTAATAGCACATTTATAATTGTAATAATAAATTATGAATATGGAAATATATAATGCTTTATATATTTAATTATCTTTATTTGCTTTATATTTGTGTGGTACTTTTTAATTTAGGGTTATTGTTTGGGGCTTTGTTTAGTTTTTAATTTATAGCCAAAAATTGACTTATATCTATTAAAATATTTGTTTATGTTTATACTTTAGTTTATAAAAAGCTATAAATATAAACAAACCAAGACAGATGAAGTATGTGATATATTATAACTATTTGTTTACCGATCAAAAAATAGAAATATAAATACATAAACGCAGAGAGGACGCCATGACAAGCATAAAAGAAATATACAAGTGCCTTTTCTTTGCACATGTTCTTATGAACCAAGATGCATCTGCTACCAAAGCCCCCGAAGATCTAATTGAAATAGAATATGTTTCAAACAAGAGCTTTAAAACCACCTTTAATAAAATTGCCGAATCTTTAAAGAACATAATTAACCCACCACACCAAAGTAGTGCTTTATCCACACTAGCAAACATTGGAAAATTATCTAATCATAAAAATGGATTTACGTTCGATGTGAATTCGTCAAAGAAAATGCAGATACAGACACTATATGGGCTCCTTTTTATAACCCGAAGTAAGGAACAGGATTTAGATAAAAAGAAAAACAGTAAAAAAAGAATGCATGCATTTAAAAATGTACCCACAGGCAATCTTTCAATATTTGAAAACAACCGTGACATACATAATGACTGGGTAATTAGTATGTTGTTAAAGACTAATGAAAATAAAAAAATAAGAGATGCTGCCTTCTTGAGCGAAGGACTTCGTCTAATTGCAAGAAGCCTATGCGATAGAGACCTGTTTAATCTGAAAACAGATGCTAATTCTAACAAACAAGAAAAAGCATATACCAAGAGAAAGAACAAATACCAAAATATAATAGACACCATGCAGGAAAATATGATTCCAATGACTGTAAAGCCTATGCTATTAGCCCTTGATGACTTGACATATACTCTTCTAAAGAACAATGCAGAAAGTTTAATTAAAGAAAAGTTAAGGGAGGGATTTGAGACATACAAAAATACCAACACTGTAACTGTATATAATGTTCTTAATGACATGTGCATATTAGAGAAGAGCACCAATCTTACTGAAAATGTAATTGACCGTGCCCTTTATGAGCTGCATTCTGCTGCAAACCATCCAGTTGGCGAATATAGAACTATTAATCAGAAGACTCTGTTATCTATAATTGAGAATCTTATTCAGATCTCTGGGCTATACAAAATTGCTACTTTAAAGGAAGAGAAACTTTCTGTTGAAGTTACTGGCAGCCGCTGTATACCAATTAGAAGCGTATACGATCGTCAGATTACAATAGGATATTATGATAATTATACAAAATTGAAAAGCGATTTGGAGAGCATGGTAAAGACTCCTTTTTACTCTACTAACTCTGCAGATGAATTATGGAAAGAGGATGAATGCACAATTAACGAATTAAAAAATGGAAATGGCTCTACAATTAAATACGCTAGGATACAAAATGGAAAAAGTATAAACACATGCAACACTGAAATAGAAAAGCAAATGCTTGCCCATCAAATTAAACTTAGCCAAACACTTAGAGAATTTATTTTTGACAATGTGACATTCCCTCCATTAAAACAAATTAATAGTATATCTATTGAATCTGAGATTATAAATACAATCGTCATGCATAATACTTTTGGATTATCATACTCCAATGATATCAAGATGATTATCACCCCCATTCCAGAGTGCCTAGGGTTCATTAGCAATCTTGAATACAATAAAAATGACCAGTCTGAGTTATACACAGCAAACATTCTATATAAGAATGCTTTAAATCCTGAAAATGAATATACACTCTACAAATATGCAATGAATTGTCCTGCAAATTCAAACCATATGTTCATAGCCCCCGAGTATATCAAAATTAACCCAGCCAAGACGCCAGGCAGTACCGAATACTTAAAAGGCGATTCTGCAGCCCCAGTTGAGCACTTGGATAAAAAAATAACTAGATTATGTAACATTCTAATGCATTTTATAACCGAAAGAAAAGATAAAACCAAAAACATCAACATTTCAATACCTGATAATCTAAGCATAAGGGAAGCCATTAAGATAATGCTTAGATTTGTTTTGTCCTGTAACATACCAAAAGGGATTTCTATAGAAAGTATGTCAAGTTATAGCGCATACCAGCTTACTATTGCTATGGATATTCTTAATGCCATAGCAGATGTCACACGCTGCTATTTAATCAATACCAAGACAATCAAAATTTCATATGAGGACATTGAAAATGAATTTGAAAATGTCTTTAATCCTTGTATACATGATCAAAATCAAACTAACGTTATCCTACCCCGTAAAAATAATCTCTCATACTTGATCTGCGAGCGTTTAATCAATGTCCTATACATGAGTTCACAAAATAGAAAAAGAATTATAGAAAACTTTGCTAACTTAAGTAAAAACAAGGCACAAATCTATAGGATAAATGCAGATGAGCACTCTGAATCAAACTACAGCAATCTAATCGACCTCTATGAACTGATTCTAAATGGAAAAAAAGAAATCGATAACAATTCACACTTAGATAGCAGTGAAAAAATTATCGATCTATCTTCTATCTTTAGAGGGGAAAAATCTTCTGCAACCAGTAAGCTGATGTTTTATAGACCAGACTCCAAACCATTAGAAGAAAATAGCTACAGTTCGCAACTATTCAGTCCTGAAGATCTAAATCTATTCATACCCATTGATGAGGATGATGCTTTAACATTAGAGCCTATTCAAATGCCATCCGTGGCCATAAGTGCCTCTAATCTAATGCTACCATTTGTGGAGATACTTAAAGAAGTATCCAATGTGTATATTGTAAAGTTTTAGACACTTTTTTATGCAGATGTAATATCACAAATAGGAATAAAATAATGTCCTTTAAAGACTGATTCTTTCTACCTTCTTAATCCATGAGTAAAGAAGATTTGTTTATTTTTTATATAGCCGGTTGGTCACTTGATCAAACAGCTTTAAATTCTATTGCTCGAAACACTGTATGAATTTGAACAAAAAGGACAGAGCACCAGGTAGTAGAAGAATGAAATCTAGCCTAGAGAAGAAGAAGGCTGTTTTGTTTGACCAGAACACTTCATCTCTGTGCGACTCGCAGCAAAATAGTCCGCTTCTTAATCAAATGAAGACAGAAATACGGCGATTGTACGGCGAAAAAGTAAATATGGTAAATACAAATTATATTATGAAGCCGCACGAGTTCAAGTGCATAGCAAAAGCACTTTCTAAAAGACTTTGGAATGAAGAAAAGCCACTGCAAACTATCGATGAGATTATATATGCAGTTGATTTACTGTGCAACAGGCAGGATGCAGAGCAAAAAGAGAAAGAAGCGAAAGAGGCAGCTCAGGAAAAGGCATCCAATAGCAAGGAAGTAGAAACCACCATTAGGTTTATTACAGCTGAGCTTAATGCACTAGTGCCAAGTGAAGAGAGCGCCACTACATCATCTGTACCTGGAGAGCCTTCTGTTTCTGCGTGCTTGCCCTTTCTTATGGCAGCAAAAGACCGAATTAAAAAAGAGCTTGAAAGCTCGGGATATAGCACAGTTGAGTCCCTAATCACTGAGAAGAATCGGTTAAAAAGAATTATTACATCAATCACAGAAACATTTTCAATCTCGCCGTCAGATGAAATTTTAACTGCCTTGAAAGGAATCCGCACTCTAGAGGAAAAGAAGCAGAAAGACTACATCCAACTAAAAGAAAAGAATTTTGAGTGCCAAAAAAGACACTTCGATGAAACAATCCGACAAGCAACTGACAAAATATCTCTTTTAGAAAGTCAAAACAAAGAGCTAAACAGGCTGCTGCAGGAAAGAGAAGATAAAACTGCAGAAGTCTTAGAGAGAGGCGATGCCCTTCAACAGAATATTTTGCAAATAAAGAAGATTTTAGCAGATGAAGAACTAAGAATACAACAAGAACGCGAAGAGTATAAAACAGTCAAAAGCACACTGATAGGCTATAATAAGAAAATGACAAAAATTGTTCAAGAATTAATTGAGCGCATTAAAAAAGAACAAAAAGAAAGAGACACTCTTCTTAAGCTAACAGAAGCTAGTACTAAATAAAAATAAAGATTTTCTTTAAATATTCTTTTTTATTTATAGAAGACATATTCTCATTAAATAAATATAAATATGGATAAATCGTATGGATAATAATTTTATGAATAGTAAGACTGAAGAGAGCGGAGAAAACACATCCTCTATTATCATGGACTCATCGTCTAAATCTCTTATGGATGTATCCTGGCTTAGCAGTCTTCAGAATGATCAGTCTGGTCAAACAGAACCCGCTCCTGATCTTCCTCTTTATCTTCCTGGCTGGATGAATATAGAGACTGCAGGAAAATCTACAGATATAATAAGAATGCGCGTAGAAGGCGTGTATTATGGCTTTCTTGTATCTAAATATCCAGAAACATTGTGTGAAGTAGAAGAAGTCGAAGATAGAATTATACATAGTAAAAAGTTTGGGCCGTCGCCTATTAAAGAAGAGTGTGTTGCTAACTGTGCATCAATAATTACAGATGTAATTAGCATTTCAGATAGCGACGATCCCCTTAGCATTCCACAGGATAATTATAAGAACGAAAAAGAGCAGGAACTAGAAATGGCTCGAAAAAGGCTCAATACGCGTATGTTCTTTTTATGGGATAGAGAATCCGCAGAGAAAAACATCGCACTGCATAACATACATGCTATAAAGCACGCAAAAAATGGTAGAGTATCTATAGGTCTAATTCAGCCAGCTGATATATTAGAACAGCTTACCTGTATATCTTTGCGGCACAGCGTATCATTTGTTTATTTAAACACAAATACATTAGACATTGCACTTAATTCATTAGAAGCAGCAATTCTTCGAGATGGAAAAGAAGCAGGTCCTGCGCTTAAACTAAAAAAAACAAGCAACCCACAAGAACTAATGGAAATCATTCTTCGGTCTATCTCTGGCATAGGAAATGAGGAAATTCGAATTTTAAAAGCTCAATTTGCATCAGTCTCAGAATTATCGGAAATAAACAAAATAGAATCTATTACTGGGGTAAAGGAAAGTACAATTTTAAAAATTAGAAGTATTTTCAGATAAATCCATTAAGAAGATTCCCAAACCACGAAATACAGTACAGAATATATAATTTTACAGAAATATAACTCAAAAATAAAAACAGTAAATGCAAAAAGAGAATAGTGCAAATATTTAAAAAGTTTTTTAGATTTAAATCAGTCTGTTATTATTCGATTAAAGCTAATATTACAAATCATCTGGTTTTCTCACTGGCTTCTTTTATTGTTAATGTGTTAAATAGAAGACACAGTAGATTTAAGACAGCTTTTAAAATAAAAATATATCTATTGATATCTGGTATAAGAATATCCAGCCAAATAGCACTCAAAGACAATAGGAAACACAAAGACAGTGAGGATAGCAAGCCTGCCATGCCACTTGTACAAGAGGAGCAGACTGCTCCCATACTATTGCTGGAAGCGCCTGTCACTACAGAAGTGCCATTGTTAGAAAACAAAAAACGCCTGGTAGAAGTATCTGTGCCCACACTAGAGAGCATTTCTGTAGAAGAGTCAGCTGCCGCAACTGACCAAGCTGTAATCACTGCCATTGTGGTATGCGAATCTTCAAAGGACTACCCAGCCATTGAAGACACGCCAGCCACTGTGCCAGTGAATGGCCCTGTGCCAGTGCATGAAAACACAGTGAGTCAAGCTGTGAGTGGCAGC